CAGCAACAACAGCAGCAACAACAGCAGCAACAACAGCAGCAACAACAGCAGCAACAACAGCAGCAACAGCAGCAACAGCAACAGCAATACGTACCGTTCGCTTCCTAGTCTCCGGAAAAAAGAAGTAGGCCAAGACACCCTGGATGGCAGTCCAGACAATGAAGATGATATAAGTCTTCCATTCAATCTCCTTCAGAGCGATGGGCCAGGCGAACTGGTTGAGCAGTCCAGCGGCATTGACGAAGAAGGACTGGAACGCCATACCCTTGGCGCGGATCTCGAACGAAATGCATTCCACCGGATACAAGGCCTGCAAGGGAGTTAGGTTGAACGAATACACGCCGCCGTAGACGAAGATGAAGGCCAGCACGGCGTTGGCGGCAGTGTGGTTGGCGAACTTGGCGTCACCGTTCTCCACGCTGCCCGAGACGCGCGAGCTGGCCAGCGTGCCGGCCGAGGCGGTCATGCAGATCCAGACGACGGACACGCCGAAGAAGCCGGCCAGCATCATCTTGCGACGACCAATGCGTTCGACGAAATGCGCGCCCAGCACGGCGAAGACGAATTGGAACACGCTGTACCCGAGGCTGACGTTGGCTTTGCCGATCGAGTCGTTGACGCCCGCGGTGTCGAGGACGGCCGACATGAAATAGGACAGGACGGAATTGCCACTCCCTGTTTTTGGGTTTCGTGAGTCTGCTGAAATGGAAGGTATTGCTTGCTTGCTTGCTTGCTTGCTTGAGGGGAGGGGCGCCACTCACATTGAGTAAAGGCTGAGAACCAACAGGCTACCGAGACACGGTAGAGATTGGATCTCTTGTTGAAGAGGGCGCGATAGTCCCACCAACGTTTGTCCTGGAACGAACCAACAGAAAATGTTTAGCTTGTCCAATCTGGAGATGGAAGCGCCGAAAGGAAGGCCACTCACAGAACCATCCATCTCAAGATATTCCTCATACTCGTTGATCTGGAGTCGCACCCAGGCAGACTCGCGGTTCCCATAGCCGTGCCATTTGGTAAGGGTGTTGATGGCAGACTCCCTCTTGCCTCGGGTGTACAGCCATCTCGGGCTCTCTGGGAGAAGGAAGCTGAAGACGCAGATCAGCCCGGGGAAGACCATCTGCAACCAGATCGGGATGAGCCAGGATGCGTTCCCCTTGATGTTCAGCCCACCACGGGTCGCCCCGGACGAAAGAATCGAGCCGGCGAGCCAGGTGGTGTTGCACAGCCCGGTGATGATGCCACGGTATTTCGGATGCGCCGTCTCCACGATCCAGATCGGTCCGGCTGCGGCGGCAATGGAAACGCCAAAGCCCAGCACGAATCGGCCTCCCATCATCTGGCCTTCCGACGCGTTGGCCGACGTCAGACCTTGCACAATGGTGCCGAGGACGATGAGAATGCTGCCGATGAACATGCCTGCGCGACGGCCCCATTGATCAATGCAAGGCCCGACAAAGGGCAGGGCGCAGACCCCTCCGATCTGGTACATCGAGGTGATCAGCCCGGCCCAGATCCCTTTGTTCTCGCCGTGGAAGTGGGCCAGGAAGTACTCCTTGTTGTTCAACAGGCCTCCGAACAACATGGTGTCGTAGCCGTTCATGGTCTGGCAGAAGAATCCGATCAACAGCGCCCCGAAAAGGAGCAAGGTCTGTGGATGGCTGAGCGGGACTGCTTCCTGGATCATTGCTTCATTGAAGGCCTCGCTGCCTTTGACCTCTTTGATTTCCACGACCTGTATGACAGATAAGTTGTTGTTCTTACTAGATACAAGGTAGGTAGGTGTGTGATGGGTGCACCTATGACTTACATCCTTGCCTTTGTCGATCGAGTCAACATGCTCCAGTCTCTGTTGGGGGTCATCAATCTTCTCTGTGTTCGACATGTTGGTTAGGTTGAGTGCCAAACTCCTGACAATGAGGGAGAGTGGTCGATGCTTGTTGAGATGAAGAGCACAAAACTCCGGAGGTCTTGCATCTCTTTATTGTTTCGAAGCCACCGACCTGGTATGTGATTCTCCATGCTTCCCCCGGTCGGTCTGTGTACAGTAACTCGATCAAAGCCAGGGGGAATCAAAGCCACCCGACGTGAAGCCGAAGATGGAGGGTGGACAGAGAGCCAGGCCGGTGAGCGCTCGAGGACAGAACAGAAGAGATGCTGGCTCGAACACTAACCAACCTCAAGTGCTCCAGACCAGTGCTGGAGTCCATTTCCCCAGCCGTTCTCAATCCGGGGATGGCATGACTCTCCAGGCCAAGGGAATGGAGTGGTATCATGCGGAGGATTCAACGTAGAGACTCAGGGGATTGGGCAATTCAATGCTCCTAGCTCCAAGATGCCAGTCGGCCAAGAGGATGCTTCTTCACCACCATGTGTTGCTGACCAGTTCGATTCGCCCGAGGCCAGCGTGCCCAAGCAAGACATGCCCCATGCCCGGGCCATGGGTGAGATGGGCTTGCCAGCAACAAGAATCATTCGTCGAGCATGACTTCCAGAATTCGAAGCTCCGGGGACATGCAAAGCAACCGAGGTTCTAGCGGACTCGTTGGCTTCGATGTAGTATTGAGTGTGCACTGGCACTAGTGCTGATGTTTGAAATGAACCGTTGGCAGTTTACCGACCCATGCCTCCATCGTTCCATGGCGATGGCGGTAACCCCGCGAAATCAGGAGTCAGGAGGGGTCCAGCCTCGCTTATGCCACTTCAGGTATCAACTGCTGCTTCGACGCCAGTCTCACTAAAAAACACCAAGGACTTGAATATCCGGGCTAGTGGGCGGGACCAACACCGTCATGTAAAGGGGGTTAAACTCAAGAGATGTGAGGTCTTCTCTCTTGAACTGTCTCCGAGGATTAAGCGGGCCGATGTCGACTGATCTTGTAGCTTCTGAATCATCAATCTTCGGAGATCAGGCATCATGCACTCCTACACCTTCTCATGCGAACAATGCAGAAGCTCAAGCAAGCCTTTCGTCCGGTGGCTGGTTCTCAGTGTTGGTGCAGAAGTTCAATGGCATGGTTTGTGCCTGGTTGTTGCCCTATTCCCCGGTTGATATTGGCGCCAGTGCCAGTCCATCGCCTAGCCGCTCATGGACCTGGACTACCTGGGTTCGAGCTCCCCTCCGTGTCTACCATGGCAGCACTTTTCCAAAAGGTTCATCTTCGGCATGGGAGTTGTTGTGATTCTGCGTTCAATCCAAGCCATGCACTTGGTATCTGACTGCAAGAACGCAGTGTGTGCTCTTTTTTTACACATTCCGATCGATCTCATCTTCGAGATCTTGGCCCTTTGCGTGCGAATGAAATGGACTAAGCTTGACCAGCACAAGCCAGCTCTGCAACGAGGTTCTGGCTGATCCTCGGCAACATGGCAGTTGGGATGCGCGCCATTCAGGCTGTTACTGCACAAGTCTGGTAACGATGAACCAACATCTAGCCTTACAGGATACCATGACCTGGCGACATTAATGGCGCAAAGGAGGTCACTCGCGTTCTCAGCCAGAGCGGATCTTGCTCATGATGGCGTTGCCCCGCGTATCGACGAAGTCCGGCATGTACCAGCCCATATCAAATCATCGTTGTGGGCTTCCCATGACTGGTCACTGCGGCAAGCCTATGCATCGTTGAACAGTTGAACTTGTATGGACGCGGTTGACGGTGTTGAGCTGGAGACTGGCGCCGACCCAAGATATGATTCAAGAGGCTATGGGTTGTATGCTGACACTGATCTCTGTTCCCTTGTTGGCGAAAAGGGTTTCGACCGTCATTTTGTCAAGGACGGATGCATCACTTTGGGGAAGGCTGCTTCACCCGGTTTCTCTCCTCGGAAGGGTACTCTGCATCATCTGCAGCTGCTCTCCTAACGGAGCTTGCTACCATTGTCGCTCCATACTGTATGCATTAATAACGAATGCCCGGGTAAGTGTCGGTCTCGAACTGACAATGAAGCAAGGATGCACTCGGGAAAGGCCTGCCCTTGGCTTGTCGAGTGATCTACCTGGTGGTGAGTTGACTTCCAGTCCTGGCTCTTGCTGTCTCTCAGTCTCAACCTCAGTCTCAGTCTCCTGCTTTTACACCCTGGCATTTCAACCCGGGCGGTAATGGAGAAGACTGAGCCAAGTGTTCTCGCTTCTCGGATGACGCGGGTGGAAGTGGATTCTGTGATTTGTGTCTGCATGAGTGTGACTTGTGTTGATATCTCTCTACTATGGAGTGATGGAGGTGGACAAAACTCAATCATCATCGCCCTGATTTGCCGTGGTGGGCTTCGAGAATATGGAAGGGCGTCATATGATTAGAATCTCTTCGCTCTTCAAGCAGCAGTCAGTCATATGGTTGTTCAGTCCACGCTCTTCATGCACATCCGTCTCTGTGGTGGTCTCTGCGGCTACGAGCTGCCTGCGGACGAAACAAGGCACGCGATACCATTGCCCCATAGGTTAAGCGGTCGTGGGTGTGGATTCTGTCAAAGGGGATGGGAGAAGGGTGTTCATCGTCTTGCCCATGCTGCACCTGTCAACAGTTAGCGGGTAGCCATGATGAACGAGCCTTCATAAGCCAGATGTGCCAGATGGGTCTGAGGTGCCAACCCGCACTATGGAGGGACGGAGATGTGGTGTGTTGTGGTGTGGTCTGCAGCTTCTGGATACGTCGCTGACCAACAACATAAGTGCTTGAAGCAGGCGGAGGGATTGTATCTGAGACAATGATGAGGGAACAGGGTTGGTCGGCTCGAAGGGAAGCCTACAAAATTAATGGTAGGCAGTGATGGGAAAATGTATAGGGAGGCCAACAACTTGATATATGGAAACGAAGCACATCCAGAAGGTGTGAGTCGTCTGTAATTCATCCATCTACAACGGCCATTCATGAATCACAGAACGAGCTGTTGATCACCAGGATACATCCAGTCGCCAATATCGACACAAGCAGTGCTGTTGGATGTCGACGTGGCAATCATCTCATATATAGCGTCTATCTAGGACTGGGGTTGAAAAGTAGCACGCGCACGTCGAATATGGTCAAGTACTGCGTTACAAACTATGTACATGCCAGTCCCAGCCTGCTCCCATAAATGCCACCTCACTCTCCCCCTTTACATGTTGACCACAGCCATGCCCTGGGGATGATATCGATCACCCTTGACGGGGATCTTCTTGATGATCTCCTCGAGCTCCTCCATCTCCTGCTGCGTCAAGTCGATCAATTGAGTATTCTCCACGACTCTCTCCGGCGTGGTCGCGCCAGGGATTGGAATGATGGTCCCCAACTTGACCTTCTCTCCATTTTCTGTGGTGATAGTCCGACCGCTCAGACCTCTGACCCAAGCGATGGCAATCTGGGCCTTGGTCACGCCCTTCTTGTCGGCCAGCCGCTGGACCTCATCGACAATGCGATTGTTGTGGCTGAGCACATCGTCCTGGAACCGCGGCAGCAGCCGGCGGATATCGCCCTCGGGGATGTCGGAGTTCTTGCGAATCGTGCCGGCCAACGCGCCCCGACTGAGCGGGCTGTACGCGACAATGGGGATGCCCAGTTTCGCACAGGTCGCGGCGACGCCGTTGGTCAGAATGTCCGGCGTCCACAGCGACACCTCGACTTCGACGGCAGCGATGGGGTGGATGGCATGGGCCTTTTCAATCGTGCTCGCCTTGACCTCCGACAGACCGATGGCGCCGATCTTGCCTTCCTTGACCAGCTCGGCGAGCGTGCCGATGGTCACTTCCAGCGGCGTCTTGGGGTCGAGACGCGCGCACTCGAAAATGTCGATCTTCTTCGTCCCGTCCAGAACTCGCAGACATTCCTCCACGCTGCGCCGCACGTTCTGCGGCGAGCCGTCCGGGATCGCCGTGCCAGGAAGACACCCGCCCTTAATGCTGAGCACCACTTTGTCCGCGTCCTGCGGGTTCTGCGTGAAATACTCCTTCAGCAAATGGCACGAGTTGCGCTCCGCTGTGCCGTAGAGCTCGCCGCCGTTCCAGAAGTTGGCGCCCTGCGCCAGCGCCGTCGACATTGCTTTGAAGCTGTCGCTGGCCGGCTGCGGGTGCGCGCGCCATGTCAGTCCCATGAGGCCGTAGCCGATGGGGCCGATTGGCTTGGAGACGAGGGTGAGGTTCGCCATGATAAGGAAACGAGAGAAAGAGAGGTTTCTAGTGTGTGTGATGGGATGATTGAAGACTTTAGAGCTGAGACGTTCGATTCGGTCGACGAAAGTGCTGTGGCGGCGGAAGAAAGAGTTGGTGTGGTGTGTTTTATGTTCTATAGAGTATCCCGTTGGAAGAGATGCGGAGGTGTTATTGCGGCATATATACAGACAGAGTACTTGATGTTTGATCTGGAATCCGGTATGGAAATCCTCCGAAACCTCAACACGTATTCAACTTCTCTATGGAAACGGAAGCTATCGATCAATCAACCGGAGGTGGAGGAGATCGGTCGTTCGGCCCAAAGCGGTCACCTCCCCGAAGGTCCGAATATTTGAAACCCCTAATCATGGGCGGCAAAGTCGCAGATGGGTGTCATAACATCAATCACTACTACTGTGGTCCTCTTTGATAGTAGATTCCAGCAATACAACAGCTGCTGGAGAGGCTGTGGAGGCATAGAGGGAATTTGCAATGATGATGTAATCAGTCCTTGGGTTGGAATGTGTGGAACGGTGGAAGATGAGGTGCAATTCCATCCAATCAGAATTGTGAGATAGTGTGTCTCGGTCGGAATTAAGTCCGTTTAAGCCCGCCATCGCTGTTGACTCTGTAGGCCTATTATTGATATTGATATTGATATAGATACCTATAGACATTGATATTGCAAGCCTCAATTAACGGTAGCTCCCTCCTACCTTGGACTCGCCGATTATCAGATAAGAATGAATATGTCTGAGAATCAAGTCAAGACAACACCATCTGTATTCGCAACTTATATCACTTGAGGTCTTCTGGCGCAACTGCCCTGGGACAACCACGTTTCTCCTGCTATGGTGTCAGACGCGTCTCTGATATACTGTTGTAGGACAAGGTAGCTGCTGAGGATAGAGCGGCTGGCACGGCCCCTCTACCTGGAGATCCTCCACATCATGCGATCATCGCTTGCCTCCAGTATTTCTCGCGGGACTCGACGCCAAGGTGACCATATGCATATCCCAAAAGTCCTCGCCCAGCGCCATCGTCGTCCATGCTCCCCCCATTTCCATGTACATTTAGCGGATACCCGTCCCCCAGTCAAGTCGTCATGTTGCAGAGCTTGCATGTATCCGAGCCAAGCCCCAGATTCAAAGAAGATAGCAGCCTCCAAACGACCAGACGCTTTCTGAATAAAGACTTTTCTTCTTGCTTTGCATGCCCTTCACCGATTACTCCGTTTTCCACCATGATCCCGCGAATGCCGTCAGGTGTTTGTTACATTGTTCTTTGCAGGTTTGGTGCAACGTGATCTGCCGGTAAGATGGAATGGGAGGCTAGCGAAAAGACGGGTTGTGGCTTTCAGGCTCCTCGACGGGCAGTATAAGTGTTCGATGCTCATCCGAGTCCGGAGTTCCTGTCGCCAAAACAAAAAAAAAGGATAAGAGACACTCAAGTACTCCAAGTTCCCCTTGCTTCATGTTATACCTTCTTGTGTCGTCAATCGCCGGTCGCAATGCTGGAAAAAAATCGTCATTCTGATGAAGGGTATCATTTGTCATCCTCTATTTGGCACAGCAAATCATGTCAGCCTGGCATCGAGGCCGACAAAATCATGAGATCATTCAAATTGGTCGTTCTGCGTGTCGCTGACCGTGTCGCTGAGGTTGATGAGCAGTTGCGCGAGACATCGCTTGGTGGCTGCATCGTCTCGGAGCACGTTGCTGAATGTCGCATCTCGTAAGGGTTCGGGCAGGCATTGCCGAAGTGCCTGACGTGCTCGGTTGTTGTCACTCAATCTGGTTTACCGGTCAGCGGAAAGCTCTGCGGGTGATAGATCGGCACCATCAACATACCTCAGGAAACATCGGACGACGTGCTTCAATAGACGCACGGTTTGCGTTTCAACCAAGCCGATGACCATGTTGCTCAAGACGGTCCCAACAGCATAGAATCTCTCGTATGTGGCACATATATACCCGAGGCCGGTGTCATCCAGGAGGATTTTCTGAACAATGAAGATGGCAACTGTTTTAGACAATTCACTGCCCGTCTCCATGATGCGGAGGCACAAGGGGATTATCTCCGTCGTGAGGAGGAAGTTGATGGTGGGAGAAGAATTGCTGCTGTTTCCAGGCGCCCCAGGTGTTCCGGCCGGGTTCATCGAGACGCTCGAGGATGGCTCGTTCTTGACCAGAGCGCCAATGACACCCAAAGATGTCAGGCGCAGGTATTCAAAAGGTCTTGATTTGGATGTGGTGTTCAAGAAGGGGTAGAGGAACAAAGGGATGTGGGCTGGTCAACATTAGCACTGGGCCACACATATCAAATCTGGAATCCCACTCACCATGAAGAAAGAGACCTCGTGTCTCATTGTGACTCGCCACACACTGGAGCAGGGCCAGCGCATTGCAGACTCGGTTGCTGGCGGCCGCGGTGAGCTGGCTCGGGTTCAGTAAAGGGTACACCGAGATGATTTCCTGAAGCAAGCTGGTCATGACGCCAAAGCTGTGCCAAAGAATCAAAGCCAGCTCCGGCACCTGTTCTCTCTTTTTGCTCAATTCCATAAGAGCTCCTTCTCTCCTATTTGGGTCCATCAACTCCGCCACCCATTGCAACACCTTGCGGTTCTCCTCGGAGAGCTGTTGTTCCATGCCAGGTGAGCCCTGTTCGTTCATCGTCGTCAAGGAGGTCACGACCGAGTTTTGCGCGTTGTCGCCGGACGACTGGCGGTTGGCATTCTGCGCGTGGGACGAATTATGGTTCTGATTCATCGCGATCCGGTTGTAGTGCTGTTGTTGAGCAGCGGCCGCGGCCGCGGCGGCAGCTTGTGCCTGGGCTTGTTGTTGTCCATGACTCAGGCCTTGATGATTCTGCTGCGGACCATTGTGTTGCCAAGCAGATTGTTCATGCTGGCTGTATTGTTGCTGGTGTGAATAAAGATGCTGTGTCTGAAGCATGGTGTTCGGTGTCGGTTCGGGGACAGGTCAGGTCAGGTCAAAGTCATCCTCGGGTCAGCGGACAGCGGCGGGAACAATGGTACTGATGACACAGGAGTCGATAGAGAGATCGAGGGACGGATCGAGAGGACAATGTGATGGGTTTGGTGATTGAATACAGCGCCGTGTGAGACTCGACTTCGACTCGACTTGACAAGGGGAGAAGGACAAAGCAAGAACAGGGAGGATAAAAGCGGGGAGTTTCGAGTGTCGGGCCCCTGCGGTGCGGTGCAGTTTAGTCGCTCGTAGTGAGTGGTGGGTGAGTTTTAAGTGCCAGTGCCAGTGCCAGCACTGAAGAATTCCAGGAGCCTCACCTGCAGTGCAGTGCAGAATAATAAATGATGCTTGGCGCGAACCGAAGAAACCCGTTGCGGAAGCCTGCGCCTGCGCCAATCAAGATATGAATTCGGGCCACAGCAGCCGTACTTCCTCTCTGGGATAGACGCTGGTGTGGGTTATAGGGCGTATTACGCACTGCTATGTTGATGGGTTCGAGTCACGCACGTCTTGTGGCTCATGGCTCACACCTCACGGTTTATGAATCACCCACCAGTCACATTACTCAATCAATCACAAATGGATACTTCACTTTCCTGTCACGCTCAAATTGCAGTGTCATGCCTTTGTTCATTCCGTCTACCTATACAAGCCCAAATGTACATCACGGGCCTTTCACCAGGCTTTACTGCGTGTCTAGCTACCAAATGCCCCGACAAACTGTTTGTTACTGTTGTTGTCCCAGACCCATGTATGCATGCACCCCTATGACCGCTAAAGAGCATCAAAGAAAGACTTCGGCCAATATGCACATCATCGTCTCGACCTCGACCTCGGTCTGCTGCTTCGCCTCGTCCTTCGGTCCGATGAACTTTCACTGCCTGGGAAAGAGTCAGTATTGGAATTGCTTCAAATGCAGATGCACATCACGACTCACTTGAGATGTCATAATCCGAGTAGTAGTAGGAGCTGCCATAACCAGAATTGCTCTGCTCTTCCCGTCGATCCCGGCGTCTCTTCAAACCCAGGAATAAAGCCAGGCCACCTAGAGCCGCAGCCACCCAGCCTGCTGTGCCGATGCCGCCCGTTTTCCTCTTCTCTTCCACCACTTCAGATCTCGCTGGTCTTTGCCCAAACCACGTTCGCCCTCCTCCGCCGTTTCGACGATGCCTCTGAACATAGACTTCCTCTTCTGTTGTCCGCCGTCTTCGTCGTGGGCCGAGTCCGAATATGGCCAAAAGTCCGTCGATCAGACCTTTGAAGCACAAACAGGCGCAAAGCAAGAGGAGGAGTAGGATGCCTGCAATGACGCCGATGACGATCCCAGCGATGGCTCCTCCGCTGAGGCCACCACTCGAACTCGCAGTCGTGCCGGTAATGATGCTTCCGCCAGTTCCAACTGGAGTGACAAATGGCTGAGTAGTGGTGGCACTGGCGACAGAGGTGACGGTGACGAGGGAATTGCTCGTAGGTCGAAGAGGTGCGCTGGCGGTGTTCGTTATGACTGTGGTCACGGTATAGAAGCTGCTATAATATCCCGAGCTCCCTCCTCCGACTGCTACACAAACCCCAGACGATTGGCAATATTGCCCGGACAAACAGCAGACATTGCCGCAACCACTTTCACCAAGAGAATACGAGCAACTCTTCGTACTAGTCGGGAGGTATGAACTGAATGTCGCCGTGACGGTCTTGAGATCTGTTTGGACGTATGTTGTGGTGTAGTATTCCCATTGCCCACCCGCAGCGGCCGTGGTCGCTACGGTGCCGGCGCCGCATTGGGCTTGATCGTTGGCATCAGTGTAACACACTTCATCGGTTTCGCAGCATAACTGTCCCCAGTATCCGCATGGGTTCTGACATCTCTTTTGGACATTCTGGAGATTCTCAAAACTCTGTAGTAACTCTGGAAAGAAGGCTGCGGAGGTGGGTCGAGCGAGGAGGATGGTGACAAGGAGGGTTGAGAGAGACGATGGCATTTCGTGTAGTCGCATGTTGGACGCACAGATTCAAGGTTGGCCTTAGCTGCTGGTCAGTGCGATAGGCGTCTGTGCGTTTCTATTCGCATTGATATCTGTCGAGTATCGCGATATGGATGAGTTTGTCGCAGAGTTCCTCCACCAACAAACCACAACCAAACCACAACAGTTGACGACAATGCAAGATTTGAACAAAGACACTTTCGTGCGGATTAGGACGCAGGAATGTACAAGGAGCAGAATAGAAGGCAGTGAAGATAGAATGCAAGGTGACGCCAAAAGGCAAGGCTTTTTGCTTAGGCTAACTGGAAATACCAACCTCCTCCTGCCACCAGGATTTCTCAGACTGCGTGTGGAATTAGCACCAAACAGCCGAAAATTGTCTCAATTGTGGCTGGGAGAGGAGACAGACTGAGGCCCAGAAGCCAGCAGGTGATTGACCATGGAAGGTGTACACAAGAGGAGCGCATATTCAAGACTAAGTGTTGTTGTTTCTCTGACTTGGAAGCTGGCGGTGACTGTGACTGTTGGGTTGGTGACTTTCCCCGGCTGCGCTGGGCTGGGCTGCAAGGCCGGTACTAAACGATTGGATACACCCCTCTTCCGCAACCTGGAGCTGGCATCCCGGCGCGGTTTCAATCCACCATATCATGATTCATGAACCGAACATCTTCCATTCTGGCATATCAGCATCAGGTACCTAAGATTGAAGCTTCAATATGGAAGTTGACGATCTCGTGTTGTTGAACGTTGTCCCAGAACCTCAGGCGCCGCTTCCTAGGAACTCGTGTTGATCGTCAACAGCGATCCTTGTCAATCATCTCTCGTCATCTGTCGCATTCGTTGCCGTGGTTGCCCCGGTTCCAGCCTCCGAATTCGCTCTACTAGTACTACTACCACTAGTACCACTCCTCCTCGACTCGGTTGACCTTCTGTCTAGAGCTAGCCATCAGCCTCGTCGAGATTTGTCTTCAGCCTCGTTGCTGATTTGCCAGACGCATTCAAGTTCATCATTCCGCTCCAGCAATGCCTCTTCTGTCCCCTCTTCCTCCGATCTTCGTGGGCAATGTCAGTCTCTTTGACATGTGAGACGTACTGAGACGCGCAAGTGAGCAAGAGATGGCCGCAAATGTCTTGTTAGCTTCTCTGATCTAGCTACCCTTTGAATGGCGGCCGTCTCGCGAAGATACAAACCTTAAAGAGATGGTTACAGTGGCTGATGAAGAACTTCACGGTATCCGGTATGTTTCACGGCAGATCGACGTGTTCCTGTTGTTTTGTTGGGTGCAACGTCGCGATAGAACATCTACAAATGTCTGCTACTCGACGATGCAACCTTGTTCTGGTGAGCGCGATGCATGACCTCTATTCCTCGTCAGGGGACACACTCATCGAAGTTCGAGCACATGTGATTACCCCTTGGGCACTCAAGCTCGGGCCTTGGAACTCCTTGCAACATATACGTGTTGAGCCCCAGATTTGGCTTCTCAAGATCCCATCAAGCGAAACATCAAAAACAACCTGTGTCGGTTTCTCCAACATCCTGGAGTGTTGCCCGGTTGAGGTATATCCACATTTAAGCGAGTGCTGGACTCGGCACAGATTGACCTCCGGCCGTGTTGCAAGGATCCGGAAGAACAATGGAACTTTGTCCCTAGAGATGCCCCCTATAGCGGCAATAGACACGGCTCCTGACTCCCTTCCTTCCGCGCCACTGTGTGTGCGTCGGACGCAGCACAGGCTGACATGGACAGCATCAAATCAGGCCGCGCTGCCGTTTATATGCGTTCAAGGGAAACCAGCTTCGGACCCACGGCCTTGACACGGCACTGCTTGGGTACCAACCACAAGAGCTTCAAAATGTTCCAGATATGTTTGTGTCTACTTGATGGCCAACGACTTCGTGCTCTGCAGCCTGTACTAGGCTTGACGCCGTAGCGAGAATGGTCCTAAGCACAACAAGGTGGAAGCGGCAACACCATGCCCCCTGTGACAGCTAGTTCTAGGTTCACCGTCTCCCAACGAAGAATGCAACCGAGCCACCGGCAGGTATCACTGGATGGGATAAACATTGCGGGTAGGTGCTCAACGCGGCCTCTCCAAGTCGCCCGCCCGCCTTTGCAGTTGCATTAGTGTTTCAGCCTCATTGGACCCTTATGAGTGTGGCCGTCGGATCTGAGTAAGGATGCATTCGACTTTGTTTGCTGACTGATGAAGAACTAGCCTGAGCCCTGCACAGTGAGCACACCGCACTAGCAGGGGCTGATTGCTAACAGACTTGTCAACAGAGGCACCTTCGGTCCTTAGGGCGCCTTTTCCATGCGATTTAGATAGTCCGACACGACTTCCGCACCCTTTCTCCTTTCCTTTCTGCTTCCAATCCGGGCCTACGGTTTATGCCGCCATCGATTCTGCCTGAATCAAAGTGCCAAAGAGATGTGCGGCAACCATTCTACTGGAAGCTTCGAATCACCGGCTATTCATCGCTTGGAGACCCCCGGCCCACAGATGGACCGCACCACGTTCCCACTTTCGAACCCTTGACAGCCTTATGCTTGGTGGCCTTGTATAAAGACATCTGCTCTGCCCATTCCGACCATGCCCTCGCACGGCTCTCTCTTTGACTCATTCCTCACTGCTGAGAGGTACGCGCCGTCCAGAAAGACAGAAAGGATTCTCTAATCGGCCCGGGAGAGAATTCACAGCATAGCCACCCAGTAACCCAACCATGACTGACTTCACCTCCGTCGACGGCTGGCTTCAGCGACCGGACATATTCTTGCCCATCGACAGTACCTTCCAATGGGACTACGCTGGCGCCCAAAGCCCGAAGAACATGGTCAACCATTACAATGATGTATGCTTTTCCCTTCCACATCGATCGAGACATCTTTCATTGACACGCGAGTGAAACGGTAGCTCCTGCAACGAGCAGCTGATCTCTACGCCACTCTTGACCATTCATTCGACAGCATATCTTCATCAAGTTCCGACGCCTCTTATACATCGTCACCGGCGCAACGTGTGTCATCTGCCAGCACCGTGGTGGCGCAGGTCAAGAGTTCGATTCCCGACAAGCTTGAGGTATGCGGAACCAGACAACCTCTGATGTTTCACTTTCCCTGCAGAAGATCTGACCTGTCGTACAGCGGAGACGCGAGCAAAATCGTTCGTCGCAGCGTGCATACCGCGAACGCAAGGAGCGTCATCAGAAAGAACTCGAAGGACAGATTGCCGATTGGCATCAAAAGCACAAACAATTGTCTCAGTCATACTCACAGCAAAGCAAGGAAGTCACCCGGCTCAAGATGCAGATTGAGCAATTGAACGACGAAATCTCCCAGCTCCAGTCCTGCTCGTCCACTCTGTGTGGATCACTCTGCGAGTCTCCTCAAGAGTTTGACCTTGTGCCGTTCTTCGAGTCCGACGATTGGAGTCCCGCCACTACGCCACGGCCGTCCCATGCCTCGCCCTCACGGCGTGTCTCTTCTTAGGGTTGCCGCTTAGATGGGCCGGTAGGAAGTTGGGCGGTTCTTTTCCTGCTGCTAGATTGATAACGGTGGCGTTTGGGATTGCGTTCGGAGGCCATTGTCCAGTCTTCAGCAGCTCCTTCAAGCATTCGGCAGTCATGGTCCCTTAGTCACCATACATCTCACACCATCATCGCCTCTCCACAGCGGACGGTGTCGTCGACTGTTGGCTCGTCCCTCATTCTGATACTACCCAGAGAGTGTTCTATAGCCTGGAATAACAACATCAAATGCCACGCCTGCTGTAAGCCACCTTAATCGGCTTCCCCTGTCGACCAGGATTGCCCTGCGCGGCGCTTCATGCAGGTCGCAGCGGTATCTTCTAGGGCACATGCATCGTGCATTGCGTTACAAGCTGACGTTCCTTCCCGGTTGAAGGATATCGGCCAACTCCGGCCTACCATGGACTTTATACTCCCGGGATGGGGATATTACTCCAATATAGGAAGTGGGTTTCTAGCAACCTACTGGTCAGCCCCACCCGATTGATGCTCATCCGCACCAGCCAGAGTGCGAACGAATGAGACCCCCAGCACGAAGTTCTTCGAGTTAGTAGGATGCGCAGAACGACTTACATAAATGCTGCTTCGCCGAAATGGGTTATCGACTCTGTGGCTGAGGTTCTCCTGTTATCATTAGTATCGACTCCGCTTCCGTGCGTTCCACCTAGTAGTAGTAGTTGCTGGCTTGATATCTGCATTCTGCATAACATATGGGCACTTGTTGGCCAGGCTTTCCCGCATTTTCGATTCTGCTCGCTTTGCGATTCTCCGTCTGACAGGCGGAGAAGAAAACAAGGAGAGTTGGTGTCCACGGGTATGTGGGGTCCTATCAATGCTAATCTGTGTTATCTGCATTTGCTGCTCTTTTCGTTCCAGACATTCCTCCTTTGCTGAGCGGTTCTTAAGCACGGGCAATAGCATCAGATGGTATGGTATGGTAGATATCTGGATAGCTGCAAATGCCATTCACAGTCAGATTCGTGGCCCGTCGCATATGTGTCTGATAGGGAACTTTGTCGTGGAGCTCTTCTCGGAACAACTGGGATTTGCTCGTCGCACTTCTTTTTGGTGCTGGGTGGGTATGCAATGTACAGACCACTGCGTATTCCGACTGCATCTGAACGAATGTAACCATCCGGTAGGGTTGAGGATTCCCTGAACCACTGCAGCCTGAGAAGATCCTACGCGTTCTGTAACAGCATGGACAGGCGTCTGACTCTGAAGCTCAATCATGCACACTGTTCCTCGGTCCTCTTTGAACCGATCCAGCCCCATTCAATCAGGGTGTGGACTCCCCAGCAAGCGATGTTCATCATGCGATGCTGCAAGGTGAGGAAAGGTTTAAATCCAGATTGGGTAAAAGGCAGGGATCTGATGTTAGTGCCACATGTGCAGTCTCCATTGCTTACCTTATACTATACGAAGCCATTCAAGGAGAAACCCAACCAACTGGAGTCTTTTTATCAAGGATACTTGTGCTTTGTCATGACCCTTCGCAATGACTTAGTTGCGGCATTGCTGGGTGATGGTTCCCAGGCCGCCCATTTGCTGATGTATGGTGGGGTTTGCACCAGCAGAGCATAGGCCGATGTTGAGCAGGGACTGTGATTTGACAATATTCTCGAGTCCTTTTGTTCAAAGAAGGAAACTCCTGCAAGCGAGGATGAACTGCTCTCGCAGTAATTAACCATAGGCAGGTTTCGTATACTATATCGGCTAACCGTTGGTATAGAGTCGCGACGGTGGTCAGCAAGGGCGGCATCACCATCTTTCCTAATCGGGGTGAGCACTTGGCAGCACGGGTTCACCTCTGCTCTCCGAGTCCGATCTCCTATTACTACTGCTGCTATTCTTGTGTACTACGTACTACGCACTGGCTTCTGGAGATGTCACTCGGTCCATTCTGATTCATTCTGAGCCCTCTATGTATGGGCGAGATGCACCAAGTACGACATGACCGCAGATGACGAAGGCTCGGAGGAATCAGTTAAGCAGTCTCCAAATGGACAACTTGACACCCAATCTCCTCTCCTCTCGCCCACCGAGGACACCTCTCCCTTGAATAAAGACGACTCTGATACCGCCGTCAGGGCGGTGCGCCCTTCCGCTCTGCGACACTCCTCTCTACACCACCCTCGACCCGACGGGACCCCTCGTACCCCGAACAGGGTGCGATTCGACGTTGATGACAATGTCAATGGCGGTCCGCCAGAGGAATGGGTGGACGAAGAGGATTATTTGGACTCCCCGAGTCAACATGCACCACTATTGACGGATATCACTCCTCCGGCCGACTCCCCTTTTCGATCAGAAGCCTTCCAACCCGAAGATTACCTGCCAGATGCGAGGCCTAAGAGTGGGATGCCGAGTGCTTTCATGAACATGGCAAACTCGATCATAGGGGCGGGGATCATTGGTCAACCTTATGCCTTCCGCCAGGCAGGTCTGATGATGGGAGTTCTTTTGCTCGTTGGTCTGACCGTGACAGTGGATTGGACCATCCGCTTGATCGTGATCAACAGCAAACTGTCTGGCGCAGATTCGTTTCAGGCAACCATGCAACATTGCTTCGGGAAGAGTGGCCTGGTTGCTATATCGGTCGCTCAGTGGGCGTTTGCCTTTGGGGGAATGGTTGCGTTCTGCATCATTGTTGGGGATACAATCCCGCATGTCATTGAAGCACTGTTCCCGGGGTTGAGTGGGGTTCCGTTCCTTTGGCTTCTGACAGACAGACGGGCGATCATTGTACTCTGCATCCTCGGCGTCAGCTGGCCGTTGAGTTTATACAGGGATATAGCAAAGGTTAGAGCCACTTATCCGTCATTCCTCCGTATCGCTACTGACGGTCGCAGCTCTCCAAAGCCTCGACATTGGCGTTGATCAGTATGGTTGTCATCATTCTTACGGTGGTGACTCAAGGAGCTGTTGTTGACCCAGAGCTGCGAGGAAGTCTCAAAGGTCTTCTATTTGTCAACGATGGCTTCTTTCAGGCAGTGGGGGTGATATCGTTCGGTAAGGCTTTTTCACTGGTGGATTGTCCATACATCTAACCGCTACAGCCTTCGTCTGCCACCATAATTCCCTGCTTATATATGGCTCTCTAAAGACCCCTACGCTAGACCGGTTTTCGGCTGTGACACATTACAGCACTTTGATCTCGCTGATCGCTTGCCTTGTCATGGCGCTCGCGGGATTCCTCACTTTTGGCGACCGTACCAAAGGCAATGTGCTGAACAACTTTCCTCCTCAAGGCCACTTGATGGTTCAGATTGCCCGACTGTGCTTCGGGCTGAACATGCTTACGACTTTGCCTCTGGAATGTTTTGTCTGCCGAGAGGTGATGAACAACTATTGGTTTCCGGAAGAGCCTTATCGACCCAACCGACATCTGATTTTCAGCAGTGCACTTGTGGTCGCGGCTATGGCCGTCAGCCTCATGACATGTGATCTGGGAGCGGTTTTCGAGCTGATAGGAGCCACCAGTGCTTGTGCACTTGCCTATATTCTCCCGCCGCTGTGCTACATCAAACTAAGCACCAGGAGTTGGAAAACCATACCTGCAGTGGTTTGTATTGTATTTGGCTGCGCTGTCATGACTGTCAGCTTGGTCCTGGCTATGAAAAAGATGATTAGAAGTGAGTCCGAATTGCTCCTGGCGTATCTTCTGATTGATATACTGACGTGCCTGATCTAGATGAAGGAGAACCACATCAATGCTAGAACGCCATAGTAGACGATGACTATCCTAGATAAACCGCCTTTCGGTAATGCAGGCGCAACGTGAATGCAAGATCGAATACTACCAATAATCTAGATCAAGGGCTGCCCAACAAGAACATTCTTGTCTTTGTGAGATTAAGAATTAGTCTCCCGCCCAATAGTACCTCAGGCCACGCTGTAGTAGTAAAGCAAAGAGAGAAACAGGTCTCGAGGACTGCTTCTCGGTGCTTGTCACAGCTTGAATCCCCATGCCAGCCACATTTGTAATACAGCGTCCCATCCGAAGGGAGTGATCCATCACTCTGGCACTGCAGGAATGTACTACTAATAGTACTAATAAGTAGGACATTATGGCGTTGCAGCTGCGGCCCCGCGCAACGTTGGTAGCGCTTCAAGCAAAGAACCTTTCCTCCAGAAGCCTAACATGTGTGCATACACCGTACCACCGGGAGATTCAAATTTGACCACATCGTGATTCGATCGGGAAACCAAGCGAATCCAGTGTCTCTGTGTGCTCCGAAAAGCCCAGGGGAAGGTGCTGATGCCGGCGGGCCAGATCATGTAGGTATGATATGCATACAGAGTCAGGAGGCGTGTTCTACTGTATTCTTCCCATTATTCTTCTCTGACCAAGGCTCCAATAACCGCCCGACTGTCTGAGACCGCGGCATGGGACGAGGTGAAAGGGTGAACTCAGAGACAGGGGAAGCAGAAGTTCTCCGTACCCATGTGAGTGGGCGGATGGTGGCGCAGTACCTGAGGATGGTCAATTGGTAGGAGGCATAATGGGACAGGTAACAAAACAGAAGCGGATTCGATGGAGTGGCCGAAACTGCGTTTTAACCAGTCGGCGGGCCGCCTGCGCTTGCTACCCCTGGATTTCTCACCACCATCGTCCACTCGTGCGACGACGATATCCCCCAGAACAAGAACCTTGTTCTCTAGCCTTGCACCATCCACTCGCTCCTCTCATGCTCATTTACATGCGTTTCAGGCTGGATCTCGAATGCCTCCATTTCACCCTGGCTACGGCTAGGTCAACCCTGCTCACTTTCTCGGCTCCGCCGTCCTACAATTTCCTCGCTCTGCAACCAGCAACCGGCAGCCATGGTAAATGCAATCGTCGTGTACTCCTTCTCTTCACTCTTTCCTCTGTTCTGTTTGCTATGTTTTGTGTCTTGTCCAGCTCGCCGTCGCTCCTTTGATCATCTTTCCAACGTCCTAGAGACGTCAGTCATTCCTTTTCATCTCTCCACGATCGCTTGCCTGCCAAAACTATTTGACGTTCTCCGCCGCGGGTTGAATCCGCCACAGACAGACAACAGACAGCTTGACAGGTCCCTGAACAGACAGACGAAACGAGAAAAAGTAAAAGGACCGGAACGGACGAGGCCAAAATGCATTTCAAAACGGTGGCAGTTGTGGTGGCCTCCCTGACTATGGCCCAGGCTCGCCCGGGTGGCATGCTCTATGGGCGCCAGTTCGGCAATGATACTTGGTCGGACTGGTCTGGAACAAGTACAACGACGAGCTTGGCCGTAGAGGAGGTTTCCACCAGCAGTGCGACAACGCCGACGACGACGACAACCACCACCGCTTTGGCCATTAGTGCTGTCACCAGTGCTTCCACGACCTCTGCATCGAACACAACCGGTGAAACCTGGGTTGATTGGACGAGCTCGTTGACGAGCTCCATCACGTCCAGCCCTTCTCCGGTTGATTTAGCTGTCAGCCCGACTGCAGCCAGCAATGATACTTGGAGTGATTGGGAAGCCCCAACAACCACGGTCACGTCGAGCGAGACACCAGTGGTCAGCACCACGGTGGAAGAGTCTACCATGACCTTGACCTTGGGCGTCGGTAATTCAGCGTCGGTAGTGACAACCACCATCCGCATGAGCAAGACCTTTACCCTCACCAGCACCATATATGCTACCATAACCAAGCCATCAAGTGGTTTGGAGGGTGCAACCGCGGTGAACGACGTAGCTGCTGAGACGGCGATACCTCCCACAACGTCCATCCTGGAGACTCCCATCACCGAAACGCTTACCGTTGTGCCTCTACCAACCGGAACGGCAGGCGAAGTTGCTGTTGGTGCAACTGGTTCGGGGTCTGGTGCGTGTGGTGTCGCTTATGTGACCGTCACGGAGGTGGTACAGAGCACCATCACCGTCACAGCCAGCCCGACCGAGATCAAGCCCATCCAGTCCACGGCACCGAGCTATTGGTTTAGTAATGGGACCGAGTCGACAACCGGACAGGAGTTCGCCAGCTCCGGGTTCCTCACGGTGTCCACCTACGCTACCCCTACGGGATGGAAACCATGAATAGCCGGGTTGGTATGAGGACAGGTGATTTGTTGAGGAGCAAGGCAGGAGCCTGAGAGATATACATTTTCAATTCTTGGACAAACACCTTTTTGATCTATTCTATTTCTTCTTTGCAAGAGTGTTGTCTTCCAAGCGAAGATCTTGCCGCCGATTTCCGGCATTTGACAGATGACCAGGGTAGACAATTGAGAGACCATGATCAACTTACAAGTACGTATCATTTAAAAAAGCTGGAAGAGTGTTCTCGTGATCTGTCTCGATCTGCGTCATGACGAAATGCAGTGTCCATTCCAAAGTTTCATCTGTTTCGATTGCCATCATCTGTGGCGTTTGTGGCGTATGGTTTGGTGGTGACGTGTGGCGCAGTAACTGCTGAATCCGTAGTAGCGCGGACCCTTGCACGGCTTGAAACAGCGAGAACTGACGTCGTTTATCAGGTCGACAACGCGGAGGGATCGCCAGCTGTCCTGCGAACAGCTTCAATATCACGTCAAGAGGTAAAGACTCTGAGAATGAAGGATTCCAATTGAGGCATACGAATATGGCTTGTTCAAGGTACAAGAGGAAAGAAATCATCCCCCTGCCAGTGCTGTTTGTTATTGTACGGTCGGTTAGCAGTACCAACTTTGAACCCTTGGACTGCCAGTGTTCTACCCAATCCTGCAGTGCTGCTAATGGCATGGCCCCGCATCGATGATGCTTGACTCTGACCCCCAGGAAGCTTGGATTCTCTTGCGTCTACATGCCCGGTACTCAGTAGTAGTAGTAACATGCTACAAGTTGGCTTTTGGAGCCCACCCACCATGGACCCTTTGTGGCTACGAACCTCACATTGTACAGTGCCTGAGTGGTGGGAGGAAGCAACATACGTAACAAAGCCCGCCGTCAATAGGTCAGGTTCGTGCCTCAGATGTAGGTACTGAAGTCTCTCGGCTCGTTACTCTGGCTCGGGAACAGCTGGGAGCTCTCAACACTGTCATCACCCTCTCACACCCACGGCATTGACTGCCCAATGTCACCTCTCACCTCTCACCTCTGGTCACTGCGCTGCGCAATGACGCATGATCCATGGCGTCAGATCTTGCCATGCCCCCAACGATCTCCTACGATCGGCTGCTCTCTGCCGCAGGGCATGGCCTTTATAACCCTCTGCCTTTCCCTGTGTCGCCTGAAGGTGATCCTGGTATCAGTTAAAACTTCGACCATTAGGACTTGAGCATTGCAAATTGCACAGATCATACACATCGTACTTGTATATCCCACACATTGACACGTCGACGAACAACCTTCACACATCATGGAGTCTGCAAAGAAGACCATCAGCAGCATCGTGTACGGCAGCGATGAGACCGGCCAGGTAAGTTGCAATTCTCTGCATACACTTCGACTTTGTGGACCAGTTCTGACCGGTAAACGCAGTCAACAAATAGCACAGGCCCCGGGTAAGTTGGCACACGTTATTGAGCCATGGCACAGAGGACATGATGCTGACATGGTTGTTCGCCAGGACTCACAACTCGGATACATTCTCCTCTGCCGGAACCAACCACACTTCATCGTCCACCGCCGCCACGCACAATACCACCTCAAGCGCAGCTACCGACACCAAATCAGCTCCCACCGTCCATGATATAACCACTTCGAACGGAGGTGAAGGCACCCATTCCCATGTGGGAGGCGCCCACCACACTGCAGGCACCCACCACCATCAGGAAGGCTCTGAATTCCGCTCAGGCACTCAGCAATACGAAGGCACCAAGCATCATGATGGCAGTCATCACCATGAAGGTCCCAGACACTCTGGCACGCCGTCTGAACCAGACCGTGCTGACGTACAAACTCCACATCAAGGCCGAGACCCAGCTCTCGTCGGTGAGCCCGCTGGCACGGGCACAGGCAAATTGACCGGCACCGCTGAACCAGGTTCACACAGCGCCGTCTTTGGTCTGACTCCGGATGGTCATAGGGAAACCAAGACCTCTCCTTACTCGACGGCTCCTGTCCCGGCGAGCAGCCTTGGACGCCACTCGGCAAACAAGGCTGGACATAACGACACTTCGTCTCGTGCTCCCATGGGCGCGGGCGTCCATGAACAGATGAACAGACCTGATAACGGTCCAAAGGGTCTGGAGCGGACTGACCCTGCTCCTGCTCACCCTGGCTCGGGATCCAAAGCGGGTTCTGGTACGGCCAACCCCTTGGCATGAGAGCTTGCAAATAGGATGACAGGTTGAGAAATGTTCTTGTGTGGGATATATATACTATAGTTTCGAAATATGCTCCATACAAGATCACAAATGTACATTTGATCCTGTGGTTTGAATTGTGCCGCCTCGAAATTCAAAGTTCGCATATACAAAACTACCTGGGCTTCTCAGACCCGGTATTGCTGTCGATCACCCCTATCTACAGTGTCTTTATTATGATGCGTTATCCATCCCAGATACGATAGGCAATGAAATCTTGAGCAGATCGATTCATGTCAGTCTGGGAGTCCCTATCATCCACAGCCTCAGATCATTCACGATATAAGCCGCGTGCCTTGATCCATTCCGCCACTCGTTTCCCAACAAGCATTTCCACTTCTTCAAATCTACCCTCCTTCGCCGCTTCGCGTACTCTCGTCGAGCTCACGCCGTCAGCCTCTCCAGAATCATCGAGAACCAGCTCAACCCTGTTCGCCCATTCCCTCTTCAGGCCCTGGGCTTCCATCTCCCCACGCGCAATGCGGTCCACATACGCCATTTGACCTTCAACAGTATCAAACCCCAGCCCCGACTCGCCTTGGGCATCTTTGAGGTTCGCCGACGGGGAATCGGTATCCACGCGCACCGTAGCACGCACACGATGGCGCGACAAGAACGGCGCCAGAGCCGACAACGGTGGCGTGTAGTTCGGGTAGTATTTTGGTGTGAAGATGCGGATCAAAGTGTCGAACCCCGTCAAGTGGATTTGTTCGACAGTACCACCATTTGAGGGCTTGTAGACCTTGCTCTCGTCAATGCAGCTTGCTTTGTCGGTGAAGTAGGGTTCCTTGATGATGCCGACGTCGATGATCGGCGCAATGGAAGTAGTACCCGCACCGGTGTCCGAATTACTGAAGCTTGAACGCATGTGTTCGGCCATCAGGGTCATCATTACCAGGCGGTCTTCGAAGTCCGCTGGCTTAGGCTTCTTGTCTGCGTTGACCGTTGCCAGAAGGAAAAGAACCCTTGGATTCTTGTCTACAGATGGTTCTGGACGGGGATCGGGTTTAGAATGCACCTGCTGTGTGCCCTTTAGAGCGGTCTTGACCAGACTCATATGTGCTCGTGACGGAGGGTTGAAACTGGAGTCAAGGACATATAATGTGCGGATTGCTTGGGACGAGGGTGGCTGTGATGGCGGGATGGTGTGTAGGATCCGGAATCTGCATGTCGAGTTTGCGAAATCCTGTAGGGCTTGAGAGAATTGCGTTCTCAGGGTTTGCAAGGCTTGCATGTCCAAGTGTTGGGAGGACATCATCTGGTATGGTCGAAGGAAGGCGGGCGGAAGGAGTCCGGCAGGTTCTTTTTATGTATAGCAGTTGTTATCAATCTCAGTGATGCTGCCGGGCAGTGAAAAAATGACAGTTTTGAGATCCGAGGTATGATAGAGGTATTCCTGACTCCTCACAGCTGGCGCTCTCTTCAGTCCGGTCTACCTGGATTGCTGTGTACGAAGTAGTTGAGGGCATGTTAACAGGCATTCGGAGATTATGACGAGTGTTCAGAAGTTCAGCCTGATCATGTGATAAGGCTGAGGTTTGATTCCCCTCACTGACTGCACCAGCAGCCAAGCACTAGGTAGCGTCACGTGCAATAAAATCTTGGCACGCCAACCCTCCCACAACGAAATTGACGACTCGCACTGCAGCTTGTGTGCGGCTTCAATCTGTGCGCGCCAACTTCAACTCTTCGACAAACCGACACCTTCACCACCGTCTCTAGTTCACCAGACAATCTCTCCCAATCGTCAAGATGTCGACCGCCGAGCTCGCCAGCGCGTACGCCGCTCTCATCCTTGCCGACGATGGCATTGATATCACTGTACGGAATCCCCATGTCTGCCTCTGCTGTTTCGAGAACCAACCATGGATCGATTGAGCACGCTCTCACCTGACATTGAGACTTCATGACTAACTTTCCGGTCTCCGGGTTTGCTTCTGTAGGCCGACAAGCTGAACACCCTGATCAAGGCCGCCGGTGTCCCCGACGTCGAGCCCATCTGGGCCACTCTCTTCGCTAAGGCTCTCGAGGGCAAGGATGTGAAGGACATGCTCCTGAACGTCGGCTCTGGAGGTGGTGCCGCAGCCGCCCCTGCTGCTGGTGGTGCTCCCGCAGCTGGTGGTGCCGCCGAGGCTGCCCCAGCTGAGGAGGAAAAGAAAGAAGAGGGTATGTCTATGTCCAACATTCCGCATCTGCGCGTTGATTCGATAGCGGGAAAATCACTGACAACTTTTTCCACCATAACAGAGAAGGAGGAGTCGGACGAAGACATGGGCTTCGGTCTCTTCGACTAAGCGTTCGACCTCAACCATCCTGTGCCGCCCTGCCTGTTTTCTCCGCCACGGCAACTTTTTTCGAGCGAGAACATTCACACACAGAAAACATTGTCCAACATCGCATCAGGAACACGAAAAGCAACCGCATACTCAGCCTGCCTTGCTATGCTTTGCCTGGCCTTGTTTTAGACCAAAAAGTCCTAGATTGCGTCTTTTCTTTCTTGTGGAAGGACACTGTGCGCAGTCAAGGCATTTTCGACATTTGTGGATAATCAGAACGAAAGGGAAATTAACTACTCGAGAAGAACGGTCCGGGACGAGCTGGGCATGCGAAGACTCATGCGGACTTAAATCGAGCCATTCGAAACGCTTTTGAGGATTGATCCACAATGTCAATAGCTCATGAAACTCGCTTCTTGCATCTGTTCTGTGTTTGATCACTGGACTTGGCTTTCTTTTCAAGCTGACCGTGCTTCTGAATGTTGTTGACCGTGCATGGAACAACACAATTGCCCATCCCTGTCCATTCGCATCCTCTGTGCAGTGCCATGGGCGAATTTCGCCAGACTTCGCACTTTTCGGTGCTCATAAGTTCATGTCTCCCGTTACACTGGTTGCTCTCGCTTCCTAGAGAAGACCTATCAACTCTGCACACGCACCATTGAAGCTTGAGTATCTGCAGCGGCGCGTACAAAACCCAGGCCCTTGCACAGCGCCTTCCACTCTAAAATCTACTCTGATGTTCATCCCTCCTGATGTTTGCGGGTGCGAGCTGATTGGCCGAGCAGCCCTCATCAGGTTCTCCGCACGCAGTGTCCAGCCTCGTCCGATATCGCTGTATCTCTGCTGCTCCTCTGTGTGTATCTTTATATTCTTGTATCATTGCTCCTACCCGCATTCCTTACGTCTAGACAGTGACCCAAGTCTCCACATCTACAAATCGGCCCAAGATACGTCCAGACATATAGATAGACCCGGCCGCTCGAGTGTTTCCAGGTAACGAAGTCTACTTTTTTCTCAAGATCTCCGTCGTCGCATCGTCATTCTATCATGGCATTCGTCTATGGTCTTGATCACTTGGAACCGGCCTTTTCTGACCGGCCTGTACCATACATCAGCTACGGCCTCCATTTCGACGAAGCCTGCAAACACCATATCGAAAACACATTCCAAGCCAGCCGCGTGTACATTATCGCCTCTAGATCATTGTCGTCCAACACATCAGCCCTGAAGCGCCTGCAAGATGCCCTTGGAGACAAAGTCGTCGGTGTCAGGATCGGCATGACCCCACATACCCATTGGAACGAAGTACTTGAAGTGGCGCAGGACGCGGCGCCCAAGGACCCGGACTGTATCGTGACGCTGGGTGCAGGCTCGCTCACCGATGCGGCCAAAGTAGTATCATGGATGCTAGCAAACGACATCACCACGTCGGAAGGAATGGAGAAGTTGTCCTCGGCCACAAAGGGGTCCTCATCTGCCTTCAAGCCGCCCAAAATCCGCCACATCGCCATTCCCACCAGCCTGTCTGGCGGCGAATACCAGGCCAGGGCGGGCGTGACGCGCGACGACGGCAGTGATCTCAAAAGACCATTCTTCCCGCCACCGCGCAATCCTAGCTTAGTAGTTCTCGACCCGGAATTGACTACCACCACTCCGCAACGGATCTGGCTCAGCACGGGCGTCCGGGCCGTCGACCACTGCGTCGAAACGCTGTGCAGTCTTCTGTCGAACCCGAGCGGCGACGCGGACGCCGAGAAGGGGTTGTTGAAACTTGTCCCGTCCCTGATCCGTACGCATCGCGACCCAGGCGATCTCGATGCCCGGTTCGAATCGATGAGGGGCGTCACTGAGGCCATGAGCGCCGTCAGCAGCGGAGTACCGCTGGGCGCCAGTCACGGCATTGGACACCAACTCGGTCCATTGGGCGTCGGGCACGGCGAAACGAGTTGTATTTTGCTGCCGGCCGTGTGTAAATGGAACGCTAGGGCCGGGGCCAACGTCGAGCGTCAGGAGTACTGCAAGAACGTCCTGCTCAGGTCACCCGTCGTCAAGGAGGTGCTGCTGGCCAGATATGGTTCCGGAGAGCACAACAAACTTGATGGTCTCGATCTAGGTGACGTGCTGGACGCCATTTTCAGGGATCTCGGTATGCCCCGGACATTGAAGGATGTTGGGGTCGGAAGGGATAAGTTGGATGCCTTGGCGGAGAACAGTCTGCGAGATCATTGGTGTCAGACCAATGCGAAACCTCTCACGGAGAAAGCTCAGGTCTTGGAGCTCCTGGAAACGGTAGTAGAGTGAACTCAATGGCCGTGGGACGGTGTGGTTTCGATACCCGTGATGTGAATACTATTGCCAAACGAAGGACTGAAAGAACAGTTGCATCTTTTTTCTTGTCCTCGCTGCGCGGATCCATTTAAAAGCTGCCGGAATGTTGAAAGAGTCTTCTAGGCCAGAGGATACAGTCGTGCTCCGAAGTTACGGCCTCGAATTGCACATCGATGGTCAATGGCTGCAAAATGCTTGACTCAAGGGGCGTTCTCAGCCTTGCCGCCCATCGAGCAATAATAAACATAGCGCAGCCTTGACTTTCACAATGCAGAGAAGTCCTTCTTACCGAGAGAACGACGCGACCATGGTAGGTTCCGACCTCATACCTCGGACGGGAAGACGCGTAAGGTCGTCAATCTGAACATGTCAAACCACAAATCCGCAAGAGCAGAATTCTACTCTGTAGTTGTGTACACATGCGTGTTGTTCGCATGTAACCTCCGTGTCCACTGTCCCGCAAAGCCCATCCCGCCCGTTGCCGACGAACATGGCTGTGCAATCTGCTTGACACAGCCTCAAGTGACACAGTCAACTACGTCCATTCAAGTCCAAATCCATGCCTGTCACCCACGAACTTACCTCGATGAAACATGCATGGGAGAGTCCGGCCGGAATATCCGAGGAGAGGATTAAATCCATGGCTGGACATGGTGGCAATGGCGATGCCGATGCCGATGGCATCAAAGAATCGTGTGACCCGGCATTTGGCATCCGCCATGGCCACCAGGAATGTTTAATACCTCACATTGCGAATGCGTGGGAGAGCGAAGGTAGTTGGCACGTTCCGCCCGTCCGAAAGGGGTGGCTTCTGGTTTTCCACCTTATGGGCCGTGACCATGGAGGGGGCCGGCATGGTAGCTTGCATTGACGACTACCAAGTGCGATTCAAACACAAAATTGAGGGTTTGTACACGATCTTGTTTCGGGGCGGGACAAACTGAAAGAATTGGAATCCATTGCAGTGATCAACCATGAAGCCTCCACAACAGCAAAATGCAGAACCACACGCAGTTGAAGCGTCTCAAATCTCAGCATCACAAGATGTATACTGTCAGTACGCTCAACTCTGGTACGGCATCTTGATGTCGTCTTTACGATCAATGCGAGGAACCAACTTCCCATCCAATCGAAGACGTCTTGACGGCACGATACGAATGTGTTGGTTTGTTTGGCAGACTTTAGATGACAGATCGTGACAGGGAACATCCAAGAAGCAGCCCCAGACTCGGATTCCATGCTGATCGCTACCATACCACACGTGTGTCCCGAACCAGTGTGAATGGAGAGAGCCTGCCCAGAATGGACGTGTTGTTTACGCGGTAGACAGCAACATGTAGCCTGCCGGAATGCAGAGCGAGGAACAAATGCACCATTCCAGAACAGGATGAAAGGGATAGAGATTGTGAAATGGAGAGGTGACAAGAAGACGTATTCATTGATTCACTGCTGCTTCTTGAACCCCAGTCCTCCTGTGGCACGTGTGGCGCGAGATCGTGCGATCGGGTATGCCACAGTCTCGTCGCTCTGACAGACAGGATATGGATATATCATATTGCAGGTGTGTGCGTGTGTGTGTCAGTGGACGTCCAGGAGTGGTGATTGCTTTGGCAGGACCACACCACCTGAGAGGAGAATACCAAGTGCTGGAATGGAAGCAAGGCACCACACACACTCCGGAGATGTATAGCCTCGGAGGGGCACATCGCGTCTATGGAAAGAAAAAGTTGCTCAGGTACTGAAAAAGGGGGCAAGGCCTGCAATGGGACGCACTGCCCAGCCTCGTCCAGGGGTAGAAAACTTCTTTTACACTTCGGTCATGGCCCGGAGGAGAATAGATGGCAAGGAAGAACCCGGCAGAAGGGAGAATAGGAAATGTTCGGGACGTGGAGCTTTTGAGTATATGACCGATCAAGACCAGACATCACGATAGAATAATCGTATCCGTTTTGATTGACATATTCAACTGTCCGGAAAAACCAGTATAAGATGGACCTGGCATTTCCTTGGGGGCCGGCCAAATTCCTGTGTAAAAAGTGACGTGTTTGAGCAGCCACTGACCGCGGCATCGTGTGGAGACGTACAAGGTATGCGGGAAGAGTCTTTAGTAGAGTGCTCTGCCGGTGCTGGTGCTGGTGCTGATCACTGAACAGCGGCATGATGTTGACGTTGGACATAAAACCCCCTTGCATGGATCAGTTGGCAACAAGATCTGCGACGTGGCCCAGGGGCATCCAACTTTTTGGATTCTCTCCACTTCGCCCATGCCGCCAATGTCTGTGCTCACTGCTCGTCGGGCATGCTCACCCTCATGCTTGGAAGAGGTTGTCCCACCCCCAGCAGAGACGGCGTGGGTAATCCTGGCGTGATATCGCGTCGGAAGGCTGACGAGAATGAGACGCGAGTTCGGAGCGCGGGATGAGAAGTGGTCAAAAAGACTGGGTGAGCCGGATGGCTTTGGTTCTTGACGATGAGTTGGGAACCGAGACACGAATCTTTCTCAGAGTCATCAGTATAGTCAATCTTTTCGTTTGAGTACTGAGAGGGTGTTGTATGCGAGGCACCATCAACTCTCACGCCTCCCTACACAGTATATGCACACACACTCTCTATAATCATTTTTTATACCGATTCCCACACCATGTCTCGATTCGGGTACTCAACGCCAATTCCCACGCCCACGGACAGCTGGTCATCATACTTCGACTCGTGGAAGACCGAGGACCGTGAGATACCAGTCTGGGAACCGTTGATACTGGACCAGTACGACGAATTGCATCCGCAGACTCTGCAGGTCAAGTTCAACGCCGACCTGAACTTTGATCTGGACTGGGGAATGGACTATCTGCAGGACGGTTGCTCGCCGCTCCCACTACCGCCGTCGCTTGCGACCGGGAAATTGAACGACGCACATCAGGCTCATCCACGACAGGGGCCGCTGCAAGGCCAGAACAATAATATTGACTGTCGCTCCAGAGCGTGTCGAGTATCTTGTCGGTCTGATGACGTCGATATGGGGTTCGAGAGGGTCATGGCCATTGACGGGGACGGGAACGGCATGCCAGTGAGGACGTGGACGAAGCTGCGGCATCAAAGACAGGCGCCGAGACAACAACCACTTGAACAGCCGACAAAAACACGCACACAGTTCATGGGCGCCAGCACGGGCATCGGCACCACCGGTACCGCCACCAGCACCGCGCCTAGTAACTTCAGCAGTCCTACAGCCGCAACGAACTTGAAGACAAGATCCCTGCGGCGAACTCAGGCGACACGAGCACCACGAGCAACGCGACGGCTGCCGTCACCGTCATCGCAGCCGTTGATAGGCGACCTCGCCTGGCCACATACCCTGGATCTGACAACAACAGGCACCGATCTGCCCGCTAATCATGACACTGTAAGTGCTGCTCTCCCCTAAACTCCAATAATCCCCCCCCGTCGCCCACCGAATGCCTTTACCCCACTACGACATCATCGCTGGCATCATCAATTGTTGCCATCAGCACGAGAATCAGCATCATCATGACTGCCCCAGGCGCCCATTATTACCTGTCAGGCTGCGTTTCTCCATCCACCACCACTGCACCACTGGCTTTGCCTGTATTTGCCTGGCACCTATTCATTGCTCCTCGTCACTGGTTCTTTGGGTCTTTTCGCCCGTAGCAATCACCCTCCATCAACCCCAAACAGCTCTCTTTTACTCCCTCTTTCTCTCCTACACACACTCTGTCTTCTATTCCATCTGTAGCCACTCCAGCTACAGACACTACTACCACTCTTGTCCATCACCGCTTGTTCAAGCAGCTATCAGTCGAGCTGGCTGACAGCAAGACTACTGCTACTCCTCCCGCCACTATTCTTTTGTCTCCTCCATACCCTTCTTGGGATAGTTGTCGGCGGCCTCAACTCCACTGGCGCACTTGTCCCATCGCTTATTCATCCTCGCTCGACCTAAGAAGATCTCGACCACTGCACTGCGCTGTCCCGGCCTGCCGCTCCTTCCACACACACGGCCCCGAACCCGCTCACCCGCAAACCAGGTCTTACCCATAACAACTTTTTCTACCGTCCAATCTCCCACTCTCATCACCACCACCTCCATCCCCTCTGTCATCTGCTGGGTTGACCTGGAGAATCTCTCTCTTCTCGTCGACGCATCCTTCGCGCCTTCGGAGCGTCCGCTAAAATGAGCACAATCCAGAATCTCAAGAACTTCATACGTCATGGCAAGCAGGCCAGAGTCGCAGATCCTCCCCGAGATCAACCGACGACCAATGTTTCGCCTGTACATGCGCAGCAGCAGAAGTATCATCATGGTATCAGCGAACCTGCCGTCACCCATCGACAACAGCAGCACAACGTCCCGCCTTATCACGGCGAGTATTCCGCAGCTGCCGTCGACAATCGCAATGTAGCGGCCCAGGCCGGCGCTGCCGCAGCCAACGTCACAGGCAAACACCAAAAGATTCACGCCGATATTGAAGCCCTTGTCGCTGAAGAGAGAGAACAGGCCAGCAAAATGCCCAAATATCCCGGCTTAGAAAGATACATCCTGTTGGAGAAGATGGGCGATGGAGCGTTCAGCAATGTCTACAAGGCCCGAGATACCCAGACTGGTGACAACGTTGCCATCAAAGTTGTCCGCAAGTTTGAAATGAACTCGAATCAGGTATGCTAGAGAGTCTTCAGGCATCGTCAGCCCTTCATGGCTCCTTTTCCTTTGCCCCTTCTGGCGTTGCCAACCCTGGCCTTCGTTGACCCCTCACCTGATCCGTTCGTCGCTCTTCTTGAATTTGTTGCATTGCGCAGAACCAACCTTATACTCACTAGGGCGACGCTCACCTTCATCCGAACTTCAAAAAACAACCAAAGGGCGTGGAGGTGCGCATAACCATCCTTTTGCTCAGCCCCTACCTTTGTCCTGGCACGCTCTCTTTCTTTTGGATTTTCAGATGAATCCCACCCTTGCTCGTTCAGAAGCTGACTCTCCTCCCAGCGAGCCAATATTCTTAAGGAGGTTCAAATCATGCGCCAGTTGGATCACCCCAATATTGTCAAACTCATTGACTTCTCCGAGTCACGGCAATATTACTATATTGTCCTTGAACTCTGCCCTGGTGGAGAACTGTTCCATCAAATTGTTCGCTTGACGTACTTCAGTGAAGATCTCAGCCGCCACGTCATTACCCAAGTTGCCAAAGCACTACGCTACCTGCATGAAGAATGTGGCGTCGTCCATCGGTATGTCCCGTGGTACGCGCGCGAATTGGAAGATGGCAGACTAACCTTCTTCTCAGCGACATCAAGCCAGAGAACCTCCTTTTCTATCCCATTCCATTCATCCCCACCCGCAACCCCAAACCGAAGGGACCAGACGAAGAAGATAAAGCTGATGAAGGAGAATTTATCCCCGGTGTCGGTTCTGGCGGCATCGGCCAAATCAAAATCGCCGACTTTGGCCTTTCCAAGGTGATTTGGGATTCGCAGACAATGACGCCGTGCGGGACTGTTGGGTACACAGCTCCCGAAATTGTCAAGGACGAAAGATACAGCAAATCCGTCGATATGTGGGCTCTGGGCTGTGTTCTCTACACGCTGCTCTGTGGATTCCCTCCTTTCTACGACGAGTCCATACAGGTTTTGACGGAAAAGGTCGCTCGCGGCCAGTACACCTTCCTCTCGCCGTGGTGGGACGATATCTCGAAATCTGCCCAAGATCTGGTCTCACACTTACTGACTGTCAATCCCGAAAAACGATACACCATCGACGAATTTTTGGCACACCCTTGGATCCGCAACGTCTCCGAACCCACCTATGCCGCCTCAGATGCTCCTCCTTTGGCTACCCCGCTGGCCGTGAGGCAAAAGCAGTGGGGCCAGGCAGGCAATCTTCCTGCGGATGTGTATTCGCTAGGTACGCCAGGCACTCCCGGAAAACGGGCGGATTTCCGATCTCCCGGTACTCTCAATCTGCGTGAGGTCTTTGACGTCGGCTACGCTGTCCACCGACAAGAAGAGGAAGCCAAGCGAAGGAAGAACTTCAAACAAGGTTACCGAGGCGCGGGTATACCTGGCGGTCTCAACCCGTTGAACGAAGACGACGATATGGAAGAAGAGGAGTACGAGGAGGAGGTGTCGAGTAAAGTCCCCAAAGCGCAACAACCATCCGATGTATCGAGTATGGAAACCAAGATGCGCCAGACCAACTTGGGCCCGCAGCCGTCATCAGCTGCACAAGCGCGGGCATCAGCAGCGCCTGCTCGAAGTCAACACCACAATCAACAGCAAGAAAAAGGTTACGGTCAGCATAGTGCCGCTGTTGCAGCGGCAGCCCGACAGAGTGTCGGACGGCGAAACAAGCAACCGTTTGAGCTCAGCCTGGATAATTCGACGCTCTTGGGACGGAGGAACAAGGTGGGCGGAAATCCTCAAGTCCAGCCTTCGAAGTTGAGGGAAGAACTTAGCGTTCGGTGACCACGTTTGTCCTGACTGGAGCGCTGGATGGCTGGACACAGCAATGGGAAATATGGAGTTCAGAGAGTTTCAGGTGAATTGTCTAGATCGCAGATTGACGTTGAGAAGCATGGTGCGCATGGCTGGGTTGTCTTCTTTGAGGGCTTGTGTTCTGTGAGCGCATTAGTGGCACATGATCCATCACGCAGCGTGAAGTGCTATAGGTGGCAGGCAGCAACCTGAATATCCTGGTGTAGGAAGATGAAGATGACGATTTTCTCTAAACCAAAAACATCTCTATCTTGAGCTTGTGCATACCTACCTAGGTAATATCGGACACATTATGAGTCGGATCAAGCCTCAGTTGAAACCAACTGCAGGGCGATAGGCGATGCCCGTAGCAATAACCTAATGATGCCACACTGCATGCTGTGCATGCCAGGGAGAGAATGATGCAGTGGCGGTAGCGACGGCAAAAGGACGACCGTTGTACGACGAGGCGGGATTCCCCCACATCTGGATTCTATCAGTCTCTTACTGTACTACAGAGTGCAGAGAGTACTACGTATCGGTATCTGCACTCCGCACATCCATCTTATTACTCTGTAATACTAATCATGGCGACATCAGCCTCTCCACCACTGGCGGATCTCGTACTTCTTCCGCCGCAGGTTTCTGTCCGCTCTCATGCCTCGGACTTCACCGCGCCTCGCTGTTTCTTTCCTTTCCATGTACGACGGACGACCCGCGGGACATCATCTTCAAAATGCAACAATGGTGAGTTTGCCTCTGAGAAGAAAAGGGGTGGTGCCCTTTCTTCGCGTCATCTGCTGCTTGACTTTTTCCAGAAGTGCAGGCTAGAGGCATCCTTGAGAGTATTTGAAGCTGCATATCCTTTACGGCCCTCCTTTGTACCTAATTACAATCACGTCTGTCCTTACCGTACCCATCGAGAGGACAAGTTCGCCTTCATCTGCGGGTGCCGTAGCATTTCACCTGCCATTATCAGTCCATGACCATCCACCTAGCTGACCAGCCGTCACACGGAACTTCCCTGAGCCCGAATCAGGACGCAAGCCGTTTCGATCAAGACGCCTTGGAATACAGAGAGCCTCCGCAGGCAGTTGATAGAGCCCAATCCACTCTGGACCCGGAGAAACAGACATGGAAAGAGAGTGAGCAGACGCTGCAGACAGAAGTCACGGTGGAGGGGGTCAAAGAAGAATCATACACCAAAGAGAAATCCGAATCCAAAGTGGAAGAGGGATCAGTCCTACGACGTCCCGCCTCCATCACCCGGCAGAATACCGCTCAGTCGGTCGCGGCTGCGCCGTTCACTTCGTACTGTTGTGACCTCGAAAGGCCTCATAGCCATGGGGCGTCTGGTTCAGCCCATTTTCGGCGCTCGTCGTCCACTTCTGCCCCGACCCTGAACGAAGTGGCGACTAGTCTAGCCAACGTCAGCAGAGTCTCGACCGATGCTTACGGAAACACGTATCCAGAAGGCGGACGACAAGCATGGCTCTGTGTGCTCGGGTCATTTTGCGGTCTCATGGCCGCTCTTGGGTAAGTGCTTCTCTGGTTGAGACATGCACTCTGAGTTGCTGACACTGGAAAAGTCTGATGAATACTTTGGGAACATATCAAGCATACCTCTCCACACATCAACTACGCGATTACACGTCGAGCACGATCGGGTGGATATTCGGCATCTATGCCTTTCTGTCCTTCTTTTTCGGCATCCAGATCGGTCCGATTTTTGACGCCAAGGGCCCCCGCTGGCTTGTCTTGAGCGGCTCGGTTCTCATGCTCGCCTCACATTTGCTGATGGGCGTCTGCCACCGGTACTGGCAGTTCTTGATCGTCATTGGCATCCTGGGCGGCTTGGGTACTTCACTTGTGTTCACTCCGGCTATTGCTTCCATCGGCCACTTCTTTCTTCGCAAACGAGGACAGACCACGGGCCTGGCGGCGGCGGGGGGCTCCCTCGGCGGAATTGTGTTTCCGTTGACACTCCAAGCGCTTTTCCCCAAGATCGGATGGGCTTGGTCGACCCGAGTCTGCGGACTGATCAACCTGGTGCTGCTGATCGTGGCCAATCTCTTTATCACATCCCGCCTCCCGCCTCGGAAGGCCACAAAGGAGAACATCCTTCCTGATATTCGCGTGTTCAGGGACCCGGTGTTCGCATTGACAACCATGGGGGTGTTTTTCGTGGAATGGGGTCTTTTTGTTCCCCTGACTTTCTTGAGCAGCTATGCCTTGTACCATGGGGTGCCGACCGACTTGTCCTACCAGCTGATAGCCATCTTGAACGTCGGGTCGTGCTTTGGGCGGTATTTCCCGGGGCTTGTCGCTGACCGGTTCGGCCGGTTCAATGCCATGGTCGTCACGATTTTCATGTGTCTGGTGTCAACACTGGCGTTTTGGCTGCCGGCCGGTGGATCGGTAGCGCTAATGATTGTATATGGCATTGTGTTTGGATTCGCCTCGGGATCAGGCATCTCATTGACCCCGGTATGTGTTGGCCAGCTGTGCCGGGTCGAGAACTATGGGAGGTACTATGCGACCTGCTACACTCTGGTCTCTTTCGGGTCGCTGACGGGGATCCCGATCGCGGGACAATTGGTTACCACGTGTAATGGTGACTATTGGGGGCTCATCGTCTTCACCATCTGCGCATACGCAGCGGCAACGACGCTGTTTGTCGCGGCAAGGGTTGCAGGCGCTGGATGGACTCTGAGGAGGGTGTTCTGATGAGGCGACAATGAATGAGGTGGATGCCAGTCATTCATATACGAGGATCGGGTATGAGTTTTGCAGGTTGAGATGTCGATGATAGATAGACGACATCCCATAACAAGTCGACGAGGCTATGAAATATGAAGACGAACATGAAAGTACACTCTCTCTATTCTGGAATGTAGTACGTACATGTAGTCACTCAGAGTCGGCTCTGGCTCCCCGCAAAAAGTGGCCAATCCTTATCCCATGGCGGTACTGAGTAGTAAATAATAATAACTGGGGAAATCTGGGGGCCAAAGAAACTCTCTCAACAGCTCCAGCTACAGAACATTCCACTGGCGTCGACCACCTGTGGCACCATGGGACCCATACTACCTGATATCGTGCTCTTGTACCTCGACGAGACATCAATCTTCCTTGCCGGCGCAGTCCCATCACCTGCCAGTGGGAGCAGCTTGATCCTCCCTGCATCCTAGCCAGCTTTATGAACTCCCACCGAGACACTCAGATGGATGACTGTGGGGTTATCCTTGGACTCCGATGGCTAGGTATTAAACAACGTTTATATGAGTGCTCACGGTAAGTAGATGTCGTCTCAAACGCTGGAATTGACTTCAGGTAGATGTCTTCTGCTCCTGATCCTCATGAGACGTCGACACTCCCCTTCCTCTGGCGTCCGCGATGGGGGTTTTCAAAGTTGGGTCCTCGCATTACCTCGAAGCGTTGTCAGTCACACATGGCCACCTCCACGAGAACAGTCTCCAGCCACGCCCGCCATTTGCCGATAGACGGCTTTGAGGTCCTCCCTCTGCATGAAAAGATAGAAGAGGAGCGGGTGCCTGACTACAAGGCCGAAAGAAAGCTATGCCAAAGCCGAGCTTAGCAACAACCTGGTATCTTGACTGGAAGAAGTCCAAATGTTCTACCCGGTGCGGCTCGGGGACGTCTTCCAGTCAGGGTACCAGGTCGTAGCCAAGCTCGGCTTTGGCACAGCTTCTACTGTCTGGCTTTGCCGGGACCTCAGGTATGTCCTTGATCGCTCCCTCTAGCTACTCCATGGCGTCTTACTGCTGGGGAGGTTATTGGTGATCTAGGGAGAATGCCCTTCTCACGCTCAAGGTTTGCATCGCGGGAGAAGATGCTACCAATTAGCTCACCATCTCGCGTCATATCAAATCAATCGATAGCGAACATCCTGACTAGGTGCTGGCAAATCGAGTCATCCAACTCTCCTATACGTTCCCAATCACCTACGGCGAGCCTGTCATTGCTGACTTCGGTGCTGCTCGTCTAGGAGAGCCGTGGCAGAAGCACTCCGGCGACGTCATGCCTGACGTCTATAGAGCGCCTGAAATAATCCCCGGCATGGACTGGGACTCCAAGATCGATATATGGTGTGTCGGAGTCATGGTATGTAGCGGCGCTCAAACGATCTCCGCAGATCGTCGCTGACACAACTGATCCAGATATGGGACCTGTTCGAAGGAGGCCGTCTCTTTCATGCAGTGAAGGACGGTCGCCTTGACGATGAGCTACATCTTGCTGAGATGGTCTCCCTCATGGGACCCTCTCCAGGGAAGTTTCTGGACCGAAGTGATATGTGCCGCCGGTACTGGGATTCTGAAGGTGAGTAGAATCCACGTCTGAGACAATGGACTATATGTTCCATTGATATGGCTTCGTTGACGATCAAAGGTAACTGGATCACCCCAACGCCCATCCCCGATCAGAGTCTCGAGATACGCGAGAGGCGTCTAGATAGGAAGGATAAGGAGCTGCTCCTCGCCCTCGCCCGTAAAATCTTACGCTGGCTCCCTGAAGAAAGGCCATCTGCGGATGATCGTTTCGAGGTCGAATTCCTGGTCCAGTGGCTGTCTGGAGAGACATGAGATCCTTGATGACTCAACAACTTGCACGGTCCGAGCAGAAGCAGCGCGCAACACGCACAGTCGGCCGACCAAGATAGATGGCGTCCGTCCCTTCACCACTCCGGTCGGTCACGTGCGAGGCCGCAGCAATTCCGGCCAGACCAATCAGAACATGGCACGGTCGAGATGTTTTGGCAGCGCGTATCATATTCCGGCCTCAAGGGAAACAATTACTTAAGAGCTAAAGGGCTCATGGAGGGGTCGCAAGTGGGCTTGTCCTAGCCATCGTCACCTGGCCGCGTGGCATTGGTATGTGGCAGTCTTTGCTCTGCTCTGCTCTGAGATGGAAGATGGGCGGACGAGGCTTACATACCAGTCCATGCAGTTCCACGCCTGCAGACACCACGGTCGTCACGGGATGGGGCAGCATATCGACCGCGCAAGACGTTGCTATGCTCAGAATACTGCCTTGGAGGAGTCGACTGGTTCACCAAAGGGCGCTGCCAGCCGACAAACTACTACTCACTACTACTACTAAATACGATGGAGGCCATGCCAAGACAAGGCTGCATCTCCCTCCGGCGGCGACCATCGACGACTTCAGATGTGACAATGACCCTTGAATCAACAGACTTACCTTTGGTATCCATGCTGAATCCCCCGAAGCTCGATTGTGGGGGCTCAACATTCATCAGAAGTGTCGCACTTCTCCTATCATGCCCAACCCAGATGATGAGGGTCGTGGCCGGTTTTAATTCCGGCCACGATGATATATACACCTTGTCCGCCCGGATCTTGTCAGACACCTTCTGAAGTCTGAAGCAGACTGTCGTGTGGCTTCTGATTGGAATCCTTCCGAACCAAGAATATCACGTGTCCTCCTCAGCCATCATCGACCTGTCTTGGTTCAACATCATACCATATTGGCTCGCACAATACCTTTGCTCGCCCAAGAAACTGCACCAAAACCGCCATTCATTACTACGATGGCCTATCTTAACGAGTCTCCCCCACTGCCACCCCTTTCCACCCTGTTCCCACACATCAAGTCCGATGCCACGACCCTTCCTCGATCCATTGACCCTTTCATCATCACTACCACGACAGGCTTTCTGCCATGCCGGCCACCTCTGGTGCACCTGCCTGCACAGTTTGATGCCGCCACCAAGATTGTCGAAGATATGCCGATCGTGAAGGAGGATGGTTCGTCAGGCCTGCTTGCAACGTTCAAGCTAGGGCCCCTGATTGACTCCGGAGCGTTGCCGGACCTGAGCTCTCATATCGCAGACCTACGCATCAAAGGTGCGGCCGAGGACGCGTACGATCTCGAAGCCGTCACCGCCCTGTTTCGTGATTACAGTTTCCTGGCCAGCGCTTATCTTCTGGAGCCTTGCTGGGAGTCCTGGTCCAAGGACAACGATGGTGGCTACGGACTGGGTCGAGCAGTGTTGCCGCAGTGTATTGCCGCGCCTTTGGTCAAAGCTGCTGACATGTAAGTGACTGAACACCGCGGCTTGCCTGCCTACATTCCAAACCCCGTAGTAGCCAAGCTGCATGGTCCTGCAAACATGCACTTACTCACAAAATCCGATTCAATAGTCTCGACCTCCCTCCCTTCATGTCCTACGCCGCCTCGTACGCCCTGTACAACTATCGTCTCGTCAATCCTAACCTTGGCCCGAGCGTCTACGAGAATCTACGACTCATCCGTGCTTTCGAACGTGGTCTTGACCCAGCCAGCTCCGAGGCAGGCTTCATCCTCACGCACGTGCACATGGTGCAGGAAACCGGCCCGCTGATTTCCGGCGCCGTCAATCTGTTGTCGACAGTCGAAGGGTCTTCCAAGGACACGACGGCCGCAGTAGCTGCATTTCAGACCATGTTGTCCGCCATGACACGCATCGAAGCACACATGGAACAGATGTGGACGCATTCCCTGCCCAAGGACTATCTGTCCTACCGAACATTCATCTTCGGCATCACGTCGCAGTCGATGTTTCCAAACGGTGTCATCTACCAGGGCACGCGATACGGAGATTCCAAACAACTATACTTCCGCGGCGAGTCCGGGGCGAACGACAGTATCATCCCACTGCTCGACCATCTTCTCGAGATCCCCATGCCGCAGAATCCGCTGACCGAGATTCTGCGGGATTTCCGCTCCTACCGGCCCAAGCCTCACCGAGAGTTTCTCGGCTGGGTGATGAGCAAGAGTGCCGAAGTGGGCGTCAAGGCATATTGCACCGGTCGTGGTCGACACTCTGAGAACCGCGACGTTGATGATGCAAACGCGACACTCCTGCCCACCCTCTACCTCAAACTGCTGGACCATGTGCGCAGTTTCCGCTGGCGTCATTGGCTTTTTGCCCGCGAGTATATCATCAAGCGCTCCTCGCATCCGACCGCGACCGGCGGCAGCCCGATCGTCACGTGGCTGCCCAACCAGCTGTTCGCTGTCATGGATCTCATGGAGAGTGTCTATCAAGACAGTGGATTGAAAGAGGCGGTCGACGCGGGAGACATTGATGACAGGGAAGGCAAAGTCGTCAAGGAGATGATGGATAATGTCACGACCCAGAGAGAGAAATTGGATCGTGAGGTCAAGAAGTACTGCGCCGAGCGAGGGGCGTGATCGAGTAGCCGAGATTCGATAGCCATCCTGTAGAGAGGCTCGAGATGAATGTCTAGGTATCGATGCCTTTGCGTTCCGAGATGGCATACATTCCTGTCTAATATAGAATGGCATCCAGTCAATGTTGCTCAAGGTATAGATCGTTGCTCGCGTTCCACAGCCTTGTCTGGATCAGCCTCGTCCTTTGTAGCGACCAAATCAATTGCAACTGTATGCCCTACGAGGCTCTGGACCTTCTTCATAGTAGACCGATACTAGTGACGACTCTGCACGATAGATAGCATCAATCACTCTCATTCTAGATCAGAGTGTTACTATCGCATCCAGATCAAAGTGATATTGTGAGGTGTGAGTGATCTTGTTCACCCGAATTAGCCAACCAGCGCTGAGCATATCGTCAGCCATAGACTGATTCCTGCTGCATGCAGTGACAGTCACTGTGAAGCCTGTATTCACTGCAACTGATCTCAGCGACGCCGCAAAGATTATAAATATCCTCTTCGCGACCACGCTTCTCCCTCTCTCTTCCTCTCTTCCTTCCTTCCTTCCTTTCTTCAACAGCTTCATCAGTCCAGACGACTTTTCCATCGCGATATCAACGTCTTGTCCAACTCTTCCTCTTCTCAGTCGATGACCTTCTCCTCTATTGTCCATATGTCGCGTCAAGGATGAAATCATGTTGTTCATCAGCAAACTAAGTCGCCGATGGTGAGTTCTGAGATCGACTCATCTGACCTCACTTGTTCTTTGATTTTGACTGACCACATTCCTCTTGTCGCAGGCGCACCAGCGAAGTCTCGATCAGACAAAAGGCGACAGACCATCCTCACTTGAGAAGGCCTCATCCTCTGCCACAAAGTCCTCTTTGTCACGCTTATCATTGCGATCATGGCCACAATCCGAGTCCTTAAGCCCAGTGCGTCGCCAACCTGCGCCTTTGCAGAAAGGGGAACCATACAACAGACACTGATGTCACATGCGCGACAAGATAAGACAACGTCAATGACAACACATAGTACGATGGACTCCTGTGTTGAAAGCAGCGCAGTTGCCTTCACTCATACAGCGGATGTCTGGAACACTCAAAAAACATCGGGCAGTGAAGACCGGTACAGGCATTCATTGTAAGTCTTCACACATAGTTCTGGATCAAATTGCTGATGATGGACTCCAGGAACTTGAGTCCAGGATTCCACACCAAGCAAGTCACATCGCAAGAATACATGCAATGTGCCTATCAATGGCTCCAGTGTGCTCTCCGTCATGAAATAAACGTCCTGGGACTTCATCATCGGATTGAGCCCCGGATGTACTGGTCAAGTTGAGGCAACAGTGGGCGCCATGCCCTGATAGCCTGCAGGCAATCAGCTCCTTCCAGTCATCCGGTATATAAATAAAAATACCTATGGTGGCACGTGGTGACCGTATTCCTGGTTCGTCCACACACCACCTTTGTTGTCCTCGTCCTATCATTTTGCTGACTGCCAAGCTAGATGTGCGCTGCAGACTCGTCGGTGGCCAACCCAAGGGTTGCCCTGGAACGTCTGGGATTCCTGCGAGGTGTGGCGCAACGGGCAGCGTCTGGTCCGCTCCTACGGCCATTGCTGCGCTCAACCTTGCTCGACGATGTTCGGTTGCGCGGCAATGGCCACCATCAACCCGAAGTTTCCAGCAGTAGGAATGGGAGGGATAACACCAATCTGCAGGTGCTTACAGGAAGCCCTGCTCCTGCTTTCTGTCTCCAAAAAGGCCGATGACCGAGTCTTCAAAGCAAGACTCATGGAGGCAAAGCGGTGACCGTTGGCTGTTGTATCATGGAAAACACATCAGTAAGTTGCGATCTCTATTGTGCATGGCCTCAACCCTGACCTCCACAAAGCACAGTATGACTGGATGAAGTCGCATCTGGTAATACCACCCTTGGATCATCGACTCTTAGCCTGGTGTGTTTTGCTCCTAGGCAAGGACAGCACACATGGCTACTCCGTCGACCAAGATTCATCGAGCAAAGAAGCCTGGTACTCGCTCGCTTCCGTCAGTAGGCAGCGCGACTGGCATACAATGGCTTTGAGCCTCGTCCAGACCGTGTCTCACGACTGTCTGACTTGTCGATGGACCATTCCATATGCCGATGCGTGTCTCTGCGCCGGTATATATGATTTTACCAACATGGTGGCGGGTCAGCGTCTTGCAATGGTGAGTCGTGTTCTCCAACCGGCCTTGTTGTTCGAAACATTCACTGACCTTCTTTGGCATCATCGCTCGACTGTTCACGTGGTCGTGTTTGGACTTCACCTTCCAAGGCACGAGTGACAAGAGATTGTGAAGTTTCTTGCATAGAAAATGCAACCACGCCATCTCACCTTTTTCTCTCTCTTCAAAGCTTGGAAGAGCAAAGTCCAGACACGATCACCACAACAGCCAGCTCAGTTGCCAGTCATTTTCTAGCAAAAGCAGTACCCCAACATGCCAGCAAACAATCTTTCGGGAGGTGGTGCATGGATTCCTCAGTCGGGCGGCGGTCTGCGGTATTACACCACAGATGAGGTCAACGCCTATATTGGGCTCCTCATGCTGTCTCACGGCGATGCCGTCGAGCAACACCGTCGGTCACGACAGGGTGATTCATCTAGTTCGCAGGCCAAAGATGGACAGTCATCCGTTCATGGGCGCTCGAACTCTGGTGGAGGCGGCTGATGTCCCTGACAACATACAACATACGGCCACGCCTTCACCCACTGCCAGAAGATCTTGCTTGTCGACAAGCGAGACGATGGAGAGGAGCAACCGGGCGCACTGGTAGATCGGCTGGTGGCACGCGACGACACGCTCAATTGGAGCCCATACTACCTTCGGAAGGCGCTGGACTATGCCGCCGCCACCACCTCCACCGCCAACGACGCCGAGGTCCGGGCCAAGCTTCGCGATCGGGCAAAAGAAAAGCTGGCTCTGGACAAGTGGCGGGTCAAGAGCAGGGGTCAAATACCGGCGGGAGGAAGGATCAGGATCAAAGAAAACACCACAGTTCTCAACTTCGCCGGCCACTCAACAGCAAAGGCACTGCAGTGCTCAATACTGAGGCAAGACAAGCTCGCCTGTGCACACATCCGACGGTGGAAAGGAGAGGAGGCTGGGGCAGAAATTGGGACCAGGAGAGAGGCATAGGGAGTGTTGAAACAAGACAGGATGGAATGTGTCGTGGACAAGCCTTCCATGCACGTTGGTAGCATTTGGGAGCTGGGTGATTCGGGTAAAGACCGTCGACAGCTGGCATACAATGGCTTCGAGCCACTTCCAGATGGTATCTCCCAGCTCCCCAATGCCCGAAACGCTCGCGGGCGTTTGGATGGACAGGAGATCAACATGAGAGCAGGAGGGTCAGGCTGGCGTTGGCATTTGAGAAGAACCAGAAACCCATCACAAACCAAGACTACAAAACTCCCCAAGGTTGTCCAGTAGATCTCTTCTGCTGTTAGTTGCGTTCTACTGTGTTCCTGTTCTTGTCTTGCTTGGGTGTGCCTTTCCTCTTGCCTGTGACGAAGGATCTGACAATCAGCCAAACCTCGCAAGGACTCCACGTCTCCTCGCGGATATACAACAACGGATAAGGAGGCTGGGTTTCTAGATGTCGATGGTTGCGAGGAATGTCCGTGGCTGGTATGGAGGTCATTGATGTTTGTATGGTGATGGGATGATGTTGGAAGTTGGATGCCTGCTGCCTGCCTATTCATAGAAGCCACGGCCCTGAGAAGAGCAGGTCTGCCGAGCGGACATTTGATTGACGCAGCTCCGGCGCTAGTCCGCATGTGGCTACCATATTCGGCAATACGGTGGATCATTGCACGATAGTACGTATCTTCCTCAATCGTCCAGAAGCAGAAGCAGGAAACTTATCGACATCGACATCGACATCTACATTCGACTTCTCGCTTCCCATTCTTCCAACCACCGTCTTTTCTGTGTCCCTCCCCTTATCAAGCCACGCCCTACTAGTGTCTCTTCTCATTCACTCGTTTCTGTTCTACATCCCTTCCAGTTTGCCAACCCATCTTTCTTACTCTTTTAATATGCCCCAATTCTTGAGCATGCGCCGCTTCTCCCGCTCCAACTCCATCCACAATTCCCAAGCTCCCCAATCTCCACCGAATTCCTTTACACCGCCTCTCTCCCACGCTCCGATGCTGCCCAATGGTATTTTAGGGCCTCACCATGACTCCCACTCAAGACCAGTCTCGGCCAATACCACTTCGAGCTTCGATTTCGCAAACCGTCCTCCGGTCCAGTTCCACGTGACTGCCTTGCCCGCCAATGCTGTCGGGAACCTCACACGGACAGACCAGATCGTCTTGAGACATTTCTGGGAATCTAAGTACGCGGAGAACAAGGCCAGAGACCTGCATTTCGTTCGTTCCCACCCTACGCGTGCAGTCTCGGAGTTGACACTGACTAAAACCACAGCTGAAATTCCCCTACTTCCCGCAATACCCTGGCCATCAGGACCTCATCCCGTATTGCGAGATCTACCACTTGGTCAAGACATCACCAGGGGCGAAGATACTTGGCCTGGGTAGTGCCAACGGTGTCTACATCGGGTGAGTCGAGCTGCTGTCGTCCTCGTGCACTTCGCATCTCCAGCTGCCCGGACCTTCTGTGCTCGAAACCTTCTTTCGGATTGTCCTGGACTTTGTGGGTGCTGACTGCCATTCAGGTTTGAGCTCTTCTCCGGCTCGCAACTCCACATTGACATGGATGATGCCTGGCACAATATCTCCCATCACCGTGTGAGCTTCAAGTCCTATGAGAAGATGCTCAAAGATCCGGCCTCGGACACTGCGTTCAAGTCGTGGCCGAAGCCTCTCACCATCGAATTTCTCGAGGAGCAGTATCAACGTTGGATGTTGGACCTGACCAGCTTCTGCTGGGACACAGAGGAAGTGACAGAGTTGGGCGGCGGGACCGGGGGTAGTGTCGAAAGTGACTTGAAGGACGAGATGCTGTAGGTTGGGCACACCACCACCGAGCGATGTGACATGGAGAGCAATAATGGTGTTGCTCGACATACGGGACCTCGCATCAGCAGCTCTTGTCGTTCGGCGGAGTTTCGCCCCGGCGAGGACGTGTCGATCCTTCCAAGCACGACCGATTGAATCCCCTTCAAAGTCACTTCGACAGTCGCTCCCAATATGCTTCAAGCTCAATCGGCTACCACGACGGCAGCTCAACCACAGTGATCATACTTCCCCTGATCAAGGGGTACACTGACCATGCCTCTGGTGAACCCTTCAGCCGAAGCCGGCTGAAACACCGACATTTTTTTGGATTAGTCGCTTTTTGTTACAATCTTCCCCTATTCACACATGTCGTGAATACCACTCGTCACAAACGCCGACTCACAGCCGGTCAACTTGGCGATCTGCAACGCTGCACGACCGGGTGCATGCATACAAGTACCAAGGAACTTGAGCTATGGGTGATCGATCTTACCACCAAAGCATGCTCTTCTAGGGAGGAAAAGGCGGATACGACAATGCCAACGAGACATGACCTCTTCCTACTCTTCGACCGATACAACAACGATTTGACGAAACATGATGGGAACGAAAATGAATTTCGGGTGGAGTTTTCGCGAACCAGGATAATAGCTAATAACACATGCCCATACTTTGGTCATGAAGCGGACAGGTACCTACATCTTCGAATGGACATACCTAGGTGTTTCTAGCCAAGGCAACCTTGCTGCGTGCGCAACGGATACTCTTCTTTTGCAGCTAATGCCGGGTCGGCCACCTACCTTGCCTGTTGTCAACGCCCAAACACCCGAGTGCTCAACCTGTAGGGTGGCTGGGTGCTCTATCTGATCATCTCTTTCCCGCGTGTATGAACAGTCCCTGGACGAATTCTGAACGTGACCACGCGCGCGGCTGGACCTGACCAGCTGCCACTTCCCTTCGCCCCTGCTTCCGCTGCGTGATGCCGTGTCTCGGCCTGCTGCGTGCCCACGCTGCAATCAGGCGGCAATATTAAATGGTCTCATGGACAACAAGATGGCTGTTGAAGGATGAAGCGCACAGTCAGCAGACATCAGGGGGATGAAACGCATTGAACTCAATCAGATCTTGGAAACAAGGCTGCTGCGTCGATTTTAGAAGATCGGTTGCAATTCGTTTGCCTTACATTGGGCAGCACGCTTAATTATAGCCAATGGGCCTGGGCTGATGGGTCGCTTGTTACACATTACAGTTCTTTCGAGAGGTGCTGAATACGGCCGTGAGATCCCTTCTTGTGGTCATCCGGACCTGTCTTCAGAATTGCCCAATGGAGAACGCCGAAACACACCTGCACTTTGTTCCGAGGAGTCCACGAGGATTTTGACAGCTCGGCTAGACGGCAGCATTTACTCTGACCGTTTCTACGACCCGCTCTTCGAAACTCTCAGGACCCCTATCAATCATACCAAAGTGGCCTCGGTCAAGGACCAGGCGTGCCACAACTTCACTTGTCAGAGTACTTCGAGGGAAAGGGTTCCAACGACACAAGAGCGGTCGCTCGTCTTTGGGCTTTTGGCAAGCAGTCCGGCTACTGGCGGCCGTCCCGGACTTCTCAAGAAGTGAAAATCAGGAGGCTTCCGGCCCAAATCGGAACGAGGCTGAGGCCCACAAATTCTCGCCCGCCGACTCTCAAAAGGCCCAAACGCAGAAGCGATGGGATTGGGAACGTGGTCGAAGTGGATCTGCTTGGTCCCACCCACAAGTATCTTAGCAGCCGAAGCACTGCAGGTCAGGAATTAGGGCCAGTACAGGAGTATTGCCGTGATCGAGAGGTTAATTGGCTATCAGCATGACCTGTCCCCTCTCCTTCGGTATGCAAGAGGGCAGGACGAGTCAGACATGCCCCCTAGGCTCAGACTGCATCGACGGGAAACCAGCCATTTCCAATCCTCTCAAGCAGTCGCAAGGTATATAGATGACAGGATCCCAGTCAATTCAGTCCAAGTCCGTGTAGGCTATCAGTCATTTGCTGCGCCTCAGCCCGCACGGCAAGAATCAAGAACCAGGCTTTTGCAGAGACGGCCGGGCCTTGTAAGGTGTATTTCGCTTCGGCAACGAGGATCTGAAGTATATTGGTGTTTCGGCAGTGAATGCGCTCGTACTGTAGCAGGTCGGGTGACAAACAGGCAGGACCACGGTGACAGTTGATTTGGCGGTCGTCCCCCCTGCGTGCTGCAGCCTCTCTCTTCAGGAAATTTCGCTACACAGCAAGAACCCGGTAGACACTTGAGCGCTACGGATCTAATCGTGAGAATAGGTCAACTCCAGGTCTGCTCTGTCATATCATCCGTTCGGATGGGCGAGGACACCCCCACGCCTGAGAGTCTTCCTCCTGACCGAACTTCTTGCAGAAGTGCCGGTTGAAGGGAACAGCTTGGGTGATCCCTGTAGGACAAAGTATTTCGTGGTCCGCCAGGGTTCTTGGGCCTCCATGTGCAATGGCTCTGGCGCATCTTGAGTCAGCTGTAGTAAAGCCCAATGGACGCTGTCACCGCTCCTATATCGATGCTCAGCCGAGCTCTAGCTATGCAGATGCGGCATGGCCAGACCTTGTTGCGGTCGCTACAGGTGATTCGACGGCTCAGCGAAGAATCGAATGCTGACATCACGATATTAGGCCTCTGGATACACAATGCAGAACATACAGCAACTGCAGTGCTACTGTCCGAAGTCTACAGAGGTAGTACGTAGGGCATCTGGCACGGCGTGATGAGCATTGAGCACCTCGACGGGTCCCAGGCGGTAAAAGCAAGGTCCGGCCCGGAGCCATTTTGCCCCACCAACCGGATTCTCCACTTTCCACAACGACACAAGTTGAAGTTGATATCTGCTTCCTGCTTATGCCTTGTTCTACAATGTCCGGGATCATTACAGCTACCAACCCGCTCACGCGGACTGATGAGTCGTTGAACTCAAGCACAGGCAAAACGCCATACCTACTACCAGGTAGCCATGTCGGGGTAGTACACCAATCAAAGTGCCTGTGAGAAGACTGGAGTCTGACCCTCTTGACATGAGGACCGCAACGGAGGTTGCCCAGCCGAGGTCCCCAGCCAACCTGGCTAACCCGGCAGACCTGTGGTGAGGTATCCAATTCCTGTTGCCTGTCTTGCCGAAGACAGCAACACGCGACGCATTGAGGCTGAAGATAAGGATGGCACGCTCACAAGACTGAATGGTGTTGAGACGGAGAAGCTTGTTGTTAGACCATGCGGGCACTCATCGCACCCTCTCCCCTTTCCTGCAGTCTGGCGTAGATTGGCCGGGTACGAAACACCATCCAATCCCAGAAGAGTTCTGCCTCTGCCTCTACCTCCAAGCGCCGACCCTGAGTCAGTGGGTGCAAAGGACACTGTATGGCATGCTGGTAACCCTCCAAGACCGGCCCATGACCTGGAGCCCTGGCGTTTGGTGCATGCAACTTGTTTTGCACATGCAATCGAAGACCAGGGTGTATTGGAGCTCGAGGGCAATGTATGGCGACGAGCATGCAATTCCGAATGCCTTTTCCAGCGACCTCACCAGCTCACACATCGTTCTCAAAGGTGGACAGGGATTGAGGCAGGCCACAACGCCTGGGAGGCGTGTGTCAATCAATCTGCAGCAGTCACGAGCCCATCCATGCTCTTTTCAAACTTCAAAGGTAGATGGTCTAGTCCGCTGGTTTCCCAGCTGATGCGGGCTCTTCACTTGCCCTACACCTAGGCTCGGCGGATTTCGAGCGCTTGCGCAGCATGACATCAAGGCAATGCAGAGACGAAGAAAATGCTGTCGGCGATTTATGCGCGACAACGTGAGTGATTGACAGCTTCCTTTACATGGAAAACTGTATGGAAACATTGACATATCGCTTGAGAAATATTCATAACATCGTAATCCATTGCTCAGAGCTCATCGTAGCTCGCTGGCATGCCGCAGATATCAAATGGAAAACATGGGACCTGATTGACAGACTGCATGCTAGTGAAAAGAAAAAGCCACAGTAAGGACCAATACTGCATTGGCTTAGAGTGCTGAGTATCGTGTGCTCAAGATCCTCCGTCGCGTAAATGATATATTGCAATTCCATAGGTGATCATGCGGCCGTTTCACGTAGACGTAGACGTAGATGTCGAATGTTGCTTGTTATGGAAGTGTTGAAGTCAGACATATATAGAGAGAAATGGGTTGGTTCGGAAGTGAATGTCGAAAGACACCAGGCACTCCTGCAGCAACTCTCAACCTGGATGTTGCCTGGGCGTTAAGGATCCAGTCCTGAATGGGGAGAGGCCGTAGTGGCCAAACGTAATAGAGTCGTAAACGTATTGTCGATCTCATCGTTTTCCCAACGCTGAGAGCTGATGGGCCGATGGAAGCTCCTCGAGCCGGACATTTTTCATGAAACCCTATTCTGAGCTTCATAGTACCCCAACAGGTGAGGCACACAATCTCGAGTGACCATTCCGACGTCCATTGCTTTGACAGTGTGCTCCACAGTGTGAGGACGGGAGTAACAGACTCGGCTCGCTGGGTCGAGCCTCTGTCCCTGATTCGCTCTTCTCACAGCAATATGCCGTTTGCTTGACGGTGGCTCGCCTTCCAGCCATCTTGCTTCGGTACCGTCCATGTAAATGATCGAATGAGCTTCAACGGCAGCGGGGATCTGTCTAAACTTCTTTAGACCCCTCCCGCCATATGTGTTGATCTGGACGCAGACGCAATGACCATGGTCTTCTCGCACCACCACCATGCGACGTGGTGTAGTGTATATCGGCTCCCCGTACGGTCCAGTGCTGACGGGGACATTTCTCTCACTGGTGTAGGTATTCCGGGAAACAGACTGGCTATTTCCAGGCAGGCTGCTGAAGGGCTCGTGCCATAAGACGACAAAGACCCTTCCCACTTTGTAAAATGATGATGGTTTCACGTTATATCGGACGTCCAGCCGTGTGCTGTCTTCCAAAGCAATGGTTGCCTCTCCGGCTACTGAATAGTGCGCAGCACCGGGGCGGGCTCCCGCACGGCCGGAAACAGGAGCAGCTCGCCCCGTTGTAGTGGATGTAGGGCTTGTCTCTGCCAGACTACTGGACACACCCCGGTTGTGTTCACGATCCTCGATATGATTTTGGGTGAAGCTGCGTGATATCGCAGATGATAATGCTCTGTCGCTGCCGGGGCGACCCGAGGCCTGCCGAGGCCTTACGGGAATTGTTCTCGCTCCGGTTGCTTGGTGAGTACTAGTCGGGAGAAAACCATGTTCCACTCTGCCGTCTTCAACGTCGTAAGATTCACCCTCTCGAGGAGCTCGGCCACTTCCGCGAGAAATTGGTTGCGGGACTGAAGCTCTACTAGATGGATCTGCTCGGTTGTCCCTGGGGCCTGCCGCTCTCGATCTCGAACCCGAGCTGACATCGTCTCTGGGCAGGCTGGGTTGTCCTGCTCTCGGTCCAGTTCCAGAGCTCTGTTGGGCGCTTCGATAGCCAATGGCATCAGCATGATGGCGGCTGGTCTGCGTCGTCGGCCTGGAAGTAGGCACATAGGTTCGCTGGGATCTAGAGAGCATAATCAGTACGAGGCTGGGAAATAGGGGCAAGAGAGCCCACTCCTCATAGGGAGCAGCAGAGCCAGAACGTTGGTCGCTGAACGCTGGGACACTGTAGGCTGCTACTGCAACGTCACGAAAAGGTCGCTGAGTGGTTTGAGTTGTTTGTATTGTTCGTGGTGTCCGTTCATCGCTATTTTGGATAAGTAAGGGATTAAGATGACCGTAGGCCAGCAGGCAAGGCAATACCTAGTCTCGACAAACCTCTGTCGGTGACTAAAATCCTGCTGCTCTTCCTGGGGTGGTCCTGATCTAGGTCAGTGCCTCGGCGCCAGACGGCCCACATTGGATGAAAACGCTCACGTTGGCCTCTACGAGGAAGTTCACCTCGAACTGAGGGGTTTCTGTTTCGCTCTGACATGGTCAAATATAGAGGTCGAAAACGGGGCCTCGGTCACCGAGACCAGCTCAGCCTGCGAGGTAACAGGAGACCGGGTCGACCTGTGATATAGGAACGTCCAAGGCCTGCGTTGGGAGGCTCTGTGGTTTGGTTCCATCTCCGCCGTCCATCCTTCCACAAAGCCAAGCGAGGGCCGCTGCAGTTGCTGCATGGACACCTCCAGGGTCTGGACAGTAGTACAACCAACCTGGCGCATTCGTTGATGAGCGTTCGAGGTGTGAGCTGGCTGTAGCTGAACCGCTATCCCATGAGTTAGTTCGTGACGAATTTCGTGGGGAGAACGGGAGGGAGCGAGGGAGCCTAGGGAGCCTGAGAGAGAGCATGCGCACCCGAAGCTTGTGGGTGTTTGAGGCAGAAGGAGGCTAGACACGGCAGGCAAGGGTTACCCTAGGATATCAGTAAGGCCGGGGGTGCTAGGCAGGGGAGGTTAGTAATACTAGTAAGTAGGGAGATTCGTAGAGGTAAGAGGAGGCACCCTAGGCAGCCATCCATCCCCTTACCCCTCCTACCTGCCTACCTACCTTAGGCTAAGGAGGCCCCTTAGCCTCCCTAGCCTCCCTAGGTAGCCTTAGGAGATCCTTACTGGCCTAGCCTAGCGACCTCAGGCTCCCCTCCTCTCTATACTTAGTTTTCCGGAGAGCCAAAAGACTGAGGCACTCGAATCATTTACTTCTCTACCTATCATCACCTGGACGTCTCGGATACACAAATTATTGTTTTGCCAGCCCCCTGTATTACCGGCACACGTCGTCTGCGAGACGCTCCCTTCCTTGTTACCAGCCGAAACAAGCCAGTGTCAAGAGCGGGATGCCTGTTGGACCTGTTGACTCGCACCTCGTGTTCAGCCTCGATTGGCAGTTGAAGTGACGCCGTTGGCATGCTGCCCAGCAGTTGCTCTGGCTCGACACGGTTGTTGCTGTGGCCCATGGACGACCTGGTATACAAAGTTGCCTCAACTCCTGCGCCCGTGAAGAGAACGCTGCCTTATCTGTCCCTGATCGCTAAGATAAATGCCAATCCACCCAACCCTGCCCCGGCACTGTCGCTGTCTACCTGTATTGACCTCCGCGCCCTTCTGGGTATGAATGTCTTCAGCCTTCACAATTTTCACTGGCATTTGGCCTCTAAAGACGTGGATAACCCGGTGGCGCAAGCCTGCTGAGGAAGAGTAAGCCATATGATCTGTCTCTATCCACGCTTTTACAGAAATAGCTCATAGTTTTTTCCCCAGGGCCACAGGGAGTTGTCCAGCGCCATCTGTCAGGTCCAAGGTGTACGAGAAGACGCATGAGGCCATTGCACCTGGTGACGCCGAGAGTGACTCTGCTTCGCTCACTTACCAAAGCATCCGGGAGCCATGGGTAGAGATTTCAACGCCTACCGGAAGCCAGCACGATGGAAGGTCTCTTGCTCTCAAGTCCAAGTCCGGCTCTGACGGTGCTCCCGCCAGAGAGAATGGTCAGGTCGAGACTTGTCAGTGCGGAGCTGAAGACGGTCGTGCTAGCACGCCTAATCATGACATACCAAGCCACCGTGGCGAGCCTCTTCTGCGACGTGGAGAGCACGATCCATATCTGAGCGACATGATACCGGCCCTCGAAAGGGTGAGACACACAAATCACGAGGCCACACAGCTCATATTCGAATGGAACTCGATAAGCGCTCCTCTTTTCAAGCAAATGGAAACTGTCATCCAGTCATTAACTGGGTTCATGCACGGAATGGCTGTCATGGCCAACACTTCTGGAGTTCCCAAAGACTTTGCGCCACGGTTTGCAGAACTACGCAAGGATTTCGAGATGATGTATCGCGAGCATTTTGCGGCCTTTGAGACGGATCGTTCTCGCTACACAAAGACCGAGAATGACATAATACAGACTCTTTACCGTTCCAGCAGGCTCCTGGACGGTATACTCAGCGGCGATCCTGGTGTATCCTCATTTGGACAGGATTCTGACATCTCGGTGAAATCTAGTAGAGTGGAGCTTGAAGGCGAACTTATCGAGCCATCTCCAGGAGTTGAACGATACTCATCCCAGCTCGGCGAGGTAGACACTATCCGGGAGAGGCTCGCAGAGTTACAAGCAGAAATCGCTCAGCTTTCCCAAGAGCAAATATCTCGAGCCCAGTTTGGCCTCAGCCTAGACGATGAGTCGTTACAGTTCTTGGAAGAGGGTCGGATGCAAGAGCAGGTGATTTTCGAGGAACTCGAGTACGCCGTACTCGTTCTGGACGCACTGGAACGACTTTTGCACGAGCCAGAAGCTCTACAGATCCCCATTGACCACCCGTTTGATGGCGAGATGGAGGAGGCTGGCTTGATAGACGAAATCGGCGGTCCAGCCATCCCGGAGACCGTGGTTGCACCTTGGACCACCGAACAAAGTTGGCCGTTCCAGCTGGGGCTACAGACACGCACCATGAAGTTTTCAGAACACTTGTCCGGGCCAAGTTCAGCCCCTATCCACCCTGCCAACTTCATCAACAGATGGCTGTTACAGCGGAGCTGCTCGATGCCTCGTCTTCTACGCCTGCTCGTTGCCCTCATTCAGAAGCACCGCGGCGTCGTGGACCTCCAAAGCGCAGAGAGTGTCTTCATAGACATCTGGTTCAACGACGGGTCAGCCGCCGACTTTGCGAGGTACCGCACATTCGCCGACCAGCAATCGAAACTTGTCTCCGTGGGCGATTCTCGACTTCTCCAGGCACGGACTGATGCTGCTGGTACTGCTCATGTTGGCTCAGCACCATTACTCAAGATGGGCCCTTCTGTAACAGCGCAGGACATTATTGCACAAGCAATCCGTACGAGGGATTTGAGCACGTCTTAAAATGGCCATCCCGCCGTCAATTTTCGGAGCGGTTTGATGATCGCCGCAATGTCAGCATTATTTCCTGTCTCTATCGGTCAGAACACATTATGTGAGTAATCTACAGGCCGAGAAAACAGTTATATCTGCCTATCCCAGTCCGCAGATATGATGTGTTCTCTGCTACGTCTCTTCTTCCTGGCAAATTCCTTATCATTGGTTTTGCTTTGAACTCAGTGGACATATTCTAGGGTTGGAAACAAGGAGAAAGAGTGTGCTGGAAATGCCTCAGAAATGACCCGAAAGAAGCTTAGAGAACAGAGTATGTGTCGAGGAACCTTTTGTATTGCGTACATTTCGGGGATGTGATGCCAGAAACATCAAGCGGACCTGTATCTTTCTACCCTCAGCAATGACTTGGAATTGTGCAATGATTTTTGTGACACCCGAGTTGTCCGTCCAACGATGTTCAATTCTTTCCAGTGAGTGCATAGTAGTCAAGATCATCATCAGAATATTCAGCCGGAATGGGAGACCACTCCATATTTAATCATGTACAGGTTGAGATTCGTGGCAATGCCCATAAGTTGCGCCGCGTGTGCTTAGCAAACAGCTACAGTCTCATGCACCTGTATTGGCTAAGCTTCTAGTCATCATATCCAACGTCAGCTGGAGCCACTGCCAGCCTCTGTCCAAGAAGACGAAAAGGGAAAGAGAGCCATCCGCTGTCTCGTCGTCTTATATTGGATACAATCATTGCCTCCGCCAAATGCCACGCACGGCAAATCAATCCTGGCACTACCCGCTCAGGAGCCTCCTTCGCCATCGCTCAAGCCGGAACAGAAAAAGCACAAAGACCACACCGCGATTCACATGACTACATGCGGTGGGAATGAAACTCCTAGCCCTCGGTGCCATGCCGATGCCCCATGCCTTGAAAATTAACCAGCCCCAGTCGTAAACGTCGTGAACAGGTCGTAAATCTGGCACCAAAAGTGCTTCAATGACAATCAATCTTGGGGAAAACGTCAGGTGCCGCTCAGTCATGGGCCTTGAGCGCATGAACAGCCTTGTTGACCTCATCACCTGCCACCTTCTCCCACTTCGCCTTGCCATCGCGGTCAAGCGCCTCAAAATCTCCGATTCTGTCGTAGAGCATCCGGGAGATTTCGCGGTTGATAATCGTGTATTCGTCCTTCGTAATGGTTTGATCATGGTAGTGCGGTTTCAAGGCAGTCGCCACAAGCCTCTGCACGTCAGCCTTTGCGTTCAAGGACATATTTGCTCGAGTTGGTGAGGCATCCGTCGACCGTGGTTGAGTGACTGGACTTGACGGGTTTTCCAGGATCTGGGGAATGCGGCTTCGTGGTCTAGGATGCATCAGGCGCATGGGTGCAGCAGTACCTGACCTTGCAGCATTCTCTGCATTAGGACGCGTAGCAGGCGCGTCTCCGGAGTTCGAACCTCCAGAATCTGGAGAATTGGGCCGCAGTGGGGAGTACTCGGTGGAAGGAAAAACAGGCTGAATACTTGACGTCAAGCCTGTAGGCGAACCGGGTCTCAGAGCAGCCAGAGGGGGCGGCGTTGCCGACATAGCTCGTGGCGAAGAATGATTGGAGGGTAGGGGAGATAAAGCTGGCGAAGACGGCTGTGGTGAAAAGTGTTCGGCTGGTGGACTACCCGCAGGGCGAGGTGAAGGTCGATGGAGGTGCATGCTGTGCGTACTAGACCCAGACTCTTCTACTTCTTGCAATAACGACTGTAAGAAGCTTGGGGCCCCGGACTCGAGAGCAGTCTGGCGGCTAGGCATAGGGCTACCCAAGCGGGACGACTGACGTGACTGACGGGCTATGGAACTGGTAGCAATCGACGTGCCATTTTCGGAGACAGAGCGGACGGGAACATTTGATCTCCTCCGCTTGATCACTAGCGCAGCTTCATGCTCGGGCTCAGCTGGGGACGACGTCCCGGATTGTTTTTTCCTCTTGTGTGACGAGCCAGATTCGTTTGAAGTAGCACGTGCTTGCTCGAAAGCGTGCCACGCCATGATTTCATCCGCATTCTCGACCGCAGGGGCGGGCGAAGGTCGCGTGCGTCGAGTCCTGGGTGTGAAACCTCTGCCTGGACTCCGGGGAGCAGTAGGTTCAGTCTCCCTAAACCGATTCCCGGCTCCGTGAAGTTCCGCGACCTGCATACGGCGCATCCATGCGTCATGAGCTTGTCGATTAGCCTGGTTGCGCTGACGGTGACGTCTCAAATATGTGGCGGACGAGTCGTCATCTTCATAAGGGAAATCAAGATCGAGGTTAATCCGTGACCAGACTGATTGCCACACCTGATTCCAACTCATGTCGTGTCCACGCTGCCGCCGCTGTTGGCCTCGAGTACGCCGACGGGACAAACGGCCAGAGCGAGCATTGCCCTGGAGCCGAGGGTCCACCTCACGCTGTGCTCTGCAGTTGTCACAAAACCAGTGGCCATAGGGTACCTCCTGCAGGTTCACGCAATATGTGTGCCACAGCTTTTGGCAGCCATCACAGTACATCAGTACATCTTCATTGTCGTCTTCTCCGCAAGCCTGACATGGCTGCTCGTCGTCGTCTTCCTCCGGAATCTCGAGGAACATGGAAGGATCTAACTCGGGGACCTGTGTACGCTCTTCGACAGGGTATGATGATATAACGTCGCCTGACCACCATTAGTTCTCACGTACATACTGAAGGACAAGGGATCAAGATTTACCATTAGTTGTATGCATAAGTTCAACGAGGTGGAAGCTGGCGCGACAGATGGGACAGCTGTTGGCCCTCTCCACCCATGGCATAAGACATTCATTGTGAAGGTAATGCCCGCAAGGTCGCAGGTGCGCAATTAGTTCTTCACTGCTCTTTTCGCCCGGCTGCGTGGCGTTGTCGCCATGTAAGTGGTAGGATGTCTTCGAAACGCCGCCGATATCACTCGGTGACGGAGACTTGGCAACGGTCGGAGAAGCTGGTATATCACCGGCACCGTTGCTCAAGTCTCCCAGGCAGACGATGCATGTGTCTGACATACAGAGATGTTGTCGAGCAACTTTGAGCGCAGGCTCGACGGTGACAAACGCATGAGGACTGTGGTGGAGGACCGGTGTCGATGTGAAAGAGAGAAGGAAGGCAGGTGGAGGCAAGCCGAGTTGCGTTTTAAGTGGTCCCCTCGATCAGGCAACTGGGCCGAGTGAGAAGATGGTGCGCCACACGATTCGAGTGGACGTGACCTGGCTGAGGCGGCATGACCTGGCCAGGCCAGTTGCAATTGGATGAAACATGGCCTTGACAGGTTCCAGCAGGAGCCTGTTCGTGCCTATAAAACGCTTGACAGTAATCAGGTCAACAGGAATGGACAGATGGAACCCAACCTTGTCTACAATGTTCTTGGAGACCTGGACTGCGGCTTGAAAAGAAACTACGAGGTGACGAACTTCTGTCCCGATGACGATGTACCCGGCGACTTGGATTCGAAGACCCAGGTAGTCGGATCAGCGATCTTGGAGAGGGATTGGCTCTCTCGAAGAAAGTACCTACCCACACAGCTCCGGTCATCACGCCCACGATGTGTCTGATTAGAGCAGGAGACGTGGTGGCCTTCGCTGAGCTCGATCGATGGTCGCTTTTTAGGATAATTCAGGCACTTCCATAGTTCGGGTTGTCAGTTCAGCCTGAGTTGTTTGCCCATGGGAAAGTATCTCAAGAGTCAAAATTTGAACAGGTAAAAGAAGAATGTGAGATCTTTGATTCGGGTCATGCGATTGAGGTCTATCGACTCGTATCGGTCATCATGCAGGGTTTGCTTTCGGCGACGCGGAAGCTGAGGCTCTGCTCCTGGGACGACCGACGCCCGGGAGATCCTATCGTGGTATGTTGACAATCATCAAGTCCTTTCGATTTCGTGGATAACTCCAGACCCATGCTAAACGTGCTTTACACCTCCGCAATTTCCCTCAGTCTTCGAATGGTCGATCTCGTGGCAGCAGCAGCTGGGGTGCTGTGTGACGAGATTGTCAGATATTGAGCGGCATCAACAGTGTGCGCAATCTCTTGACTTACGAAACCGTGTATGCTCCTCCGGCAATTGTCTTCTTGCAACCTTTGCAGGTCCAGATTCCGACCGAGTGTCTCTTGACAGTGTTCTTGCCGCAGAAGGTGCAGACGTATCGTGCGTGCTGAGTGATTTCCATCTTCTTGACTTGCTTTCGGAGGGAAGCACCATATCGTGTGCCATATTTACCGGTCACGCCGACCTCTGCGAATTGTCAATGAATGTCCAGTATGTCATGTTGCAACGGGGCGCCGAGACTCACTCTTCGTGCGCTTCGTCATTTTGGCGAGAGAGACCGAAGAATTGATGAGGGATGTAAGGATTGAACGTCGTCGGCAACGATATGCACAGCCGTCGAGTCGAGAGTAGATTTGTGAAAAGTGCAGTTGTGGGCACAAGACGCTACCGGCTTGGCAACACAACACGTGATTAACAAGTGATCGGAAAGGTTGGTGTCACGTGGCAAGTTGTCGAGCTCGAAGTCCCGCTGAGTAAGCATGGCTGGTTGGCATGCACAACTTGAACTTGAACTTGAACGCTGGCATCATCTACCACTAGGCTCCTGAACCTCAGTTTGCTACTTTGTAAATGAATTCCTTGGTCGTGCCCACCGTGGCTGGGCTACGCTCCTCGTGTGTTTCACTGTCAAATCTAATCAAGCCACAGATCATGCCACGACTAACAACTTCAATGAGAACTTTCTGGGCTGGGCGTCTGCGGAATTCAGTGCACAGTAAGCAATCTGTTAACCCTGGAGAGCCTGGAGTCTGTAAACGGCTGGAATCATTATTATTGGGCGCCGGACTATTGACGACCTCGGGAGCTTGTCTGCTTGTCTGGTTGCCAAAAATACCCTCGACAGCCTCCTAACCCCCGTGAACCAGCCCCTTAGGCGCCCCCTAGGCGTTGGCCCGCCCCCAAGGCCGCCTTAGGAGCATTTCACATCCCATTGCACAGTCGCCATTTCCGGCCCCTAGCTACGAAAAAGCCACTTTTGGCTCTCGGCCGGCCATTCAATTGAGCAGTTAATCTTCTTCTTGTACTATGGCGGGCAAATGGCATCGGAGCCATAATCCTCAGCGCAGCAGAGTGGAAGAAATGTACGTACCTTAGTAGGACTGCCACTGCCGCAGCACTACCTTAGTATCGCGTGGGTCTCACTTTGGACCTCGTGCAACTTGAACCTCCTCTCCTCCTCCTCTACTACTTTAGCTCGCGTCCTCAAAAGCGGATCGTAGTGTACACGTCTCCCCATTTCACAGTATTGCTGACATCTCAGCGCGTCTCTTTCGATATCTCGATAACTAGACGTCTTTCCCTACTTCCTTGTTCTTCCTCCGGTCTCGTGTCGACCTCTTCTCTCCTTCCTCTTCCTTCTTGATCCACCCAACCTTCTCGGCCACTGCAATAGCAGCAGCAGCTCCTCATTCGCACAATGGCGGCCCAACGCGAATACGACATCCTCCTCCTGGGCGCGACCGGCTACACAGGCAAGCTGACTGCCGAGTACATCACCACCAGCCTTCCGACCAACATCAAATGGGCCGTTGCTGGACGGAATCAATCGAAATTACAGTCGCTGGTCAATGACCTGAAGACTCTCAACTCGACCCGCACCAGCCCCGATATCATCACCGTGGCTAACCTCACTGCGTCCGAGTTGGGTCCCGTGGTCAAAAAGACGAAAGTGTTGCTCAATACGGTTGGGCCCTACCATCTCTATTCAACTCCCGTGGTGGAAGCTTGCGCTCAGGCGGGAACCCACTATCTCGATGTCACTGGCGAGACTCCCTGGGTGAGGGAGATCATTGTCAAGTATGAGAAGACGGCGAAGCAAAGCGGCGCCATCCTCATCCCTTCAGTCGGTGTCGAGTCCGCCCCCTCCGATCTAATTGCCTATGTCGCCACACGCCTGGTCCGTAAGGTGTGGGATTGCGGCGTCATGGACGTGATTGCTACGGTGCATGAGCTCAAGTCTTCTGGCCCCAGCGGAGGCACCCTTGCCACGGGGCTCGGTCTCTTGGATCACTATCCCCTGAGTGAGGTCAAGAAATGCAACGATCCGTTTATTCTCTCGCCATCCCAACTTCAACCCTACACCAAGGAGACTATCTATCCTCGCAATCCCGAACCAACCACATATCGCCGGACGGTCCTTCAAAAGCTCACCGGTGTCTGGTCATATCCTCGCCTGGGAAATATGACCACCTCGATTACTGCCCAACCCAATCAAGCCACCGTCCACCGCTCAGCAGGCCTGACCCCCTACTTTTACGGATTCAATTTCACCTACGAGGAGTACATGGCCGTCAGCAGCCCTGTAGTTGGCTTCTTGATTCACGTGGCGGTCAGCATTTTGACATTGTTGCTTGTTTTCCCACCAACCCGCGCCATTCTGAAACTGCTCGCCACATACAAGCCTGGCGCCGGTCCAACCAAGGAATCGACAAAAAGCGACGCGTTCGAATTGCGGGCGGTGGCCGTCGCAGAACAACTTGCCAAAACTCAGCGTAAGGCACTCGCAACTTTCCGCTTCGAAGGCGGCCTCTACCACTTGACCGCCATTCTCCTGAGCGAGGCCGCGATGGTCTTGTTGACCGAGGAAGAGCATGTCAAGAATGCCCATGGAGTCGGATTTCTGACCCCCTCCTGCCTCGGCGACGTTTATGTCGAGAGACTCGAGAAAGCCAACGTGAATATTGGAGTGCAGCAAATTGGGGATGTGGGCAGCAAGTAGGCATGCGATAACTCTGTCCAGGACTGTCTCCAAAACGGTGTCCATTATTTTGACACTGGAGAAGAATGGCGTGATCTCATGCCTGCGACAAGCATTTTAATATTTTGATGTCCGCGGGATAAGGACGAGGAGAAGAGCGGACTGATGATGGTCTTGACATAGAAGCCGATGACTTGATCCGGGAGCGGGCTTTCTTTAGCATGGTGGCTCGTTTCTGAAGACTTTCCAATGAAGCATGTGAGAAGTGAGAAGACAATGAACTCCCAACCATTAATACTGGTATAATGGCCTTACATGGAACTCGCAGATGGCTCCGCCCTATGTACGATGCATCCTTCGTCAGCAGCCCTGAATGATTGGGATGATGGGATGAAGAGTAATATTACACACGGCCTACTATTTGCAAATGCACCGTCCATAGCACACGGCGTGTCGAAGAACAGGGTGCCATAGCATTTCACCGCTGGCGTACTCTGAGAAGTAAACGCCGGCGCCACTCAATCTCTTCATATGGAATTGAGAACTGGCTAAATGGGATCTGCATATCCCCTCAAATATAGCTGACCTTGACACCCATCCCCACTGTGCCTCGGATTTTCTGCCAGCTCGTATCGACCATCCTCTTCGTCTTCTCACGAAGTTGTCTCTGACTGAACGCCATCAGAAACGCAAGGACGAACAGGAGAAACCTTAGCAACTTCGTGGGGTTCTTGGAAATCGCGCCAGCCATGTTTCGGCCGAGGTTAGACAGGGCCAGGAATAATTGTCGAGCTTGCGCCAGGAGGGTGTTTTGGTTCGCTGCTTTCGGTTTCCGAGTAGGCCGACGTGGGGTTTGAGCTGGGGGAGAGAGTTGATTCCGTGCCTTGGAAGATGGCAGTGGAGAAGTGTGTGAGGCTGCAGTTGAAGACATTGGTTGCGGGGGAAGATTGGTCAGAGGATTGCTTGGGGGTTTGGCGTCGGAGACTGTGGTGTTGGGTTTCTGCGGTGCCAGATGTGCGCCATTAGGATGCTCCTTTTCGATGCCATAGTCTACCTCGCTGCTGGTCCTCTGGTGCCGGAATGCAGGTTTGGACTGTGTCTGGGACTCCGCTTCGTCGCCTTGTCCGGTGCCTGAGGCTGTAAAGGTTGGCATTCCTTCCTCGGTGTCCTCGAAAACATCTATTTCAGCCTGTCCAAGCTTTTCTTTTTCCGAGACGTCCTGAAGCTCTTGCAAGGTCTGTAGGAATGCCTCTTTCCGCTCGTCGTCTAGGATGTCGCTGTTGGTGAGGAAGCTTCTCGCATAGTCCCATTCCCCATTCCGCGGGAGGACGTGCAGGGTGAAGAGTTCGATGACCTTGATGCGAGAGGTCAGATCTTTCGGAGTATTAGTGCCATCCAAGCCTGGCCGTCGGTCGTTTGCCGAGCCGTTATGGAGGTGAGTCGACAAGTCAAGTTCTGGATGCGAAGAAGATGACAGGTAGCTTTCCAACCTCGCTTGATTGATTTTCTGGTTCGGGGCTTGTCCAAGAAGCAAGTTCGACCTTACAATATCAGCGCACTGTAAATGGAGCGCATACAGAAATACTCACAGATTATAAACCACCTCGGCATCGACAGAGCCTTCGCGGCCCTGGTATCCATCTCTCACCACCTGCTCCCAGATGTCTCCACTCTGGACTCTGTGAACGATATCGTTATATTCTCCCCCATATTGCTCCTTGCCCTCTTCCCATCCAAGGTCGATTATGGAATTCAGAAGCGTGACATATAGGCTCCATATCTTTATTCGCTGGCTTGTGGTCGCCGTTGCGACTGGCGCCCGCGCGGCGCTATCATTCGAGCCGGTTTCCCCGGAAGGTGTGACAACTGGTTTCAGTGCTTCATAGGCTTCCACCAACCTCCGAGTGAGAAACAACTGCGATGCATGTTTGTAGATTCTAGGAATCTCGGAGGACGAATTCTTGCCGTTCAGCGAGGAGTGTGACGAGGAGAGAAGTTGTGTACTAGAAGGAGACTCGGAATCTATTGACATTTTGCCGGCAATGGGGATATCATCAACAGAAACAATAACATAGCATAGAAGTAGAAAGAGAACGAAAGATATCCGACGAGGTAGGTGTTGGTGTCCGCAGGATGATGTAAAGAGAAAGTCTGGGGTTTGAGGAGCTCAACTGCAGTGCTGCGCAGTGCGCTACGTACACCGTCTTGCAGTGAGACAGACTAGGTAAACAGGCACCATTTCACCGATTTACAGGCAGTTAAAGCGGCAACTAAGCGTCATATTTTCACGTTTTTCATTCTTTTACACCTAAATCGACCTTTTCCCGTAGCGATTAGCTACGGCCCTAAGCGTCTATCGACCTATAGAGCCCCCTAGCCTAAATTCGTAGCGAGAATAGTTACGTAGCTAGTCGTAAAAGTTGTATCTATCGAAGCTCTCTCGGCTGTAAATAATCGAAGTCACCTTAAAGAGTCTCGTACTGCGATAAGTATCTACCCCACCCTAGGAAGGTATACTCGTGATCGTATTGGTTAAGAGCCGTAAATAGCACGTGCGTCGCCCAACTAGGTCTAGGTGCCTGTAAAATGGTGAATTGATGCCTGTCTAGCTAGTGTGTCTCTCTTGCAGTCCTTCGGTGCAGTGACCCTTGCTCGCTTCAACCTCGGCAATAACTGTTACTTTTAAAGCGGCGGCAGGGAGGTCCAACAGCCTCAAACGGCCCGCATATCCCGTAGTATGGTTCAATACCATGCTCCAGCATGAATAAGTCCAGGAGGTTCTGCCATTTCCAGTCATCTGCGACGTGATAAATCCAAGATACCCTCTTGACAAGCATTGGCTTGTAGTTTGTTGCTTATCAGTGTCCAAAACTCCGCATCCTCCTCCCATCGAGGTAACAACCGGCCATCCTTCACCATCTGAGCAATCCGTTGTCGCTCCTCGATCTCCTTCTTGACCTCGTCCTCGGCCTCGCCCTCAGACGAATCGTCCTGAAGCACGTCGAAGATGTTAGACTGCTGTGATATCGACTTCAGCTTCTTCAACCCCAGTCTTGGCAACTGAACCATCTTTTGGCCTCCACTGGATGCGTCGATCGTGCCAGCTGGAGTCTGTACGCGCTGGTCGGCAGTTTGGAGACGATTTTCAGCTCCGGAAGCCTTCGCCGCTTCAATACTGCTGCTTTCGGCGCCCGTCAAGATAGTCTTCACGGCTGTCACAGGTGCTTTGATCGCTTCCACTATCGCTTTTGTTAAGCCAGGCTTCTGATCTTGCCCTTCCGCTACGCCTACGGTTGCAGTCTCGTGCTGAGTCTTCTCAGGTGGAGGCGCGGGCTTTTCGGCTGGGGCAGGAGCGGAAGCTTCCACTAATGCTTTGATGTCTTTGCCTTCTCGTTTCAGTTTCCCGGGTATCTTGAGACCAATCTTTGCTGTAACGTAGCTGTCAAAGCCAGCCTCGTGGTACGTGGAAGAGTTCAAATAGCGATCAAAGTCCGGGGGCAAAACCATCCGAGGTACATCGACAGCGAAGAGGTCACTTTCGACAGCTCTTAAGGAGGTATCTGCCCATCGCTTGTTTCCAAGCCCAGCAATGTATTTCGTGTCCATGATGATAGGAAAGAGGGCTTGGATCTCTGCGCTGAAGTCCTCCACTCTGTCTGGTAGATTGCCGATGAAACATCGGTAAAAGTTTACCATGTCCGTGAAGCAGTTGTGGCCGATGACAGCCCGCTTTTGGCTCCGAAGTTTTGACTGGAGGTTCTCCAGGAATGCTTGGATATCATCAGGTGTCTTTCGCTCCGGAAAAGCCTCCTTCACAAAGAAGTGTGGCATCTTTAGGATATCGCCACCCACGATCGCTTCGACGATCCACCGGAATCCTATGGCGTCCAGGACTTCACGGTCGCGCAGTTGTTCCATCATTTCCTTATCGTTTGCTTGTTTCTCAGCCGTGGGATTTGTGACCTGGACAAAATGGCCCATGCCCTGTGTCTTTAGCTTGGGATACTCATTTCGCACAATCTGGTGGGTCAGTCGGACTTGGTATCGATTCAGCATCAGTGGTACAGGCTCTGGAGGCCGTTCCGCAGGGATGTTGATGAATGAGTCCTGCTTTTCCTTGGGCGCGGCCTGCCAATAGCTGATGGATTGTCTGATGTGCTCTACTAGGGCTGAATCGTCTTCTTTCAAAATCATATCCGGGATTTTCGACCTGGCTTGATCGTCCTCGGTTAACTTCTGGCGCACTTGTTGTTCCTCCTGCCGTGACAGATAATGAACCCCTTGCGTGATTGGGCGGTCAATGTTGAAGCCATTTCTGATTAGAAACGAGATGGCGCCACTATTGTATGACCATACACGCCGAAAGACTTGCTCCTTCGTCGCCGGCAATGGACTGAGATCGAAGTTATATGGTCGCGCGACATATTCTCCTTGAACACAAAGTCAGCCCTCTTATCAGAATATGGCATCGTCGGGGTCACAGGAGTCAGTAAGACCAAAGGACAAAGTCAAACCCAGCGGCAGTTCATGGCTGCTGATGAAGTAGAAACACCATGCGAAATCGTACCTTGGTCAGTGTCCTCGCTCACAACCGTCAAGCCAACTTGCAGGATCTGATATATCTGAGCCGCGGATCTCAGTTCTTGGTAATATTCTTGCAAAGACAGTTTCCCGGAGCCTCCACCAGGTCGCCTTCCCGCCACGCCCGAGAATTCGAGATCGAAAGCAATAAAGCGACTGCCGGCGATCTGTTGTATGATATTGATAGCATGTTCAGAGAAGTTCACATTCGTGACCTCCATGGCGCCGACAGAGCTGGACTGGCTCGGCGCAGGAGCAGGCCGCGCTGAGGTAAAGCTTGAAGGAAGGCATACAAGTTTGCTGGGCAGGGCAAACAATCGACGAAGGAAACTGCTCATCAAACAGCGATGATCTGGTCTGCAGGAAGAGATGTGGTCCGTTTATAGCAGAGTTGAATTTGGAACACTGGAAGTAGCGGCGAAGGTGAGGCAAAAACAAACAGTTTGATTCACGTATTGACAGAAATCATGACTCCAAAAGCCAACTGATGACACTGCATGGATATTCACAAGTGATGGGTTTGTTCTAACACTCTTCTAGAGAGCACCTCGCTGCTTCACTCGAACCAGGCTCGATGTGTACCATGGATAGTGAGGCCTTGGACACTTTAGATACCGAGTTGATTCGTAGGCACTAGCATTATTGAGTATTCACAGTTCAACATCTTGGGCCCCTGGTTCATGTCGGTTGGAGAACTTGAAACACGTATCATTTTGATAATTTTATTGTGGGGGAAATCGTTGCCCGACTGTTAGACTGTCCTCTGCCCATGCCATTTCCACCTTTTGCGACATTTCATCTCCCTCGATCACTTCCAGACCTACGTCGCAGACAACAATAGAGGGTCGCGATACAGAAATACAACACGCCCCCTCAGCAACACCTGCTGTTATTCTCGTACCGGTTCGGAGAATGAAACAGTAAATCGGCACGCTGTCCTGCCTTGAAGAATTCGGTCCTGCGGCATGGCCACATCCTCCCTTTCAGCGATCTTGAAGAAGACAACTCTCGACGATCACGAACAGATACTAGAAGTCAGCAACAAGACTCTCAAGTCGTCAAAATCCGATATTGAAGCCCAACATGTCAAGGTGGTCGCTCTTCTCAAACTTGACCGATACGATGAAGCTGTCAAATTCGTTGAAGAAGCGGGAGATTCATTAAAGAAGAGGGCGGAGCTGGAATATGCATACGCCTTGTACAAGACAGGCAGGCTAGGGGACGCCTTGGAGATCGCTTCCAGCTTGAAGGGAAGAGGGGCACAACATCTTGAAGCGCAGTCCAGATATCGACTTGAGGACCCGTCACGAACAGCGGAGCTGTATAAGCAGCTGAGGAGTGGGAACCCCGAGTCTGAGGACTACGATTTGCGTGTCAACCAAATTGCCATCAACGCCCAGGCTGAATGGCTTGGTGTTGTAGACCCGAGAAGAACGCGCAGGACCGAACGCGAGGATCTGGCAACATTCGAAACAGCATACAACGTGGCATGCGGTAGCATCGCAAAAGGAGAATATGCGCAGGCCGAATTTCTGCTGAAGCGAGCAGAAGAACTCTGTAAGCAGTCTGAAGATCTGACTGATCAACAGAAAGCCGACGAGCTTGTACCGATACGGGCACAGCAGCTGTACGTTCTCCTTTGTCTTGGGAAGACGGCCGAAGCCGAAGGACTTGCGGCCGAGATCAAGCTCGAAGAGACTTCCGACCTCTCAACCCGAAAAATCACTGAGGTCAACAAGCTATTGGCAGCCTCGCTCTTAAACCCCTTTGTCGCTCACAAAACATTCCATTCGACCACCACGATCCCTCCAGAGGATAAGCTGTTCTCATATCAAAGTGTGCCTTTAGACTCGGACAAATTCACCCTTGACCTGCAAGCCTTCAAGTTCCAGGGTATCATATCATCTACCTTGAAGATCATCCAGAGCACTTCGGCGTCCCCCATATCTCCAGACATCCTCCTCGCCTCCTTTTTCAATGCGGCAGCACATGCAAGGAACGCATCGGGGAAGACAGCCATCCGCAGTATATTGCCGGAGCTTGAGAAAAGACCAAATGACGTCGGGTTGGTTCTCAGCCTGGTCCAATTGTATGTCCTGGGCGGTAATATCACGTCCGCGGTTGAACTGGTCGAATCCTTTTTCAAACGTTTGGAAGAGTCCATGCTTGAGTCCGAGCAAGACATCAGATTCAATCCTGTCCTTGTCAGTCTCCTGATTGCGCTATACAAGAAGCGTGGTCAGAAGGCACTTATCAAGACAGAGCTCGCGAAAGTCGCGGCATTTTGGAGGACACGGCCGAATCCGCCCACGAGCCTACTGGCGGCGGCGGGTATCTCACTGTTGAAGTCCCAAAACGAGGACGATGTCAAATCTGCAGCGGACATATTCAGCAAGCTGCTCGAACAGCTACCCAACGACAAAGCCACCATAGCAGGATATGTTGCATCTCATGCCCTCAACAGCGGCTCCCCAGTCGCAACGTATGTCGAAAAGCTGACACCCACGTCCGAACTCACACGTACTGTTGACGTGGACGGGCTAGAGTCTGCAGGCATACCACAGTCGTCAAATGCCCTCGCAATAGCGCAATCAGTGCAGACGAAGAAGCGGGCTGCTCCTGACGCTGGCAGTGCCGCCCACAAGCGAATCCGCAAGTCGAGGCTCCCAAAGGATTACGACAAAGACAAGAAGCCGGACCCGGAGCGATGGCTTCCACTCAAAGATAGGAGTTATTACCGAGCGCCCAAGGGCAAGAAGAAGGGCAGACGAGGTGGCGATGACAGAACACAGGGTGGAGCGGTCAACGAGGATTTGAACGTTGAGTCTAAATCTGCACCGGCTCCCGTCGCTGCGGGTTCGGGTCCTGGAAACAAGAAGAAGAAGGGCAAGGGCAAGAAGTGATTCCGTCAGCTTTCATCTTAAACCAAGGCAAGGCCAGCCATGGGTGTGTAGTTCAGGCCAGTTGAGACTGCCTCGAAAGTGATAGAGAATGTTCAGAACATTAGCATAGACCAGAATGTCGCCCTCAGGCTTCCGGATCATAGCCTGAATGGCGCCTCTGCGTTGGACGAGGATACCCTGACTGGGCTCTTCAGCCTTGGGCCTTCATTCATGTGTTGAACTGATTTGTTCGAGGCTAGATCTATGATTTCTCTCCGACGCGTCCAGCAATTGATCGGGCACGGCGGAGGCGGGTTCTCGCTGCTCAGCCGAGGGTGGGCGAGTCCGATGCGATCCAACTTCCGCAACGATAGTACGTAGTGGTGCAAGCACAGACTGGAGTACGTAGAATAATCTGAGACACGTCAACAACGGAGCAGAGCAGCTGGGGTTTGCCTGAGTGGCCGAGGCACGAGAAGGAACACGGCGAGTGGCGACAGGCAGGACCAGTGGCCGGCGTAGTGCGGCACCGCGAAAGAAGAGCGTGCAGAGAAGTATCACAACGGCGGTGGTGATGATGGCTGGTAGTGGTGTTGGTGGTGGTGGTCGTAGTCGTGGTGGTGGTGGCTGCGGAACTTGAAGAGGATGATTGTAAGGACTCGCCAGGAAAATAACCCGACAAACAAACTGACAAGTGGCAGCGGGAGCGACGTTTGATCGTGACTTGACTTCTTCCGCCTCCTATCAACCGTCATCCAGCTCTTCATTCACCCTTCAAACACCTTGACAGCCGAACGAACCATGGGAGACACGCAATGTTCTCTTGTTGCTCCGTGTGTTGTCATCTTGCCCCGTCAACTCCTCTCCTGGATCCCCCGTCGGCCGGTGTAACAGCACGCGAACCCTCTGTGCAGCATGCTCACTGCAGCGTGCTGGCCTGCGAATCTGCGAGTCTGCCACCTCCTCATGGTTACTCAAAGTCTCCCCAAGCCTGCGGTCCCATCACACACACGTATCAGGAGCCCAAAGAGATGCTGACGGCCGCTCCCTCCCAAGACAAGAGAAGAATCCACGGTCATGAGGACAGGACGTACATCTGATTCCAGCAGGCCTTGCCTCCCACGCTCTGCCCCCTTCACTTCAAGCTGTGTCCTACCGAGTATCTGCAGCCCGCCCCGGGGTCCGTTCGCTCCCAAGGCCCCGGTTCTGCTGATATCACGATAATGTGTGATCAAGGGCACCATTGGCCAGCCTAGCCATTCCGCCGGCCGTGGCAACCTACCGGCGCACAACTAATCCAACTCACCTTCGGTATGGTCCCTTCTTCGGCTCCTCGTGGCTACATTTAGCTCGCCTGAGCATTTCCCCTGATGCTGGTGCAGTGGACCAAGTTTCATGAATTGGAGGCTTTTCCACCATTGTCACTCTGGCCACATCCATACAAAGGCTGCGATGCTGCCCTTCCTTTTTGAAAATTACCTGGGCACGCATGTCTTTGATGAAGAGCTTGGACGCTGCTGCGACTTGACCACATTTTGCGCCTCGTCACTTTGGCTTAAAACATGACAGTCTCCTTGAACCTTACCCGCAGGTGCTGCTGTCAGTGTCAGTGTCTTGTCTCATCTGAACTCCGCTTCCCGGTCAACCTGATTGACAGCCGTTGAAAGCGTCCTTTCCCTGCACAACTCATATATCAGCCACCTTGGTTCAAGTCTTCAGTTCTTGTTCTTCCTGCTTTCAAGATCCTCTGCCCTGCCACCCATAGTAGTGGGCCGGCTGGTTCACCCACAGATCTACGAGACAGCTAGGCCACAGTTCGGTCTCCACCATTTTTGACTCCCAGCCTCGCCTTACCCCTTTCACCACTGCACGGCACGTGGTGCCAGTACAACGGCAAAGAGTCTCCCAGTTATTTTTTCGATTTCCAGCTCTCGTTGGAGCTTTACCGCTGTCACCTTCAGATATGGATCTTGCCTGCAGTGGCTTCACCGCCGTCAATGTCGACTCCGATTTTGAGCAACCCGAAGATATCCATGAATATTTCTCTTTACAAGCACTGCCCAATACCAATATTTGGCGCAAACCCTCCGCAACAGATGATACCACTGCGCCTATGGTGTTGAAGCGCTTACAGCAGTCGTTTATCCTTGCAGAAGTCACCGTCTCGGCCGATTTTGCCATGGAATTTGACCAGGCTGGTCTAGTCATCTTCGCCGGCTCACTACCAGAAGCGTCGGTGTCGCGATCTCCCAGCATCCGGAGAAGCCCTCGCTACCTCAGACCCAGAATGGAAACGCTGGCCAGAGGGAGGTGGGCCAAAGCCGGTCTTGAATTCACGGGAGGAGAACTCCACGCCGCATCTGTGGTGGCCATTTCCAGCTGCGGTGCCGACTGGTCATCGTCAGCCCGAATGCCCTCACCATTGACCACATTCGACCCGTTTTCGCTGACGTCGCAATCGCTTCGCGTGAAGTTCGAACGAGTCGACGAGTCTCTGTGGATCTGGTACCAAATACCCAACCTCGGCCCGCAGCCATCTGATTGCCACCAGTCACCCGGTCTCGACCCCGGACGGCGAAGTCCGGAAGATGTAGGATCGGGTTGGAAGAAAATGCGGGAGATTATGGGATTCTTTTGCGGGAGGGAGGACAAGGGAAACGTCTGGGTCGGCTGTTATGCAAGCCGACCGATGAATTTTGAGCCTAGTAATAGTTGGGAGGAGGTGGATGCCTTGGTCGCCGAGTTTGAGGACTTGGATGTTTTATGATTGACTGAGAGAGTCTTACAGTCGATCGGAGTTGGGCAGAGACATATCTGCGGAAGTCTAATCAAGGCCGAAAACCTTGCATTCATTCGAAGGACAAGATGAGTCCATCCTGGGAGAAAAGGACATGACGAGGAGTTTTGAGGTAGCAAGGCATACCCCCTTAGCAAGCGGTTGATATACTGGCGTCTAGCAATGAGTATTTCGAGATTATGAATGACAGCCTCGTTCTGAGTTGCACCTGTCGATATCAGACTCCATGTTCATCTGCCCAGCCAATATTTCCAGAGTTTGCACCGTCCTTCCCTGTGTCGACGCCTGCTGCCTGCCCGTTGCCTATTTTGGTGTCATATTCGATTCGTGAACAAGTACATTAGCGTTATCACGTTTGGCAAGATAGTAGGTCATTCTTTCTGAACCGGTGGAACTCGGCTCTTGCGATCAAAGGCCTCGAGCGTCCTCTATACGTATGTATGTCAGTCCCAGTAACGCACTCGTCGCCCACGCAACTCTTGGCCACCGCGAATGAGTCTGACCTCCACACCCCGAGGTTTAGCCCACGGGACTACGTCGGACGAGACCTGCTCGCAATTCTTCAAGGTTATCTTGCGCAACTTCGGCGGATTCGCCCGAAGGAGACCGGTGATGAATACCCCTGTGATTTTGGCGCTGTCAAGGCACAATTCTTCGAGTGCAGGGCAATGTTCGAGGAACATCTCGTGGTCAATATCTTCGACACACCCGCCTTTGACGTGAACGCGCTTGAAGCCCCTGGACCAGCCAGTATGGAACAGTACCCTGTAGATAGGGACTGCATCCTCACTGGTGCTGATGATGAACTCCTCTAACCTGCCAGGCGCCGTCGTCTTGGCAGGATACTGAATAAACATAGGGTACACCGGGCAATCATAGACGACGAGGCTCTCCAAATTCTCCAGCTGGGTGTACTCCGGTCTAGGCCGTCGCGGAAGAGCGAGTCGGCTGCTTTGAAGGGAGTCTTCCTCGAAAATGATTTCAGTGAATCGCAGCTTCCGGAGGGATGGAGGAAGCATAATAAGTGGCATTGTACAGCGTTCCAGTTCTAGCTTCTCCAGTTGCTTCATGTGGCGAAGATCGACTGTTTTCGTCGCCACTGAACCCTCAAAGCAGGACAGACCCATGCAAGAGAGTGACTTCAAACTTGGTAGGCCCGAGAACAGCATAGTCTGACAAGTGAGTCAGTGAACAGAAATGTCAATCGTTCTTCCGCATTTTCCACTTACATGCTCAAACTCTACAACCATCGGTGCGTGAACGTCAATATTCAATACTTGAAGATTTTCAGATTGCAACTGGAGAGACTTCCGGTCGAGGTAAGTTTCTCCACGCCGAGAACCCGTCACATGTTTGAATTGTGCGATTTCCAGATTAGGACAATCTTTCAATATAGCAGGGACAAGGTCGAAGGATATGGCCGTCTCAGCGCCAAATATGATGCTCCTCAATCCATATCTTGACAACGGAAGGTCTGAGATTGGAATCCACTTGTCATCAATCTCGAGGTGCTGTAGTTCTGGAAGGCGGTGCCAAAATTGCAGGTGCCTGGCAAGGATCTCTGACGATGCCGCAGTCACATGGCGAGAGGAGATTCTTCTTGGTTCTCTCAGTCGTTTAAGGGCCGTGTGGAGCATCTTGGGCGTAACAGGCCTTTTCGCGTCTGGAAAAGCAAGCGTGTCTGTCAATGGACTCATAGAGCAGAGCAGCCGGTTCCATGCTTTGCAGACTCGCAACATTTGGACATGCTGCTTGTATGGAACATTGGACAGGATGATTTCAACTACCTCCAGAGGCAGAGTTGTCATGGGGTCCTTGGCCTTGGAGAGGAGAGTCATGACCCTCAATTCGTCCTTGACTGCGGCCAACTCCTTCGCAATCAGCTGAGAATATTGATCCGAGGCGGCAACATGCTTTATTCCATGTTCATAGAAGGTGACGGCCATAGTTCTATTGCCTTTGCGACGTTCAATCTGCCCACATCGGATATAGCCCCGACCATCGGCGCGGTCCAGGCGAATCATCATTTTCGCATCCTTCGATGCCTGGTCATACGCTTCAATGCGGATATGCAGAGCAGTTCGAAGGTCTAGAAGAGTCACTCGAGTCTGGAGAGACACGCTTCGGTCGCGTTCGAAGGCCTGCACGGCTGTGTTGGCAATGTCCAGGGCGACATTGTACTGCTTGGAACTCGCGGCCTTCTGGCACTTTTTGATCAGTTCTGAAACCGAGTCAGTCGCAACAGGCCGAGCTCCTGGAGCCATCTTTCGCGATAGTCGACCTAGACCCCATCGAGGCAGGGCTGGACAGAGCAATCGATGTTGCTCGGAGGGTACCTGGCATGCGAGTAGTACCTAGTAGTATATGTACGTACCTACATACTAGCTGAAGTGGAAGCGGTGACTTCGACTCGGTTCGCGTGGTCTGCAGTGTCGCGTCGGTTCAACGTCGGCCTTGGCAAAGCGGCATGTTTATATCTAACCTGTTTTGGATTTCACTGAGAGGAACGACGCAGTCGTGATCTGCTCTCTGATCTGATACGTACCTTACCTGGTAGCAACATCACTGCGTTGCGCTGCGCTGTGCGAAGACACCATCGCCCCAGCCGCCAGAATGGAGTCTCAGAGTCTTGACAGAGCGTCTCACTACCTGAACAACCTTCTCCTCGCCCGTGGCCTTCTTGCAACTGGGAAGCCGATCGATTTTGCAAGACCCGACTCCAATGGCGGAGGGACGGATGCGACCATGTCCCGAATCATCAACCTTGTCCATGACCTAGTTCTCCGACGTGACCGAGATGCCGAACAAAGGGAAACACTTGCAATCAACATTCGAGCCACTCGCGCCGACGAAGCACAGAGGGTGCTTGATCTCCAGAGATTGCAGGACAAGAACGTGGAGCTGGCGCGAATCGCAGCTTCCGCGGAATCTCAAGAGCGCGCCTTGAAGGCGGCGGTGCGGAAGGCAGAAGTACATGCAAAGGAACTCAAGGAGCAGATGTTGAGAATAAAATCGACACTGGATCAGGTGCGAGCGAGATGCCTGAGCGATGTGCGGAAACGGGATGCCGAGCTCGATAAGTTGAAAGCGCACCTGACGGCATTACAACGGGGAAAGAAGGAATCGACCGGGATGAAGATCAATGCGATAAATTGGGAGCCGGAGACCAGGGAACGGGAGAAGCGAACGGGACACGACATCAACAGCACCGAGTGGAGCTTGGAGAAGGAGACGAATGATTTCCTTGCAGTGGTGCTAAATGAGACCAGCACAGAGAATGTATCGCTGCGACAAATTATCGCGGACACTATGGAGATACTTTCAGATCTTACAGGTCTCTCCGCAGCAGCTGATGACCAAGATCACGGCGAGATGGGTGACGTGTCAATCATACATGGCCAATCTCGCAAGTTCGGACGTGAAGCGAGTCGGCCGACAGAGAAACTAACATCAAGCGTGGAGCTAGCTGATCAGATGCGTACAATTCTGGAGCATTGCCGGTCTATTCTCAAAGACCCGTCTTTTGTCCCGATTGAGGAAGTGCATGAACGCGACGAGGAAATCTTGAAATTACGGGCTGGCTGGGAAAAAATGGCGTCCAAGTGGAGAGAAGCAGTGACAATGATGGATAGCTGGCGAACGCGTACGGGAGACATGGGTGAGGGCTTACCATCTCACGAGTTTTCAGGGCTGGCTTTCGGCAAAAGCATCGCGATGCTTCCGAATGGTCGACCTATTTTTGGAGCCGAGGAAGAACTGCCATCCATCCTGTACGAGGACAGCAATATGGGAGACGCCGGGTTTCAAGGGGCAGATACCGATGCAATACGGCATACGCCCCAGCAACCTCATTCCAATGTAGAGGATCACCATGAGTCAGATTTTGATATCCCACCCGAACCTACAGCGAATCGGTTTGGCTCCAGCCCTCGACGAGTAGGCTTGAACATTGGTAAACCAATCCGACCTCTACAGGCGATCGAAAACAATGTTGGTGCGTCACCCAAGCGGAACAAGGACAACAAGAGTTTTACGAAGCATTCTCTTCAGGCCGGAAAAGGCACATCGGTCTACCATCTCGAAACAGAGAACGATATTTTGCCATTAGAGGCAGACTTCCAAATACCGCCACAGTCTTACAGCAAGTCCAACTCGCCGCAAGATGGGAATGACCAAGGACAGACTCAGAGGGCGGGCGCGCCCTCGTTGACCGTAGCAGAAAAGCTGGCCGCCGTCGAGGCCGAGGCAAATGAAGCACGAAATCTATCACCACAACAACTGAGGAAACGGAAGCAAGTGGGTTCGCAAAGAACGAAGAAGGGTTCGAGGAGGAGGAGTACGCTAAGTCCGGAAGAACTTGCTGCCTTGATAGGTATTGAATAGTCCTCATCTCAGACTAGAATTCTGCATGATGTTGGCAATGCTCGGAAGGTCGGTTCCACCTGTTGGAAACCACTCGTTATGCCGTTCAATGACCCGATATGAGATGTTCAGTACTCAAAGCACAGATGTTATTTGTCAAAAATGGTAGCTGTTGTGTCTGGCGACATCAATAAGATACTCTGTAGACGTAGACGTAGACGCCTCCAGAAAAGAGGAATTGTGGGAATGCCATGTTGGTGACTAAGCAGGATTCTACGGCTCCCATTGGTCCAGGACACTACAAGTCTTGACCGGACAAACAACACCACATTACTCTCTGTACACAACTTCAATACTGTTGCGACCTCCAACTTCAGCGCGTGTTCTCGACATCAAACGCGCAAAGTGAATCGTTCATCTTGGCGTACAATTCCATTTCGACTCTTCCTGCGCGTCAGTCCATACCCTCAAAAGCAGTCCGTGTCCTCTACCATCCCTAACATCCAACCTTTGACATGCGATCATAAATTGTGCCTTCCACCACGATGAACAAATTCTCTGCCGACTACTCGTCGAGTATCAACTCGACGCCAGGCAAACCTCCTCCACGGACGCATCTATTCTCTTCCAACGACACTCACCTTGCAAGCACTACTCCTATCGCACCTCCACCGTCCCAGATCTTCGGCAGCTCGACATTTGGCTCCGGTGTCAGTAAGCTGCAACTATCCAAAGCCTCCAGATCATCACCACCGGCCCGCCCGACCAACTACAATTCTGCACTCCCTCGGACCAAAAATGGCAGTCCTGCAAAGACAGCCGCGAGGGCGTACCACACCTCTTTCAACACGTCACTAGCCTCCGATTATACTACTCGTGGTGGAGATGACTATGCGGATCAAGACATGGAAGAGGAGGACTACCAGGATGACACAAACCTGTATCTCGCCCAAGGCGTCCGTTCCGTCAATCGGCAGTCTGCTGCTTCGCTCCTCAAGTTCAGCCAACGGGATTCAAGAACGTCCAATCCACGTAGATCTCTGCGCAACTCGCGGCTCTCCGGCCTGCCAAATAAAGGGAACGACTCGCTCATCCCAAACCTGGCACGTGAGTTAGCGGCGAGATCGCAGTCTGCGCCCTTGACCGAACCTGACGAGGTCATCCTCAGGACGGAACAAATCCTTCGCCAATTGGACGAGCAAACCCAATATCTCAAAGACAACAACAGGATTTTACGGGAAATCACTGAACATGTGTATCTCCTCCTTCAGGAGTGGCAACGGTTCATTGAAGACGACCGGCCTTCGCTTGACAGCAGCGACATAGGCCCTCGGCCTTCAGCAGCGCCCTTTGCCAAAGCCAACTACCTTGCCTCCTTGCTCTTAGCTCTTCATCACCCACCTCTTTCGTCAGATAACGCCGTTCTTCCCACCCCGCAGATCCTGCTCGACTGGCTGGATACCTACCACGTCTCCTACGAGCCGCTATATCGAACAGTAGTCTCTACTCGACCAAACTGCACATCGCATGACCTTTTCTGGGACGCAGTGCAGAGCTTGATGCTGCGAGGAAAGTTTGACTTGGTTATGCACCTTTTCGCCGAGGCTGATTTCAGATATGCTGCCTCTGCGGTGGACGACGGAATGCCCGAGCCTGGATACAAGGGCGCACAACTTCAGTCGGTCCAGAGTGTTATATACAGAGCTCGCGTTCTTCTCAATTCCTGTCCGGTCGTCCAGTCCGGGGACTGGAACGTGGTAGGACCTGATTGGGACCTCTTCCGCACCCAGGTTGAAGCAGAACTAGACAGTTTGACTGATCTGGCAGCTTCTCAAACTGACGAAGACGCGGCATCTTTCGAGGCCGAGAACTTTGGCCTCCGTAAGCATGGCATGAGCCTCCTGGGAAAACTTGGTCAGAGTACATCATCAGCTATTCCCTGGACAATCTTTCAGAACCTCAAAATCCTCTACAGCATCCTCCTGGGCAGTGCTGAAGAAATTGCCGCTCAGTCACAGGATTGGCTTGAAGCTGCCACGTCATTGACCATATGGTGGGATGGATCTGTGGATGCTCCGGTCGCCCAGTGGAGCTTCGATGTGAGTCGTGCTAACAACATGGCTCAAGACGTCGAAGATATCAACCCCTATCTTGCTCGGCTGCGAGACTCCTTCCTCAGCGTAACGGATCCCAACGACACCAATTCATTCCAGATCAACGCCATGTCACCGGTTGAAGTGGGTCTTGGAGCCATATTGCAAAGCAGTACTCAGAGTGCATTGATCGTACTGCGAGCTCTGTCTCAATGTATAGCGGCGTCTATTGTCGAGATCGGGACAAAGGCAGAGTGGATTGAAGGTGATAATGATGTTCGACCCGCTGGACTGAATGACGACGACCTCATGGTGCTAAGCTACGGTGCTCCTAAACATGGTGTTACTAAGGACGACATCCTCACGGGATACGCAGAGCGACTTTTCGAAAAGCCTGTTTTGCAACTGCCTGATGGATCCGCCGTCGAAGGCTGGGAAGTCTCCATTTCTGTCGTTACCAGGCTAGACAATCGTCAGGTAATGCACACTGCTGTCACCGGCTTTCTCGAACGACTGGAAGTTGTATCTCAAGATCGCGCCGAGAAGCTCACGAATTTGTGTTCAGACCTTGGTCTTCAGGACGAGGCACGTAACGTGTCGGATCGGTTCGGTGACTATCTCGTCAACAACACGACTGAATATGGAACAGCCCTGCTATGTTACGCTCGGAGCCATGCATCACACAAAATCCGTCAACTTATTGATCTGCTTGTCAGTTATTCGCTGGTGCAGTCCAGGGCGTACCCACCAGAGGAAGAGATGGACGATGGGCTGCAGAGTCTGGTGCAGAATCCCAGAACAGCGTTATCCGACATCGCCGAAGTCGACCCAGAAGCTGCGGAGATGTTACAGTTCTACCTTGTCGGCTACGCCTGTTTACGACGATTCTACACTCTGCGAGATGAACGATCCCTCTCAAATGGCCAAGGCAGTTCATCGAACCTACGCCCCCTTGCGCGCCGGCGTGCTGCAGCCAAGGCTCTGGTGGCTGCCATCAGTAGCGCCGCGGACAGCATCTACGGAGGTTTGTACGATCCAGAGCGCCAGTCTGCAATTCAAGTCGACGGACTGCTGACATTGTTTGGGGAAGCCACTGCCCTTCTTGCGAGCAGCAGCACTTCTGGCAAACAATGCTTCACCTCCCAGCAGATCTATGCGCTTCTCGCGGCCATTGAGGATCTCTCCACCGTCTCTACGCGCGTGTATGATGCCACGGAAGAATGCCTGCAGGCAGCGCTGCGAAACTATCATGGCTCCCAGCCGCCCAGTCCGCATGCGATGCTGAAGAAGAGTATGTCGTCGGGCACCAATTCCAATTTCAGCTTCAGTATGATGGGCTCGGAGATGCTGGCGAGGAGTGGTATTACCAGCACTGGCGCTGGAAGCAAGAGCGCGGGGAGCAGTGGAGTGCTGGTTCCAGATCTGAAAGACCAGGTTGTTCGGGGATGGGATTGGCGAGAGATGTTCAAGGACAACGTTGTCAGCGGGCGGGATGTGGTCAAAGTGTTGAGGATGGGGCTGGCGGAGGAGTTGAGCATGGTCGAGCTGGATGATGTGGCTTGATGGAATGAATCCCAAGCTGTTTGACCACCTGTTGTAGCTGATACCACCAGAACCCTCACCTGTACTGAAAAGGGCAATCCATGGTCATGTCCTTTGATCGGTTCCTCACATCGGCCAGAATTGCCTCCAGATACCCGATAACATGGTAACTCGCGAGGGATCTCACAGGACCTTGCCCCCTAGCCGCAGTTCTTCGCCTTGGTCTCAAATCAGTCGGGCCTCAAGCCCATACTAGTAGATATGTGGGCTTTCGCACGAGATACTATCGTCCAGAAAAGTTTTATACCCCCAACTCTGTTAATCCCGTTCCACAGTGGTGTGTTTCGCAACCCTAGGACAATTCGTCTGCAACATTGTTCTTTGAAGTGGTTTTCAAATTGAGATACTAGTACGTAGTATGTAGATATCAAGAATGGCCACGTAAAGGGCGGAGCGGAACATGCGGTACACATGAGCTTCTGGAAACCCACAAATATAATTAAATCCCAACTTGCTGAGAGACAACGACCACCACGAAGGCCACTCTTTGGGTGATCAAGCATTGCCTCAAGTCGATGAGTGTGTACGGTACAAATCGTCGCAGCTTCTGTACAAGCCTGGCACAGCATTGCTACTGGCGTGCAGTTTTCATGGTTATATATAAAGGCATCAACGGAAGCGCAGTCCCCCATGTCCCACAAAGTACTCTCTACTCTATCACAAATTCGACCAAAAAGGACATGTTGAGGGGTAATGCAACTCAAGCAACAACCTGGACGGAGCGTCATTTGTAAGAGTTTCAATGTATAAGATTCGCTTGCTGATATAGCCTCCTTACGATTCACCTCCTTTGAAACCAAAGAGGACCTTCGACAGGTCCTGACTATAACCCGAGATCCCTCACACAAAATATGAATGCAGGCTTGATTGATCAAACTAACCAGAAGGATCCAGACAGTCCCGTCATTGGTGTAAAGATCCACCTGAACCGACCTTCGCATGCCTTCCTTCTGCATCATTTCCTACAGCCTCAAGTTCAATATGACACAATCCCAGATATTGCGCGACCATTGCAGTATTTCCAACCCCGCTTCCCATCTCTAACGATAAATCGGAGGCGCGTTGGCATAGTTTTGCAGCGGGATGCCACCTTGATTCTGGAAAGGCGGAGGCTGATGCTGCGGAGGATATGAAGGAGCCGACTGACCTTCGCGGAAGTTGAACGCCGCTGGGGTATTCATCACGTCCTTCCGCAGTTTCCGACGACGAGCCAAAGTAGTCATTGTGCTCACAAAGATGATCACTATGACCATGGCAATGGCAAAGACGACGATGCCGCGGTTGTTGTCTGCAAAGCGAAATCCGACAAAACAGTTGACAAGCCCCAGGGAGATAGTGCCTGGTCCAAGAACACGATGGCCGATCATGATCCTGGCTGGAGTACCGGTCTTCTTATAGATACGATGTCCGACGAACCCCACGGTCCAAGTGATGAGAAGCAAGCCGCAAATGACGAGTCCCAGGATCTGATGGCCGGAAGTCAAACTGGGCGTCTGCAGCAGTTAGAGAGGGACGAGCGGGCGGCGGCTGTGGGAGCGGAATGCATGGCTTACAAGATTGTTCCTTTTGCTGACGGCAATGCCAACTGCAGTACCAATGCAGACCATGACCAAAGCTAATGACTGAACAGCCCAGTGGAGCCATACCTTCTCGAGGACACGCAAAAGCAAATACCCCATGGGGAAGACGATCAAAAAGGCGGCAACCATGAGAAATCCATGAACCGCAATACCAGCCCTTGAATGACCCCCTGAGACGGGGCTGTCGTTGACATTTGTCGAGTTTGACGAGTCCAGGACGGGGACGCCGCCTGGGCCGGTCGCTGCCTTGAAGTCCAGCTCGAACGAGTCGTAGCCTTCGTGTTGTGTGATTGAAGCCGAAAGGTCGTTGGTCTTCAAATCCCCAGTTGGACCTACAGCCCATATCATCTTTTGACTTGTGCTGGCGGCGTTGAGGCTCCCGCCACTCCACGAGCGACAGCCGGTACACTTGGCGTTTACGACAAAGGAGCCGTTGAAGATACCACTCCCAGCCAGAACGTCAACTGGTACAGACGAGGTATGTTGAGGCATGACATGTCCAGTCCCTAGACGTGGGCTGAGTGTGATGTTCTTGCCATCTTCGGAAGCGTAGGTGACGAAGATCAAGGCGCCTTTCATTTGACCCCCCAGGCCAAACGCCGCCCATGTCTGCCCAGCCGGGGCCGAGAAATGGAAGAACAGGGAATCGCTGCTATCGGAGGGCACGTTGACAGCGACGGTGACATTGTCATTGGGGTCGCGGGAGGTGCCCCGACCGACGTATGTGGACGAAGGAACAGCAGCCTGTACTGTAAGCACAACGACTGCAGAGATGGTCAGTGTCTTGGATCTCTGGATCATAGCGCCCGCCTAAGAAGGAGAATATCATACCAGCCAGACAGAGGCCGAGTACCAGCCTCAAATGGGCCGGGCAACGCAACGACATGACTTCACATGCAAAACAACATATGCTGGAGAAAAGAAATGCGTAAAGACTCGAGGAGCAGCACGAAAAACAATGCACAATGGAAGAATGCGAGTGGAATGAGAGGGCACGCGCGGGAGGCTATCATGGAGGAGTCAGGACCAAGAACACAGTTGGGACTCTTGGTCAGTAAGGCGCAGCGCAGCCAGAGCCAGGCGTTAGGGATTGTCATCCTCATCTTCATCTCCCGTTCAACGAGCAATAGGAGGACGGTAGAACCGTGAGCGTGTTGGGCGTATTCTGACGGAAGATTCGTTTCAAAAGTGCTTTGATTCCAGCTGAGAAACGACCTTGTTGGTGATGCCGGCGCCTGGATCTGCCTTAGGTACTCATCTGCCCCTGGCCAGGCTAAAGAGCCCCATAATTTACAGTACCTCTGGGTTCCTGTACACTGGCAGTACGTACGACCTACCGTCATACTAGGTACGTACCCCAGGGTTACAGGCCTCCAGCACCCTAGCTCGGCCTCCCTAGCCCAATTCTACCCGCTGCCGGCGTCACTCACTGGCTTGCTGGGTACCAGTAGATACCTTAGGTAGGTAGATACCTTTACTTACCTAAATACCCTGGGTATCTTCCTTGCAGTGATAATCCAGTCGGCGGACTCGATGCTGGCATGCATCCATGCAGGGGGCACCCTCTGGAACGTCGAATAGCTGTGCTCCAGCAGCAGGCGCCTGTTGATTATGGCGGCGTTGATGCCAGAAGGACAGGCACAATTCCCCCGGCCTGTAATGATTTGGCGCCGTCCGTTGACTACCGACCGCCCCAGACTTTGACTGGCCAGGCTCGGGGCGTGAAATGTGGGCTAGGTGGCTCCCCCCTACCCTAGGCTCATTAGACCCAAGTCCCCAGTGCAAGGAACCCTCCCAGGGCTAATAGCGCCTACTCCATACCGTACGACTGACCTCTACGTACCTTACTACCTACCTCGGGTATCTGATATCAGGCAAGTGCCCGCGCTGGGTACAACTTCCAGGTACCTTATGCTCGGATTCTACTATGCCCGGGGCAGTTGGTAACAACAGGTTCTTAGGTGGAAGAGGCTGTCCTTTTGGTAGATACACGCTCCAAACTACAGCCAAAGCGCCGAAATCAAGACCTGTCTCATGCAATTGTCCTTCCCGGCAAGTCTGCGCCAATTGGCAGCAGTGCCTCAACACGAGAACTCCAAAAAGACTTGGGCTGTACCTATAACTTCAACTCTCGGGGGTATATCAAAACCATTCCTCCTGGGCATTCACAACAAACCGTGAGAACGGGTCGGGTTGGCCGCTGAAATCTCCTAACGACGCTGACCAGTCAAACTCCAAAATTCCACTGTCCGGCAGGCCCGAGTCATCTGGGGTCCAATCCGTGGTGCCCTGGCCCTCCTGTGACGTGCCCTGGCCTGCCATCCCGCCCTCAGTCGTCCCTTGCATCGGCTGCTGTCCCGCATGGTTGGAGTAGGCAGGGAGATTTCCCATTCCAAACGCCTCCATGGCACCAGGATTCGCTGTGTATGGATAGTCATGCATCGGACGGTCCGGCGAGGTCGAACTCGGTACATTGGAAGATGTCATGTCGGAGTCTTTGACTGTTTGACTCGCTTGTGCCTGCTGGGCTGCTCTCCGCGCCCGAGCCTTTGCCATCAAGTGCCGCAGGGGTTTCCACGCCACCCCCTTTTGAAACTTGTTGTTCATCAGCATCTGATCCGCGAAGACGGCATCAATGGCTCGCCACGCCCGGTCCACGTCGGGGCCAGGCGGCCTTGCGCATATTTCGGACAGCGCATACGCGATGGACTGCCATTGCGTATAAGTTTGGAACAGCCAGCCCCACTTCGCCGTGTTCTCGTGCTTTTGGAGCAAGTGCGAGAATTCAATGACCTCCACGGAGGTGACGAAGACGCGATCGCGGGACTCCGGTGGCAGGACCGATGCATGGTTCGTGGGGCTAAATGAACGGGGATGGTGCACCATTAGCCATATCTTGGCCAACATCAAACGCGCCACAGTAGCAGCCACCCAAAAAATGGGTACATTCATGTCGCAATGTCGTAGATACTTCTCCTCCACCCGGCGATGGTACTCATCAATCAATCTCTCCTTCTCCATGAGCGTCGATTCCGGCGATGACTGACCATCCTCTCCTCGTGATGACATGGAGTTCAGACGTCGAGAAAAGGTACTCAGCTCGAAACGGATCAAACAGAACGTCATCTCCGTCGCGCCTGGCCTTTCCGGCGGATATTCTTTCATTCCCGGATAGATGTCCTCGTCGTCATAGTTCAGGGGCAGCTTCGTGTCATAGATTTGCTCGGCGAAAGCAGGATCGGTTCCATGGTCCTCAGCCGAGCGAATGTCCAGGATCGACAAATACCACCACAATCTGCGCCTCATTTCCGTTTCAAAGGGGCCCAATCCAAAATGTGACCCATCGCGATGAATGCCCAGACCCTGCGCGAGATGGATGGCCAACCCGCCCAGAGCCCAGACTTTACGGGAGTCGTCACAGTAACGCACGAATATAAGGAAGAAGGCGAATGCCTGCAGGCACATCAGACTGGAACTGTTCAGGAAGTCGGCGCGGGCGAGGGCTTGTTCTGTAGCGAAACGATATTTCTTGATCAGAGACTCTTTGCTCTCGTCGAGCAGTTGCTGGCATTGTTCCGGGCTCAGACTGACCACCGCTCCAAAGTAGATCGAAAACAGCAAGGCCTCGGCCGGCTTCGACAGACGGTCGAGACTGGTCGTTGCGTTCATCAGGATCGCCCTCGTGGTTGGCCGGTGCGAAATGCGGACGACGGGATCGACGTTTTCCTTGAAGACCTCCCACAAAATGAAGATCTGGCTCGGGGTGGGATGGAGCTCCCGAAGATCAAGCATGGCTGAGGAGTAGCCAAAGATGAAGGCGTTATGGGTGTCCGCGCGGTCTTGCCTAGAAACGACCGCCTCGTCCTCATCGTCGCTGCTGGACGGGTCAAGCAGGTCTCGCATCTCGGCGATTTCCTCGCTCATGCTCGTCCAAAAGGTGCTACTGACATATCGGCTGCGGTCCTCGTTGATCACGAGCCGGCCCAGATGCTTCTCGATTGACTGTCTTTTCGTGTCTGAGCGGTCGGATGAAGGAGATTCTCCGGATTCCCCGTCGCCAAACCGAGCTCGAATGTCCGTAGGCCCTGCCAACGTAGGCGAGACGACTCCATGCTCATCGACCTGCGCTCCTAGACTGTGGACCACCCCCTCCAGTCGCTGCAAGCGTGCCAGTAGTTCTGTATCGGGAGGTTTTCTCGACTTCCTGGGAGCCCTGCCAGGGCCAGGAAAAACACATTCAATCCCAGCTCTTACACAGTTTGCACAAGGGTTTTGTTTGTTACATCTGACCTTCCTGCGCCGACATGTGACGCAACTTCGTGGGTTTAGTCGCGGCCCAGATGAGGCCGCCGGGGGATGGGCCGGGGTTGCGCTGTCTTCGGCCGACGTGGGAGGATTGGGCGTCAGTTGTGCGACGCCTTGGGGGGAGATTGATTGTGATGTTTCCATATTTGCGCGTGCGACGTTACAGATGACTCATGGTGGAGACGGCCTCGTGGGCTGGGGAACGGCAGACGTAGAGATTGTGGTGAGATTGGGATAGAAGAGAGGATGGCAAATCGTCCACGGTCATTCTCTATCTACATGGGACAGACAGGCAGTAGAATGAGATTGATGTAGAGGATCGTAGATCGTAAAAGTTGTGGCGCACGCCTGGCCAGAGCGGGAAATATCGAGCGTTATGCGGTAGTAGCAACTTGAACGATAGGGGACTATGCGCCCAGACACCGCGCGCGGTCCCAAGTGTGTTAGGTACACAATATTTTGATAGACGGGCAAGCTTCTGTCCAATAATCGCATGCAGATTTATTAGGTACTTGATCGCGTTGAATCTTATTATGTGTTTGGTGAAGGCCACATACCTACCTAGGTAGGTACCGGTAGAGTCTCCGGGGTTCGGCCTGGCCACATGTTCCTTGTAGCGGCGGCCTTCTCAGCCCGCCATTTCTTGGTCCCCTGCCACTGAGTCTGACGGGATCCTCCGATCCTGCCACTGGCATTGCACTAATAATGCCAAGGGCAAAATCATGTGACTACGTGCTAGTACTTCCTTAACAAACTGCACACTACCTGTAGGTACCTTATGTAGGCAGGTAGGTACGTACTAGTAGGTAGTACATCAACACCCCATCGCCGGAATCATCATCATCATCATCATCAGCAGCATCAGCAGCAGCTTGAAGGAGGTGTTCAGAGCACAACTACGTTGGTGCATATCATGAGCTATATGTAGGAGAGGCTACCCTAGCGAACAATGCGACCAGATGCGCCCAGTATGGGAAGAGCTACGATGATAGGCTCGATGAAAATATGAACAGTTGGCGCTGCAAAGCCCTTCGTTGGCGTCCCAGTCCGGATATAACCGCACTACACCGACCCAATGACCAATTTGGGGATGACAATGAGATATGGTTGCCCGTCGCATCGAAAGAGAGACAGGAGTAGTAGTATCATACTCTGTCAGAAGAGACCGATTCTCGCCGTGCCTTCCCAAATGCCCCCCCTCAGCTTTGTCCACATTTGTCTTGTTGTCCAGGATCAGTGGACGGCAAGCAAAACAAAGCCCGCACAAGCCACTGAAGCTCCTCATAGAGTGATCTCGCGAAGTCCCAAAATCAATCTCTCAGAGCCCAATTCGAACACAGTAGTATACCAAATGAGAGCTGCCTTTCCACAATGCTCCACGCTCCATAATAAAGTCAGATCCCCCTGCTAAACATTCCCGACCGCTGATGCAAAGCTCTTGTTCATGTACTATGAGATCTCAACAACACCTGGGTACCCGGTTAGCTGTCTCTTCATCTACCCAGTCCAGGACATCGAACGTACAGTGCTGACAGCCGACATTGGGTCTGGATCCCCGTCTTTGACTACCGGCGGGCTCTCCGCGCTACCAGAGGTCACGGGGCCCGATGTCGTGATCGATCTCTCCCCAAAAGGAGGTCTCAGGGACGACATCGAAGATACCTCGTCCTGGCCCGGCGATGTCTCCTGCTGCCTCCTCTCCCGGCCGCCGTTTCCTGAGGCTTTCGACTTGGTCCGAGCATGTTTATTAAACATGGCCGTCACGCCATCGGATGCAACACGCAGAATCGTCTGCATGAGCAGGTTCTGTTTGAGCGGTTTAGAGAGGTATTCATCCATTTGGGCTTGAATGCATTTTTCACGGTCACCCAACATGGCGTGAGCCGTGAGCGCGACAATCGGTGTCCTGGGGAGTCCCATTTCCTTTTCGTACTGCCGGATCTCTCGTGTCGCTTCGAAGCCACCCATCACCGGCATCTGCACGTCCATCAGCACCACGTCGAAGCGATCCGCCTTGATGGCATTGACGGCTTCTAGACCGTTGCCAACGACCGTGACGACATGATTGTATTTCTCCAAAATCTTGATTGCCACCTTTTGATTGACCTCGTTGTCTTCTGCCAGCAATACGTTCAACGATTTTTTGTAGTCCTTGATGATCGGGGTGGACCGGCCTTCGAGAGCCGGAATCATGCAGTTGCCCAGGTCGATGAGCTGACATGGCGTCGTCATATATGAAGCGATGCCCAAGTCAAGGACCGTCTTCAAATTAATCGACACGGTCGCGTTCAGGAGAACAATTGGGATGTACTTGAACTTGTCGATCTCCCGTAGTTTATGCGCTGTATCAAGCTGGTCGATGACAATCACATCGTATCCACCATCTGTCGGCTTGACACCCCTGCCGTCGTAGACAGCATCAGGGATGTCTATCTCGTTGTCAACCACACGAACCTGTAGACCAAGCTCCTCAATCATCCCGGGAACGCGCTCGAAGAAAGGCGAAATCCCTTTGTCCACAACAAGAACCTTCTGCTTGCGGAAGGGATACAGCTGAGAGCTGATGACACTGATATCCTCGGTGGCAAATTTTACAATGCAGGAGAAGTGGAATTCACTGCCATGACCAAAATCGGAGGTGACCCATACCTGGCCACCCATGAGGTTTACCAGACGCTTGGAGATCGAAAGTCCCAGACCGGTGCCTCCGAACTTCCGGGTAGTCGAGCCATCGGCTTGCTGGAAGGTGTCGAAAATGAGGTCGAGTTTGTCGGACTGGATACCAATGCCAGTATCAGAAACCACAAACTCGAAGGGAAACTCGTCAATGGCGCAGTTCGAAATCAAATCTTTGGATTTCTTGATCGTGACCTTAACTTCGCCCTGATCAGTGAACTTGATGGCATTGCCGACGAGATTGAGAATGATCTGTCGAAGCCGGAAGGGATCTCCGACGACGTAATCGGGGACCGAATTATCCACGTCAAAGGCCAGACAAAGGGATTTCTCGTTCGCCTTGACCGCCAGAGACTTCAGTGCGTTGAAGACCGTTCCTCTGATGGTGTAGGGAATAGCTTCAATTGCCATGCGATTCGCCTCGATCTTGGAAATGTCCAGAATGTCGTCAATGATAGTGAGCAGACTGTTAGCCAAGTTGTGCACCGTGTTGAGCATTTCTCGCGAGTGGGGCTTGAGGTCGTCTGTGTCAAGGGTGAGTTGAGTCATGCCAATGATCCCATTCATTGGAGTCCTGATCTCATGGGACATATTTGCCAAAAACTCGGACTTTGTCCGGTTTGCCAATTCGGCAGCCTCTCGAGCGGCGGTGTTTCTTTGGATGCTATCTCTCAGGTTAGAAATCATCTGATTGATTTTGCGTTTCAGCTCGTCCATCTCCCCAGATGCGTTGACACTGATCAACTTGGAGAAATCGCCTTCAGTTGCTGCATCCGTGATCTCTCCAAAGGCACGAACTTGAGCAGTAAGATTCTCGGCCATAGTATTGACGTCCTCGGTGATTTCTTTCCACCGACCACTGACATCGTGCACATTGGCTTGGCCACCCATCTTGCCGTTGACGCCCACATCGCGGGCGACTCTCCTCACTTCATGGGCGAAAGTGGCCAATCGGTCTACCATGTTGTTGATTGTGACTTTCAATGTCAGGATCTCGCCCTGGGCCTGGACCTCGATCTTCTTGTCCAAATGCCCTGCTGCAATAGCCTGTGTCACGTTGGAAATGCTCCGGACCTGGTCAGTCAGGTTTGAAGCCATGGTGTTGACATTGTCGGTGAGATCTCGCCATTTGCCCTGTACATTGTCCACTTTGGCCTGTCCACCAAGAGTGCCATCTGTGCCCACCTCTCTTGCGACTTTGCTGACCTCGAAAGCGAAAGTATTCAACCTGTCAACCATTGAATTGATGGTGATTTTGAGGTCAAGAATCTCGCCCTGTACGTCGGCAGTGACTTTTTTCGAGAGATCTCCATTGGCGACCGCGGTTGTGACGGCGGCGATCTCGCGGACCTGAGTCGTCAAATTCATCGCCATACCGTTCACATTTTCCGTCAGAGCTTTCCACGTGCCTTCGACATCATGAACCGTTGCCTGGCCACCCAAAACACCGTCTGTCCCAACTTCTTTGGCCAAGATGGTGACTTCCTGCGCAAATTGTTGCAGTTGATCGACCATGTTGTTGATGGTGCTCTTTAGCAGGAGAATTTCACCCTTACAACTGGCTGTCACCTTCCTAGTAAGGTCACCTTTGGCGACAGCGGTGGTGACCATGGCGATGTCTCGCACTTGGGTGGTCAAGTTGTCTGCCATGGCATTCACGCTCTTGGTTAATTCGTTCCAGGTGCCCTGAACCCCATCAATTTGAGCCTGTCCACCCAGGACACCCTCGGTGCCGACATCTCGAGCGACACGTGTAACTTCCGTGGCGAATGTCCGTAGCTGGTCCACCATGGTATTGATTGTGTGCTGTAGTTCGAATATTTCTCCTTTTGCCCGACTCTGCACTTTCTGACTTAAATCACCTCGAGCCACAGCTTTGGTGACAGTGGCGATTTCTCTGACCTGACTTGTGAGATTGGCCGCCATGATATTCACTAATCTGGCGTCAGATTGAGACACACACAGTGCCCGAGTTGGAGAACTTACCGTTATCAGTCAGCTCTTTCCAAATTCCATGTACGCCACTAATTTGAGCCTGACCACCCAAAATACCTTCAGTGCCGACCTCACGTGCTACCCGGGTGACTTCACTTCCGAAGATCTCGAGCTGGTCCATCATGGTGTTGATGGTGACCTTGAAGGCAGCAATCTCGTCGTCCATTTCGGTGGCTTGAATCTGGACACGTTTGGACAAGTCGCCGTTAGCAACCTGGGTGATGATTCCACCAATCTCACGTAATGCCTTCTGGAAAGCTTCGTTGGCTTGTTGGTGTTTTCGAAGCTCCCTCTCTAAGATAGAAACATCCTCATTTTCCACCCGGATGAATGCTTGTTTGGCCTGTTCTTCAGAATTTCGCAGACCACGGCTAATCTCTGCAATTGTTTCACGTTGGCTCTTGATTTGTTCCGCCTGTTTCTCGACATGCTCTCGAAGTATGCCTATATCGTCCTCGCTCACAGTACGGCCAGGTCCTGAAGGACCGAGAGACTCTCGGGCCGCAAGAAGACTGTTGACACGCCTTGACTGGTTCGTCCGTTCAGGAGCGGGCGCAGTCTGATCATGGTATTGTTCCACCGCTGCATTTCGAGGCTCGCTCGGGCGAGATAAGGGCGAGGCAGGACTCTGGAATTCGCCAGGGGTGTCCGGTAGCGAGCGACTAACGACATCAGCTCTCGCTTCGAGATAATGTATCCGCCGTGCCAAAGCAGCTATCTCGGCTTCCAGTTCGGTTTTCGACGCACTGTCCTCCCCTGGAAGCGTGTACGGTGGAAGCTTCAAGCCATTGGCATAGGTGGAATTCGCGGTCGAGTCTTTAGCCAGTCCACGTAGAAGTGCGGCGGCGGCTGCCAGTGTCTCGTCCGGCCGAGACATGGACGAGGGTTGTGTCTCTACAAAATGATCCTCCTCATGGGTAGCCGTAGGAAAAGGTTCGTGACAAGCGCGTTCGAGATGCCAGAGGGTTCGGATCCTGGGCTGCGTCCAGCAGCGAAGGCAGAAGGGCGGCAAAGCCACCTTGCCCGATGATAGTGTCTCACTTGGGGCAGAACCCTGGATGGACTGAGTGTGCGATGGAAACTTCGCTCATCTGCGACGCAGACAGGTATAAGTTGTGAAAGAGGAAAGGCACTGCGATCGATCAATTTCCGGGGGCTTGCTTTGGACGATTGGGTGGCGTGGTCGGCTGAGGTGGGATGGACATGCCAAACAGCGCTAGCCAGCAGTTGACACGTAGAAAAGGGTCGGGGGGCGTCGGTTTTACTAGGGGAGAATGAAAACGTCGATAGGATGTAGGTGGTAAGTAATAGAGGCGGTTAGACGTCTTAGGGAACCAGGGCTCTCGCAGGATGGGAGAAGTGGCACGGTAGATAGCCAAGATGGATATGGAAAATTACTACTGTCCCATCTTGGTGAGAGACACGAAGGTTTACCGTAGTACTAAGCGGTAGCGGGTTTAAGGAGGAAGTGTCGGCAGGCAGGGCAGGGTCTGAGAGGGTTCTGCCCTTAGATCCATAGTACCTCAGGCAGGTAAGGTACGTAGTGGTAGATAGTAAAGGCGAGAAGGGTAAGGAGGGTCCCCTTATCCCTTAAGAGGGTGCCTCGGTGGTAGGTAAGGGGCCCTTAGGGACACAGCAGCTAAAACATGGGCGAATTATAGGCCGATCTTCTCCTGAAAGATCGCCATGCAGTGGGCCACGAGATCATAGTATTGCAGCCAACAGCTGCCAGCAAACAGGGCACAGTGGTGCCTAATGGACTACCTACGTAGAGGGAGCTATCAGATATCTAGTGCAGATATGCATACATTAGGTAGGTAGCGTACAGAGTACGTACCAACATCTTGAGCATCACGACCACAGCTACTACCTACGTACTACTATAGTACGACTTCGTGCAGCACCGAAGGCATCACCAGAAACTCCACAAGACCACTTTTGACCAGCCAGAGAACCAACGTCGGCAGAACAAGCCGTTAACCGGGAAAGACTGAGTGGACGTAGCTCCCAACTGACCAGTCGCCTGGAATGTTCAAGGTGGGCTCGTTTCGGGCGCCGGGGGTAGTTGAGGCCACAAATCAAGACTAGCAGCCCTTAGAACGTACGCTTTAACTGAGAGCGGTCTGCCCGTAACAGACAGACCCTGCGCTGGCAGTGAGCTGGAGCCCAAAGCCCAAAGCCAGGTGGCAAATGGGTCAGATGGATTATTGGCTCGGTGTATACCTATCTCAAAGGAAAGACTGCCGCTGGTTACATGCAGTATTCAAAGTTAGATACGTACGTATCTAGATAGTACTGTACCTACCACCCAACATGCAGTTAAGCGCGGTCCTGCCGAATAATGGGTGTTAAGGGTAGGTATTCAAGTGAGTTGACTATAGTTAGCTGTGCCGGTAGCGCGACTCATGGTCAGCTCGGGAGCCTCCAAGGCCGGTTTACAAAAAAAGTGGCACCGCCAAATCTGATTCCGCGCACCCTTCAAGAATAATAGGTGGTAGGTATACCTAAGTTGGGTGGAGGAACGCCTATTATTGTACCTCTGTACCTACGTATCAACCACTGCACACAACCTCATGGGCCGCTTACATCATTCGCTGGTCTCGCCCCCCAAGCCTCAAAGATTGGTCCGGCTACGGAAGGCTGAGAGTCAAAATCTTGCGGGTATCGCTGGTGGGTCATCATCATAAAAAAAGAAACAGTATCAAATGCTAAGTCCCTCAAGGGCCTGCAAGAATCCCGCGATTGCACCCGCTCCCAGTAGACCTTTAGTGGCACCCTCGCGTAGATTTTGCTTTGTGCTTTTCTCCCTTGAATGTCTTCTATCGTCCTCGCCCTTCAAGTGACTGCGTGCAGGCATACTGTTCTGTGACAAGAAAGAAGGTGGGCGGCCATGCTTACCATCCTGGGAACCGGGTCGTGCCGACAGAACAGCTGGATTCGACGGCTGTGGAACGTATCTCGATTGAGTTGCAGGTTGCACCCCGTATGGGTTGAATTGGGCCACCGGTTGCGACGCATTACGGGAGAACCCACCATGCTGCTGGTGCACATAAGATTTCGACGTGTTGCTAGTATACACTGATGGAACGGGTGATGACAAGCTGTGATGACCCGGGTGCTGATCGGGCGTGACCCATGGCCGCTGACCAGGTGGATGGTAAAATGGCGAGGGTATCCGAGATGCTGTCGACTGGCCCGAGGTTACGGAGGGTGCTCTATTACTCCCGCTCGCACTGTTGACTGTCGCCCGAGTCGTAGTGTGTGGAGGAGCAGGGTACGTCTGAGAGGCAGGAGTACCCTCATGAAGATGGATCTTCCGTTCGGTCGGCGGACTGCCGATGGTGGGCCGTTTCGCGGTACTATGTTGAAAGAATTCACTCTCAGAGGCCGACGAGTCTGAACCTGACTCGATGATGTGCCGCTTTGTGGTTCGTTTTTTAGAGCCACTGCTACCGGGCGACTCTTCGACGTCACTGGCCTCTGGGCTCACGCTGGGCTGATAGTTGGAGTATTGCTTTCGCCTTCTGAAAGCCTCTTGCCGGGCGGCAGCAGAGTTTGGCTTTCTCCAGTCCGTGGTGTGCCCTTCCAGATAATAACCCCGCGGGCTGTCATCTTCCTCAGCATATCGTTCATGGTATCGTTCATGGTATCGTTCATGGTATCGTTCATGGTATCGTTCATGGTATCGTTCATGGTATCGTTCATCCTCGTCATATTCTTCAAGATTTTGTACTGTTGGCACGAATCGACCTCCGGGGTCGCGTTGATGCCTCCTCTCACGCACCTCCCTCCACTTCGTCCACCGTTCGAGCAAAGGATCAATCGCCTGGTCAGATACACGGATCATGTCCTTTGGAGAGGCTTTGATCTCATGGAGTGTTTGATCAAGTTCGCCTAAAGAGTATACCGGAAGCTTCACCAGAGCCGATGAAGGAGCGTATTGTGGAGGTGGAGAGTCAGCAGTCGCTTGCGAGCTGTTCGTCTCAGTCAGAGACAAGTCGTCATCTTGCGGTGTATCGTTGTTGATGCTGCTACTTTTATCTTCTTCTTCCTCCTTGTGTGAGGCCTCGAAAAGCCTGTCCATCTTGCTCATCTGCCAGTATCGAACTATAACGGCATTCTGGGCCTCGGCGCGCTCTTGTCTAATAGCCTCGGTCTTCATTGCAACTTCTTCAGGAGGGTCTCTAGACGTAGGTCAGCACAATCTCACGACGTGGTCGATATAAAGGCAAACCTGCGGGACGTAGATGCCATCAATTTACCCAATTGAATGATTTGCATCACGAGGGCAAGGCTAAGCTTCAGGCTCTCTAGTTGGGCTAGCAAATAGGCGACCCTATGTTTGCGGAAGCACCATTTGAATCTCTGTTGAACCGTAGGCGAGGTATTGCCGACAGCCTCCTTGCTGCGCAGACGGTCTAACATGTCATTGATTTCATCGAACACTCGCGTGCTTTCCTCTGCAATCGACTGGGCGGTTTCCACGGCCTCTTGGGTATGAACGGGATCGGCAGCTTGGAGGATATTGCCAGTCTGTTTCAGCATCATGGAGAACAATGTGACGCCTTTCGAGATGCCATGGGCTTCGAGACCGGAGGTGACAAGTTCGCAGCTCACTGCGTTCAGGATGAGCGAGAGTCTGAACCCTGCGCCTGCGACGCTCATGATCGAGGCAAGGGTTTCTATGTCCAATTTCAGAACGGGACTTGCTTTGTGGGATCTCAGTTCGACGAACCTATGCGGGCCATTTTCTGCGCATTTGGAGGGACAGTCGTCTTTTGTGGGAAACGCGATTGACACGTCCCTCGCAGAATCGGGTCTTTGAAGTCATGAGGTATTGAAATCCTCGGAGCGCGGTTATGACCCCGCGAGCTTAGTGAGATTCGCACGGCCGCCAATGCGGAGTGGCCACAATCTTAGGTCCCTTTATTTAGCTACCTAGTACCATAAAGTACAGTTTACATGGTGCGGAGCGCAGCGACAAGCGTAAATGCCAAAACTCCCCGGTGCCTGGACATGAATTCCCATTCAATGTCAGCAAATGTACCTTATCGAGAGATAATAATATCGATATACTAATATGTGGCCCAACGGGCGGCATGTGGAAATCACAGACTAACACTGCGCTGTTCAAGTTCACGGAGCATTTCGTTTCTGACACACGTTCTGACCGTAAGGCAAACTTGAATGCTACACTGCAATGCTGTGAAGAGAAGGCGAACCGCTGTGGAGTTCGCTTGTATTGGAGCCAAACCTAGGCTGGTCAGGGCGATTGGCGGCTTAGAGCCACTGGCTTCAGTACCTTGCCTAACTGTGTAGGTACTTTTGGTGGCACGTACAATTATGTTTACCTGGAGGCGGACCAGCGCTGCCTACTGTACACTGCCCGTGCAAGATATGGCTACTGTGTACGAGTCCTCAAAATGCGCATTTGGTGGGATGTGGCTCCTTGAAGGGTGCTGAGGTACCTGTCACCTACTGCTAGGATCTCGGTCCTGGTTGGGCGTGCATTTTATAATTCCCACTCGGTCTTCAGGGCCCAAGTCGGAATGCTGATAATTGAGAAGGACCCCCTTGACCCAGCTCCTCTCCAGAGTCTCTCCAACATGAAGCGTTAGCCTATTTCCTGGTCGATCCCCTCTCCCTCCGAGTCCTGGCATCCACTCGCTACCTGGCTGGACCTTGTTGATCTTTTCCCTGTTGCACCACTTCTGGCCGCACACCTTCTCGACGTACGCCTTCTGCATATTCAGCTCCAGCAGCCCAAAGACCACTTGGCCATTTTTTATCTGTCGTGCTGTATTTTGCGATTTACTGCGCCCGGAGCCTCCCAGAACCCTCGGTCTCGATCTTTATACATCGCGAGCCATTGGCTACAATCATCCGAACTCCTGTCTCTTACACCCTCGCTTATCCTCACTCCTGTGGCCGAACTGTTCTTGTCGACAACACAACGAGCGCCTCGACAAACACATCCGTTCAGCAGGACGCTTCCCTCCAAGGTCGCTTCATTGATGATTCCCCTCGTCACGATACGCTCGTCGTCTCGCCATCTTTTTGTCCTGCACGAAGCTCAGATCGCGCGTACACATTATGAACAGATGGAAAAGCTGATGGAGGAGGGAGCATGACCCATCGTCAATTGGAGCCTGAGATGCGAAAGAGCACGCAGCCGGTGCCACCGCAACCATGCGGATCTCAATCCGGGAGCAGCTCGGTCTTCTCGTCCTCTTCTGTTCCCTTGCGTCCTTGATGGTGCTTGCGCTGGCAGTGGTATGTCTCCGAATCATGCAAGATGTAGCATCATACTGATATCCTGGCAGTGGTTTCAAAATTACAATTTCATCATCAGCATAAGGTTGTGATCCAACCACTCCAAGTTGGCTCTTGCTGATCGGCGCGCAGATTGTCCGCACTGTCTTTGACAGCCTCGTTGAAGGCAGCGCAGTTGTCCAGTACACTACTCTTGTATATCTCGCAGGTCGAATCGGTTTCTACACGGGTTTTGATTCAAAGTGCTTTGTCCAGGTACAATTCAGGTGAGGAGTTTCCCGAACGTGCGTTTCCTGGTCGTTGTCAGCATTACTGACTGCCCTTCCCGCTCAAGGCAACACGAGCAATGAGAATTGGGCCCGGTCACAAGGCGACCTTGAAGGGGCACTGGATAGTGGCGCTTTGCTAGTGCAAGCAGCGGTGTTTCCCAACGCCTTCAATGGGAACCAGACCGCGGTGAATGGATTGCTGAATGTCACAGCGGCCGACTTGGTAGTGAAGTTGCCATACTCCTATCCCAATGGCTCAGCTGTCTACCTTGGAGACCCTGGTTTGGGATACCCGCCCTCCCTCTATCCCAATCTCACCTACGGAGATCCAGCCCCCGGGACCAGCTACCAGTCCGTCTCTTACGACGGCCGCACCATCGAGCCCGGCAAGCCGCTCTTCCTGGGACCTCTTATCGTGAACGAGTCCTATTCTCTCTTGTCGGTCACGGTCCCGATGATCAACAATACCTCCCGCTCTGATATCCTCGGATGGTTGACAATGCTGGTCAATATAGAAATGATATACACCGTGCAGAACTCCCCGGAGGGATTAGGGAAGACGGGGGAAATTCTTATCATTGGCCCTGCCACCGCCGACAATGTCTTCGCTACGGAAATCCGGGGCGCCCAACCAAGTGAGGCCGCATCGCAGAATGTTCGATTTGTTCTGCCACCGCACAGCAATGCCACGCTTCAGAACCGCCACAAAGCTCGGAGTACGATTGCAAATTCCTCCATACCATTCAGAATGTCGTCGTACCCTGCCGTGCTGGCAGCTTGGACGAAAGACAATCATGCGATCAACAACGCTGGCGCGTTCATCTCCACACATGATGAAGATGGTGCCAAGGTCTCTGCCGGATATGCTGTTGCATCTACTCGCTTCGTGGATTGGGCTTTAGTCATGGAACAGTCGCACCACGAGGTCATTGCACCCATCTACCACCTGCGCAATGTTGTCCTCATCTGCGTCTTTTCTGTGGCGGGGCTACTTCTTGTCGTAATGTTCCCCATCGCACATTACTCCGTTACACCTATTCGACAATTGCGTGCTGCAACAGCAAAGACCGTGGAACCTTATCAACCCGACGATTCGAGTGAATACTCTAGTTCCATGGGCAATCGGGCCTTGACAGGGTATGAAAGCAGTCCGATCTCAACAGAGCATGAAGAAGCTCGAAAAGAAGGGTTCTTTGGGATATTGCCGAAGTTCACAAGGACCAGACAACTCAACCACGCCAACATCTCGAGAGGTATGCGCAGAAGGACTTTCCGAATCCCTCGCAAAGTGCCGGAACGTCAGCACTGCATCACCGACGAGCTAACCGAGCTGACTCGAACTTTCAATGAGATGTCGGATGAGTTGGCCATGCAATATGAGCGGCTCGAGGAGCGGGTCAAGGAGCGAACAGCAGAACTCGAGAAGAGTAAAAAGGCCGCGGAAGCAGCAAACCAAAGCAAGACACTTTTCATCGCGAATATATCGCACGAGCTTAAGACTCCACTAAACGGCATCCTTGGGTTGACGACGGTCTGCATGAACGAGGATGATTTGGGCAGGATTCGCTCTACGCTCAGTACAATTTACAAATCAGGGGACTTGCTTCTTCATCTTCTTACTGATCTACTCACTTTCAGCAAGAACGAGGTCGGTCAACAGTTGTCCATCGACGAAGCCGAATTCAGGTTGAGTGATTTGAGCACACAACTGCTACCTACCTTTGAGAAACAGGCAAGAGAGGCTCAAGTTGATCTGAAGGTCCAATTCCTCGGAACCAGCGATGCCTTTGGCGACAGCTCGGACAACGCTGGGGAGAAATTGTACGGCCCGGTGGGTACTGGACGGGTCAGAGATATGTGTTTGTGGGGAGATAAAAACCGTATCTTGCAGGTATGCTTGCACAGCCGCCCGAAGTACTTCAGTTCTCACATCTTCTAGGTCTTAATGAATTTCGTCAGCAACAGTCTCAAATTCACGCCCGCCCACGGCTCAGTGACAGTTCGAGTTCGCTGCACTGGCTTGATGGAGTACTACCAGAGCAGGGCAGGAAGTACTCGAAAATCGTCATTCAACTCCCGAAAATCAAAGTCGTCAAGTCACAAAAAAGTCCGCATGTCGGACGGTTCTCTCGTCCTGCCGGACAGTGCGGATCACGAGAAGGCTCGATCAAACTCGCCGCATGAAGAGTCGAAGCTTAGCATCAACGTTGCCGGGGGCACTGCACACATTCATAAAGTCGCCGAACGACAGAGGTCAATGTCGCCACCTCCGATCAACACGAAAGACTTGATGTTTGAGTTCGAAGTCGAGGACACCGGGCCCGGCATCCCGCCGGAACAGCAACAGATGATATTCGAACCCTTTGTGCAAGGTGATCTTGGATTGAGTAAGAAGTATGGCGGTACTGGGTTGGGTTTGAGTATCTGCGCACAGCTAGCTGCTCTGATGGGCGGCGACATCTCCCTGGACAGTCAAGTGGGCGTTGGTAGTAAGTTTACCATGCGTATCCCTCTCCGTTATGTGTCCGAACGAAGCCCGTCAACGGCATCCTCGACACACAGATCACACTCCAAGGCAAGCAGCATTGTGGGTCAAACACTGCACGATACCGTTGATACAACCCCATTGAACCATGCCGGCTCCACGGCATCGCTGGGATCTACGCGAGACGACGCACCCGAAGAGACGAAATTGGCAGACGTGCCAAGGATCGTTGGCTTCACCCAGCCGTACGTTGCTAAGGAGACCAAGAAGGCCGACACATCTGAGGCAAAGCTGGACGAGATGAAGAAAGTGGAAACCGAAGCGGCACAGAAAGGCAGAAAGGTCCGCGTCCTTGTAGCGGAAGATAACAAAGTCAATCAGGAAGTAGTTCTCCGCATGCTACGACTGGAAGACGTCTATGGTGAGTTTCTTGAAATGGTCACGAAAACTTCCTAATGAGACACAGATGTGACGATTGCAAAGGACGGCCAAGAGGCATTCGAAAAAGTCCGAGAGTCGATGGTGAGCGGTGAACGATTCGACCTGGTATTCATGGATGTTCAAATGCCGAACCTTGACGGCATTCAGTCAACCAGACTGATTCGAGAGATGGGTTTCTCCGCGCCCATCGTGGCCCTTACCGCTTTCGCCGAAAAGTCCAACGAGGACGAGTGCATGGCGTCGGGTATGGATTATTTCCTGGCAAAACCGATCAGAAGACCTGCTCTCAAGCAAGTCTTGAAGAAGTATTGTGCCACAATCCCCGAGGAGGAGAATGAAGGCAGCACAACTGCCCCGACTCGAGCAAAAGACGGCTCCACATCCCGACGGGCAAACGGTCATCGACCTGCTTCGGTTTTGGGAGGTAAACCTTCCAACAGGGAGGTGCCTGGTTCAGATGATGTCTCGCCTTTCTCGTAACAACGGGCTGCAGGACGTCAGCGGATATCTTTCTTGTGGTGGGAATCGCATGAGACTACGGGCTTGGGCACTGTGGCCAAAAAGGGTACTGCAATGCATTATGATTGGTTACATATGGATGAGCTTTGAACTCAAGCGGCGTTTCAGAGTTATGGGAAAAAGGTTGGCTTACTAGGCTTGGACGCCCTGACCTGGACAGCGCTGGCGTAAGGTGCGATCTATTTTTCAAGCAGGGTTACCTAGTCCCGTGGACTTTTGTCGCTGGACTCTGGCGCTGATGCCGAAATGGGCGAACACTGAGCACAGCTTTTACACATAGCTGGCGGGCTCGACATAGCATGAAAGAGGTCGATCAACGGGTTGGGTTGGCAGTAATCTGGAACAGATGGCCGTAGCTACGGTGGTGAAGGCGCTCCCTCTCGCAACAATATAAGTTGTTCTGGGGCCCCATGAATGAAAAGCCCGCAAGCAAACACACGGCAGTACTGGAATGGTCTATACAGCCAGTACATTTGTGCATTTCGTAAATAAAGTGCCTACTGATGTACACTTTCAATAACTCTCTGCGACTTCTGGGGTTGAAGCTACTGCAGGCACGCCACTTAAAACCATATTTCTGAATGACATCAACACCTGGCTTCCACTTATTGCCGACAATAAAATGCTCGCTTCATGTCTCCCGTGGGCAAGGTGCGCTTCTTACCTACTGAATACGCTTTACTGGTCTCCATTGGCACCTGTCTTCAACGCTGGGTAGCGCTTCGAAGATCATACAAGCTTAGGCATTATGTCGGCCTGACTTTGATGTTGTATTCCTGCGCCCACTAACACATACACCATGACGGGCCCGAAGCGCAAAGCAGATGTAGCCTTTCCGGTATTCGACTTCAAAAAGCCACTTGCTGTGCCCACCTACTGCACGAAGGAAATCAAATATGGCATCGTCCTCCGCAAATACTACCCGCCTGAGATAACCAATGCTCGGGCCGACGAGTATAGATTGGGCCAGCTCGAACGTCCTGTGGAGACTTTAGAAAACGCCCTTCAAGAGACTCGGGCGGAGCGGAATGCGGTGCATGATGGCAAATCTGTGGTCCATTGGTTCAAGAGCGACTTGCGAGTCACAGATAACAAGGGGCTTTATGCTGCAAGCGTGTGGTCGAGAGAACATGCGGTGCCATTGATCTGCGTCTACCTGGTCTCCCCCCAGGACTTCGAAGCTCACCTGACGGCGCCCGTCCGCGTTGACTTTATCCTGCGTAACCTCCAAGTGTTAAAGCACGACTTGGCCAAGTTGAACATTCCTTTGTACGTGGAAACGATCGAGAAGAGGAGGAATGTGCCCTCCAGGCTGATGGAGCTTTGCAATGATTGGAGCGCGAAACATGTGTTCTGCAACATCGAATATGAGATCGATGAAGTCAGAAGGGAGGCAGCCTTGGTCAGGGCATGTCTTAGTCGAGGAATATCCTTTAATCCTGTGGAAGATAGATGTGTGGTCGCACCTGGCAAATTGATAAGCAGCTCTGGCGGTCCAATGTCTGTCTATAGCCCGTGGCATAGGAAATGGTGCGATTATCTCAATCGGCATTTCAAGGAGTTGGATCCTTTCCCAGCTCCCGACATGAATGCTGCGGATGTTTGGGACAGATTTGAGGCCTTGTTTCGGTGCGAGATCCCCCCAGCGCCCGCTTCGAAGAGCCTGTCTGAAAACGAGAGAGCGAAATTCCGTGTCATGTGGCCGGCTGGCGAGCATGAGGCCAGGGAGAGACTGGACAAGTTTATACAGGAAAGGGCTCGTGAATACCACAGTGCGAGAAACATCCCTTCCGCCAACGCGACGTCCATCCTGAGCCCTCATCTCGCGGCCGGAACCTTGGCAGCACGTACTGTGGTTCGCGAGGCGCGGGACGCCGCTCCAAACAAGAAGCTGATGGATGATCGCAAACAAGGGCACTCGATGTGGATTGGAGAGCTGGCATTTAGAGACTTTTACACGTCCATCCTTTGCTACTGGCCCTACATCTGGTAAGTATGGGCCCAAGCATACGAAGCTGCCAGCTGACCCTCGAGATTAGCATGAACAAACCGTTCAAGCCAGAGTACAGCAATATCGAATGGGAGTACGACCTGAGTCAGTTCGAGAAATGGACGGACGGGAGGACCGGACTCCCCATTGTCGACGCGGCGATGCGTCAACTGACGTACACGGGATACATGCACAACAGGTGTCGCATGCTTGCGGCATCGTTCCTCGCGAAAGACCTCCTGATAGATTGGCGCATGGGGGAAAGGTGGTTTATGGAGCACCTCGTCGATGGTGACTTTGCATCGAACAACGGAGGATGGGGATTTGCAGCCAGCTGCGGCGCTGACCCACAACCATATTTTCGAATCTTTAACCCCTTGCTCCAAAGTGAGAAGTTCGATCCACAGGGTGACTACATCCGCAAGTGGGTGCCGGAGCTGGCAGATATCAGAGATGAAAAGGGGATCCATGATCCATATGGCCGAGGATATGGGAAAGTGGCGGAGGCAAACGGCTATCCGAAGCCCATGGTCAATCACCATCAGTGCCGAGAGCGAGCTTTGCAACGGTACAAAGCAGGACTAGGGAGGAGCACGGCGTGAGGACATCTGATTTGTTACAGATTGCCACTGTGTGGTAGCGCGTTTCAAACGCGACTGAGATGGCGCAGATGTTGTCCCATGGCTGGTAAGGGGCAGAAGCAAGTTGACGAGTCGATCACGGTATCAACCATTAGGAATCATTACATACCTAATGTACCTTATATTACCGTGGGTGTTCTCGGCGTAGATACCTAGGTACCTGACCTGACCTGCCAGTGGGTATGCCGAACAGGCCCTTAGGCCAAAGAAACCCAGTGTCTGTGCTTGTCGCTCGGACACGGCACTGGACAGAAGCCAAGGGGGCTTAAATGCACCAAGCATTGTGAAAGCAAAGCTTAATTCTTTAGGGCCGCGCACTGCACACTGGCACCGCCCTGGCAGCCGGAGCGCTGGCACATGGAACGTCTGCGCTGTCTAGACCCTGGGTACATGATACCTGTAGGTAGGTGAGTAGGTACCTGGGAAAAGAGAATTCCGCCTTCTTTCCGTGAGCTCCACGAGACTCTAGAGAGCTGGCTGGAAATAATCCATCTGGTCGTCTGCACCATATTCCTGACCCCTGACCCCTGACCCGTAGAGCTGTACCTCAACGAGAGTTCGAGCCGGCAAGCCGCAGCGGGCAGACCAGGAACGGATTGGGGGTAACATCAGATCCCAGTCTCGGCTTTCCGGACCTCAACTTTGGTTGGGCACACGACATCGGTCTTACGTGGCTTGCACAAGTAACTTTTGAGCGGACGTCAATACCTACGTCCTCTGTACGTGACTCGCAGGTAGAATTGCCTGCCGCAATTTTTGAACAAGCACTTGGGTGGTGGGCTCTGAAGGGGGCTAAGGAGGCCACGCCGATCGGGACAGGGTCTGTAGTGTGTACGCGTATGCTTGTAACGGGGGCACTCAGCACGTACCTATATCCTGGGGACTGGTCTTTCTAGGTAAGGACTTCTTGATGGTGAACATGCATACCTACCTAGTAAGGTGTATATAAACTGCAGTAATGTATTCGCATCATCACCACCTACCTGTCCCTACACGCCTGATGAGCCCATAGACCTGCCGCAGTTGTCAGCACCTTATGCGACTGCAACTCCGACCCGTGCCAGTGGACGATTTCTCCAATTTTATCAATACGTTAGGTGGTATTAGGTATTGATTTGTTGAGCTCCGCCACCACTTATCACAATTAGTCGTTTCTCGCCCGCAGGGCCGCCGTAGGGCACACCGAAAAGCCCGCGATTTCCTGCAGTGCCTGGCATAGTACCTTATCGATCAGGGGACCTCCTCGCGAAGTACGGTCGTCTATACAAGCCGGCGTGCTATATTTGGTCGCCCAGCGTTGATCCCGGCAGGTCCGCAGAAACACTTCCTGCGACGAGCACACGACCACTTGCCGCATTCGCATTCGCATTCGCATTCGCTTTCAACAATCATCACATCACTTCCTCCCGATATCCGCTGCTTCGCTACCTTGCTGGACGAGAGAGGCATCCTATCGACATCACCCTATTCACCGACATGTCCATCCGCAGCCCCGAGCAATGACCCTCCATACAGCGGCACGGCTCTGTCTGGCAGTCCTCTTGCTCGTCCTTCCTGTCTACAGAGACACAGCACTCGTGCGTGGTGACGCCGACTTCCTCGATGTTCGGACAGGTCTGGATCGAGATCGAAGTGGAAAAGGCGGAGATCCCAAAGATAAATACTTCCATGAGTCGACGTTTCATCCTCACTACGATGGCCGGTTTGCCGCCGCCCAGATTGGCCAGGAAGAGCGGCTGCCACACCTGACAGCTCTCATGCAGACCTTCTTGGCCACCATGGCTGATATCGGGGCCGAGACTTGGATAATGCACGGAACCTTGTTGGGTTGGTGGTGGAATCAGAAAATCCTACCATGGGACTCGGACCTCGATGTCCAGGTGTCTGAAACGACCATTGCCTTCCTCGCGAACTACTACAACATGACTGAATATCATTTCAGACTCCCCGGGACCGAGAATGGCCGGACATACCTTATGGAGGTCAACCCGCATTACACCATTCGGGGCGTGGATGACACGCTGAACGTTATCGACGCAAGATGGATCGACACCGAGACTGGCCTCTTCATCGACATTTCTACTGTACGACCGAACTACACCGCCAGGGCGGAAGGCGTGCTGGGCGCTTTGATGTGCAAAGACAAGCACAAGTATCTGGTATGCATGACACCAACCCCTGTCCGTGCGCGCAATCTGACCCCGGGTCTAGGAGGAGGACATCTTTCCGTTGCGAGATAGCTTTTTCGAAGGCATACATGTCAAAATCCCTTTTGAATATACCGCATTGCTGGAGGAGGAATACGGCAAGAAAAGCCTCACCCTTACCACTTTCGAGCAGTGAGTACTGGTAGTTCCCCTTGCAGTGCCACTATTGACATTGCCCGCAGCCATCATTTCAACAGCACGAGCAAATTATGGGAGCCCCTACAGGATAGGGCATCGTCACGGAGGATGCGACCCAAGCGACCATTCCGAAAGCCCCCAAACGTTGGCCCTCCTTAAACGGGCTGTAAAGAAGATGTGATAGTTGATTTTGGCATAGCGACGGAGTTTGGCTCTCATCTACAGGAAAAAGATGGTTAACCTGGAGATAGTCTACACGGACAGCAGAACAGACTTGAAAAATCACAGAATCAAAGTCCATGTGAACAGTCACTTTGACTGCATGAAAAAAAGTCATCCACATTTTGGTTCACTCATGTCATTACACTCCAGGTGGTGCTGATTTGGGGTGAAACTGGTATATGCTGAACCTTTTGACTTGACCGGTCGCCTGCCGGTGCCTTGTAATAGCTATTCGCCTTCACGAAGCCTGGCAGCATCCAGGCCTGGCAACCCTGACAGAGAAATGCTATATTCGTCTTTTGGCATTCCATGTTTTATGCATGTTTGCGAACACCTATCAATGCGAAAACAAAGAAACTCGACACCAGCTCAATAGTAACTCGTGCCACCCGCACCCAAGCCACTCCTCGTCGCCCCGAGATCACTGCTGTATCTCCTGGCTCCAGCAGGCACGATCCCAGGACCCATTCCAATGGGACTGGCTACTCGGTGGAGATGAAGGCTGTGGCGCCGAGGCACACCCAGTGAAGTCCTGGAAGTGGCCCGACTCAACCCTGCTGATTCTGGCGGGGTCTCGTCGTCCACAAAGACATCATCACTGCAGGCGGCTGTCGACGAATGGCGCGAGTGAGCCGCTGTGGAAGGGACGCCGGTTGCCTTCGCATCATCTTCATCTTCTAAATCCTCTTCACCTTCCTCATCTTCATCATCCTGGCCGCTGCTGAATCCCTCCATTTCGACCAATGACCAGACCGGGATTGCTCCAATAGCGCCGACCAGAGCCAAGGTCCACCAAGGAATGATCAAGTAACCTATGTCGACTCCAGCGGTGAAGGTGCCTCCTGCAAGGGCAGGTCCAGTTGCTCGACCGATAGCCGAGACACTGGTTGCGACTCCGTTCAGAGTGCCCAGGACCTTGAGACTAGCGGCGCTGTTCGTGAGAAGGATGGTGGAGCAAGGAAATGCAAAGATACCACAAAACCCCTTGATCAGCATCAACACCATCATGACTCCTTGCCTGGAAGAATCCGTTGGAAGTAGCGCAGTGAAGGGGGTGGCAATGTACACCATCGGGAATATCACAGTACACGCCTTCAGACAGTTCAATACACCGAATCTCCTCGCAAATGTAGGGAATATGAAGAATTGGACGAGCATGCCAAAGACGCCATAGACAGTGAACAGCAGACCTATTCTGTTCGAATCGATCCCAAAGCCACCAGCAAATTTCAACGGCAGATGCACGTCTGGATCTGGAATCGACTGAACAGGGTAATGCATGAAGATGGGCAACAACTGGTCAAAAGCCACCGAATGCATTGCGAGCAACGTGTATACGGCCAGGTTGATGTTTGATTGCCTCGAAAAGACCTGCGACCACCCGGGTGTTTGCTTCGGAGGCTTGATCTCTGAACCCACGATAGGCGAGGACATCTCGCTTGACGTACCCCGCAAGAAGGGATCAGACTCGTCTGTGGAATACGCCCGAGCCCGGGGCTTCTTCCGCGTACATGGTGCGATGACCAGTTTGCCGACAAGTAATCCGTAGTCTCGCCGGGATTTCTTCTCTTCCAAGGTTTCACGCAGAAATAGAAAGCCCGCACTGATCCCACAAAGGAACAGGAGGCTGATGAGGAGGTTCGGGAGAGCGAAGGGATAGTTCTCAAGTAACTTGAAATTGCCGAAAATCCTGGGATAACGTTCGACAGGATGGACTAGGGAGCCGCCGAACGAGGGCCCAAAAATACTCCCAATGTTCCAGACCAGCGGCATGATGCTGAATGCCAGGGGCTGTAGTTCTCTTTGTGGTACTAATTCTGCAACCGCTGTCCTTATGATCCCAACATTCCCGTTTGACAGGCCCTGCAACGATCGTGTTATGAAAGCCCACACCAAGTTTTTGGAGAAACCGAACAGGACACTGGACACCATCGTGCAGGTCAAGGCAAGGAGTATGATGGGTTTCCGCCCAAAGCGATCCGAGGCCCTGCCCCACGCTATGCCAGTCAGGCACTGAGACAGCGAGAACACGGCGGACATGAGTCCTGCCCACCGAGCGACCTTATCGTTGGGGACATGGAAAGACTGTATCATCTCAGGCTGGAGAGCGGTAAGTACAGGCCGCACAGGAAACGACAGGGACTGTAGGAAGGGAACGCACAAGGTAGGGGTAGACCGAAGTCATCGCCACAGGCTCTGCGAAGCGGCATACTGCAAGGATGAGCAGCTGCTGCTTGGGCAGCCGCTGTGTGGGTTTGTCGACCTTGACCATGACTTGGGATATGAACGCAGCACGATTGAGCCATGGAAATTTCCTGAACGTGCGCAGTATTGACAGCGAGAGCGTGGAGGATGGTTGACAACGGTATAAGAGGGCAAAGGAGTCGGCGTGAAGTCGATACAGGCATCAAAGGGCGCAGATTGGCCTGGTTCCCACTGTGACCGACACATTTTAGCGGGAGGACTCGAGGACTCGTCAGTCCAGTAGCGGTGAAGGGGACGGAGAAACGCTGAAGCAATCGAAGAGGAGCGGCAACAGGAAAGAGGGGTTTTTGGTTGGAGAAATCCGCCTTCCAGCGAAATGAGGCGAGGCGAGTGAGTACCCCCAATGGGGCAGTCTGACATGGGGGCTCTTATCTCGAACAGCCTGCCAGATTCGGATTTCTCAAGATACTCTTGGGGGGCTCCGTGGCAACCTCGACGAACCTGGGGAATATCTCAATCATGACAGAAACAAGGAGTCATGTGCTTGATTTGCGCTCAAAAGTGTGTATTACCATATGGGCAACTGGGGGCAGGTAGATGTACATCTTTGCTTTTGTATCAGTCCGAAAACTGCCTAATTCAATCGCGTATATACAGTCGAAATGTCACTTCAGCAGCTCCGTGGCCGAACCCAGCCTTTCTCTGATGATATGCTCCCATCGTTCCGCATTCGTCATGTTTCTATCCTCGAAGCTCTCGACCAGACCGGGATAGGTTGCTCCAGCATATCCGGTCCATCTTCCAGGCGCGAAAACAACATGTTTGAACCAGGGTCGGCTGTCGAGTCCGCCGGGGAAGAGAAACTGCCGCTCTAGCACCTTGTATTTCTGGTTTGCCTTTCGGACTTCATAAAAGAGCTTGACCTTTTTCCACCATTGCCACCATGGCACACGCTTTGCAAGCCGCTGCCCCAGCTTGGCTGTATACTCGTCGAAGTGAGCTGCAGACTTCCGGAACTTTGTCGTGGCACTGTCCAGTTCGCGAAAACTGAAGCCCGACATTGCCGAATACTCCTTAGCCCTATCCTTGACGTCGTCTAGATATTCTGACAGGCCTTTTGCATAATCACCCGCACTCAGTGACAGGATCGGTGTTTCCGCAAGCTGGGCTGCGAGCAACGCCCATACCTTAGCGACGGCGACGTGGTATTGCCATCCTTTGTCGCCATAGTTGTCCATCCAATGGAAACTGTCGTAATTTGAGTGGTAATGGTAGACCGCGTCATCGGGGCCACTGCCAAACCCGAGATCGAGGGAGGGTATACCGGCAAAATCCTGGAATGCTGTGAAATCGCTTCCAGAGCCCATGGTCCGTATTCGTCCATCCCAGATGTCGCCGACGGACTGTCCTTCAGTGGTTTGGTTTGGCGACGGAACTGCACCAGTGACGTTGTAAATAAGTTTGTTAAGGATGGGTGATGCCGCAGCCTCGAAGTGCTTCCCACGGGCACCCACGTCGACGTTCAGATACGCCACCGCGTGAGCGGACAGCCAAGGAAGGTATTCTTCCACCCACTCCGTTGACCCTATTAGACCGTACTCTTCACCATCCCAACTAGCAAAGACAATGGTACGGAGGGGTTTCCACCCGGCCTCAAGGGCCTTTCCAATGGATCGGATGACCTCGTTGAGTGCTGCCGAGCCCGAATTAGGATCTCCCGCACCACCTGCGATCCACGCATCTCGATGATTGCCCAGAACGATAACCTCGTCTGGGATAGTCCCATTGACGATGCCGATCACATTCCACAAAGGAGTCGTTACATAATCCTGCTCGTTCACGAGGTTGAGGACAACAGAATCGGGCGAGGGCCCGATGTTGTATTCTACCCCCTTGTAGGCGAGTCCTCCTCCTTGCCAATGCTTGCCAAACGAAGTTGCATTGGGCCCATGGCCGTTCAGCGCCTTCAGGAGGGGAAGAGCGTCTCCGTACGAGATGGGAAGCGAAGGGATCTGCGGCGTTGACCCATGAGGATCAACTCGAGGGACTCCCGGCTTTGAGGGATAACCAGGCGTTGTTGGATCACCGGGGAGAGTACCTGCGACACCTGTTAGTTCTGGTCAGCCATGGGAGCTCGTGAGGCCTACTTAGGAATTGCGTACTGCCGCGCTGCACACTGCTCGGATTTCTAGCTGGTCCTTCAGGATAAGGTTTGTAGCCGTTCTCTTCAGTGACTTCGCCATCGTCCTGCGGATCCGAGTACATGACCACCCCAACCATGCCCAACTCTTGGGCGCGCTTGACTTTGAGGCCACGAAAGATTGCGCCATATTTGGCCAATGCAATCTTGCCCTTTAATGTGATGTTGGCAGCTTGCAGGTCTTCGAAGTCTTGATAGGTGCCGTAATTGACAAACACGTATGGTGCGGTGACATTGCCGCTTGCAGAATATCCGTGGAAAGTTGGGACACGGTCTTTCAGTGATGTTGTTGGATCGTCTTGAATAACATCTTCTTCCAAGCTACATTCATACTTCAGCTGCCCTTCTTTCAACAGAGCAAGCCGGTGCGAAATCGGATAGTTGATGTAGATATCGTACGCCACGATATCGGCCTTGACTCCAAACTCTTCCCACTTGTCTCGTGTCCATACGGCCTGGCTCAGGTTTTTGCCGGCCAGATGGGGACCCGCTGTGTAGTATTCGCTCCACGAACGTGCATTGTCCTCATCCGGCGTGGTGGACAGGATCTCCCGGAGCTCTTCAACGCTGATTCCACTGGTATGCGGCCAGGACCGGGGAAATGGCCGGGACCAAGGCAGGTATGAGGAAGGAGAATCGTGATCTCGAGGAAGAACTGCAATCGGAATGAGGAAGCAAATCACAACGGCGATGAGAGTGCTTCCCAATGCAATGGTGCAGAAACGCCGAAAGGTTGAGTGGTGATACCCAGGTCGGGGCCGAGTCACGCTGACCGTCGATATCAAGGGCGTACGCTCATCCATTATGATTGCATGCCAGTCAACGAAGGACAAGGTATTCGAGACAGGCGAGTCCTTCCCTTTGACCGTGCTGGCGCACCTTCATTACAATGCCATCATATGTTCCATTGCTAACGACATGGACGATGCGGAGGAAAGTCAGCCGAATGCTTAACTCCGCATTGCCTCAATATGCCTTCCGGCAAGATCTCCGGGGTCACTTGGGTTGGGTGCAATAATGTCACCTGCGCTCGACTCACCGAACACTGGGCCATCGTTCCCCGACACCCTGAGACGGTCCTATCGAACACCATAGTACGTATTGCATTTCCTCATCCCATCCAGGACTTGCGTGGTCGCTGTTGATCAGTTGCACCGGCCTACTACGCCTTCACACATCTGCGCTCATTGCCCTGTCTACACAGAAAAAGTTGTTGAGGGCAGTCACCTGAGATCCGACGGCCCAGGCAATATTGTGCCGGCATGACACCACTCTCCGCCCATGAAGTCCTCGTGGATACGATGGCCCTACCTTCGTCACGCGGTCTTGATTTTCGGGCAGCGCCAATCTTTTGTCTGCTATTCTACCAGAACTAGTTGATGGAAGAGCTGGGTTTATTGCAACTCAAGAATGCTGTTGTATCTACGAACACCTCGTGCAAGAGTGCTGGGCACCCTGGTCTACATTAGCCTTCCGATGCCAGATCTGTTATGCTCCTAGCCGCTCGTCGACCAGCTTCTCGTCCACTAAAGATCAAGTCATATCGGGTCGCCGCATGGCAGGCTGCTTCGGTTCGTGGAATGCGAAGGCTCTGAGACAAGCTGTCTTCCAGGACTTCATCCACATCGTCTGCTCTGCTCTCCAATTGGGGCGTCCTTCAGGTGCTAGCAATCCTGCGGCAAGGAGCATTGACGGCAATCTTGAGATGTACGAACCTCCCATATTGGGCTCTTTCCAACTCGTCCATTATCGTGGAGCAGTGGTTCGAACTAAGATTGCTTGATTGCCTACAGACGTCTTACTAGTGACGACGACATTTGCTTGGGATCCCAGGCCAGGTCTGGGACAGTGAATACCAGAGCACGGCAAAATCTATTGGTGCTCGGAGAGTTTGATGCGCTCCACCATGATTGCGTTCTGCCTGTTTGAAAGGTCACCCTGGTTATCGCTGGCGCCGTTTCGTCGCCCCTCGATGTTCACAACACTGCAACGAACATACACGTCCGATTGCAAGAACCAACGATTCTGGGTCCCCAGGAGGCAGATCTGTGATGCAACCATTCCACAATTGCCACTTGTCCGATCAATGCACTGCGAATGTCCTCAAGTGCGACAGACAAGATCGAGCCGACGGACAATGCACACCCAAAACAGGTTTGGGATCCCGCCCAAGGACATGGTGCCCTTCTTGCAAATACCCTCTAGCGCTTCCATACTGAAGATTGCTCCGAGTCCAAAGTTCCACGATTGACTTTCGGACGCCACTTCTAGTCATGGGGCCCGCGAGACGAAATGTCACCGTTTCCAGCAAATACTGGTCGTTGGAAGCGGCGGCTTGAACATCATCTTGGCTTGAGGAGTGTTGCAACAATCTTTAGCCAGGCAACCAAAACTTCAATAAGTCGTCAGGGAGCAGCAGAGGCCCACGCCCCCAAGGTCGTCTTCGGTGTTCTCTGGCGGGTATGGCTCGAAAGAGACGAGTTTTCCCGTAACGTTTCTTGCTGGTGTTGCGAAAAGCGGTCTGCGGAGGGTGTCGTTTTCTCAAAGGCGTAAGCCTGTCGAAGTCATCCCAAGTCACGACCAAATGTGGTTGTTCATGTATTCGCTGAGATGAGTGGCTCCATTCGCACATTCGACCATCTTTCCTACCCAATCGAACTACGACGTTAGTCCCAACCTTTGCTTGGCTCGAACAGTAGGAGCAAGGGTTGTTGTCCTGTATACGTCAAAATAATAAGCATCTGATTCGGCTGGAGAAATGGTGTCACTTACGATGTCACCCCTGACTGCGCCTACCACCTCCTTTGGATCTCTGTCCATCTCCTGAGGTGAGGTGATAGAAAGTTGTAACCCCTAGCTGTCGAAGCAGCGAGAGGAATTCATGAGCGAAATGATAGCGTCGCGCTTTCTGTCAAGCAGTCGAATGATTCCCGATATCGTCTCAATCCTAGCGATGTACACAACTTGGAAAGAATGCGGGTGAGGAACCCTGCAGACAACGGTTCATTTGACCTATTCAATATGCAGTCCCTGCTGTTGTTGATGGTATGCACTGCAATTGGGTGCAACTTGGCTTATGCAATATTCTCCACAGTCGGCCGTAAGCCACTTCACGTTGATTGGTCTGCAAGAACAACATCGGCCTGCAAGGCTGCCGCATTGGGGTTCACTGGAGTGTCAAGCATTCACCTGTGTGCCACCGACGCATTCACGTATCTATCCATTGATCGATCCGATATTTCAACGAGACTCTTAGTACAACCAGTACCAAAGGCATACCGCTGCGACGTGTTTCTTCACCGATGACAGGCAACAAGAAAATACGCGCGTTACGGAACCTTGATAAGTTCGTCAACCCGGAATGTCTGGCCAGTACCTAGAGACTTGTTGGCAGCTATGGCAGCCACAACGGAAAGGGCATCGGTGATGTGGGACTCTGCTCGATTGATGGCACTGGGCTTTGGAGAATTGGCCAAATCGGATGAAACCAGTAGCATTCCAGAAAAGGTCTCTAAACGTTTTGAGTCTGACCAAGGCATCCGATCTACCCAGGCGAACCCGAATATAATGGACTACCAAATTTTGAGTTTGCATACTGCCGTGCCGGCCTCGATATGGCGGCCAAATGGAGATTCTCATACTTAGACCGTGCCGAAACCCTAGGCAAACACTGCGAGCACTCTTCCGCTGATGCCAGTTGAGAGCGACGTCATCTGCACCGGGATGCCCTTCATATAACAGCGACAAAACCCAAGCCTTTTTATCTTCATGTCGCCCTATATGTTGGCCTCGACGATCCAGGTGAAACGTGCTGGCAAAACTTGATTAGTAAATCCGGTTTGCCTCTAGAGGTTTAGATGTCTTCCGCAAACACAATCCGACCACCAGCATTCGGGAAATAAGAGTAGTCGCGATTGGTGCTGCGGAACTTGAAATGGCTGTAAATTATTCGTTAGCTGTTTGGAACTCGAGAGAATGGAGAACCGCCTTGAAGACTTACTTTGATTCTAGGGGCACCTCTCTCTGTTGATCCGGTATTGTTGTGTATCGTCCGTACAGAGACGACAGCAGAATTTTCATTTCGACCATAGCAAGGCTGGAATGGGACACTCCAAGTCAGTAAAGAACAGTTTGTAGTGTAATAGAAGTCTCGACGAAAGGATCAGGCTTCTTACTGTTTGCCAACACATCCTCTTGTGCCGCTACCAAATGCCCACAGCGTCTGTTCCATCTGTCTGACCTGGTCTTTGTCCTCGAGAAGCCATCTCTCTGGTTTCCAGGATTCCACGTCGGGGCCAAAAACCTCACGGTTCATGTGGACGACATAGGCGGAAGTTCCGACCTTGGCACCACCAGTCAAATAAAGTCCATCGAGCACACGGCCGCCTGCAGGAACGGTGCGTTGAATGTTCGTTGTGTGGGGTGGGTATAAACGTAGTGTCTCCTTGATCACCGCGTCAAGGTATGGTGCCCTCATGAGATGGCTTAGCTGTTCGGACTGCAATGGTTGATCGTGTTCTGTTGGGAGATTCAGAGTAGCAATCTCCGCGCGAAGTTTGTCTTGGATCGGCTTGTTTTGTAGCATAGAAAGAGCTTGAAATGCGTGAGAGAGTGTCTCGGCTAAGATAAGATCTTGATTAGCACACAGAAGCCACATGATCTATGCAGTTGTTGCTCACATGTCGTGTCTTGTCCTGCAATGAGATGATCCATTGCTTCACTGGCAGCACCAGCGTCCTTGTGAAAGTTCCCCTCGCTTTCAAATCCCCTCATGCTCGGATCTTCGACAACAGGATTCCTACTGGTCTGGATTTGCTCTCCTGTAATGACGTTGTTCGCCAGCTTCAGTGTGATAGGACCTCGAGCCAGTGACTGAGGGTTCGATTTGAGCTCGCTTTTGGCATCCAGATAGCTCTTGTACGTGAAGTCGCGGTACTCGGTGCCACCATACCATACGGAGTTGAGCTTTTTGGGGTCTTTGTCGCCGACCCGAGTTCTCTCCGACAAGACCTGGGGACCTAACCCCGGCACCCACGCCCTAACGAAGATCTTGATGGCATTGAGCCAGTTGAAAAACTCTCGATATTCTTGGTGGAAGTATGAGAGCACGTCTCCAGGTTTCTCTTGCGTGTTGACAATGAGTCGCTGGTGTTTCTCATTGCCAAGCAGCGCCTGAAGACCGTCGAGCAAGACATACGATGACACACTATCGCCGGCGAAGAAGGTGTTGGCTGTATGAATGTCGACAGACTTGGCAATAGAGTTTCCTCCCGCGGGCATGCCGGCGCGACCAATATAGTGGATGTAATTCCCAGCGGTACGCCAAATGTTTCCTGTTGCGGCCTCGCGCGCTAGAACGGCACTTTGCGAATAGCTTGCCCCTATCACCTTTCGGCGCCAGCCATGCTGAGCAGAGGTAATGGAGGTGAAAGAGTTACGAGCACCGAAATGCTTGAACAGTTCGAATGTCTTAGACTTAGGGTACGGTCCTCCCGAACTCGACGATCCCGCGAAAATGTCGCGAATGCCCGTGGCAGATGCCACAGAGATTTCGGTGGGTGAAACACGAACCACAGGGCCATACTTGTCGTGAAGTCGTCGGATCCATGCTGTGCGTTTGGAGCGTTGGTCGTATGCGAAGATGGGCACATATGAAATCTTCGTGATGAAGGGACCCGGGACTCGAGACAGAGGAGAAAATAGTCTTTTGATGACTACAATCACCTGAAGGACAGCAGCCAAAAGTACTGGCATCCACATCAGCGACCACGAGCTTGTAGCAACCACCGAAATCATCTTGTTACAAGCTGCCTTATCCAATTGATGTGACCAGGTTGGTGACAACTTAAGCCTTACAGAGAAGAATAAATCAAGATCGCTTGGCTAGATGCCAATCCCCCGTCTGTCTGCGCGCGAAGGAGGTCCGCGATCGTAGATAGGATTCTTGTGCCTCTGATATCAATCCAGTTACGGATATCGGCGAGCACTTGACCAGAAGGACGCCCGACAGCAGCGGCCATCGCAGTCAGCAGTCATGGTTACATGGCCTTGAAGATAAGCAACAATGCTGGTGTGGATTACCGCGGGTTGTGGATGTAGATAAGAGGTCCTGGACTGCCTTGATGTCCGAATTAGGAAAAGACAACAGTCCCAGAGATAAGAAAGACGAGAACAAGCATTCATTCAGCGAATGATAATGCTGTCAGTCAACGGTAAATTCCTGAGTCTGTATCTGCCAAGCACAGCCTCAACGGCGATGTCCTTTGTCCATGATGGCACGCCTTGATAGGGGTATCGGCGATGCTATAACATGGACGACCGCCGCCGCCGCCGCCGCCGCCGCAGTCACTTCGTCTCATCCCGACCTCAGTACTGGACAGCTATGGCAGAAAAACTTGTGGACAGCAAGGAGGCGGCGGTGGGAACAACTCCTACCGTCGAGGCAGGAGAAACCTTTGACGCCGACGAGTTAAAGTATGGTGGTACCAAACGTGGCTTGACATCTCGCCATGTTCAGCTTATGGCCATCGGTGGAAGTATTGGTACGGGTCTCTTTGTGGGTATCGGAGGCGCGCTCTCTGAAGGAGGACCACTATCCATTTTCCTGGCATTCATCATCTATCCGCTTCTTTTTGCGGTTCCCACCACGATTTGTGTCGGCGAACTTTGCACTATACTGCCAATGCGTCGAGGCATCTTCGAAATGGCGAATCGATATGTGGATCCAGCGTTTGGTTTCGCATTTGGATGGGCGTATTTCTATGCCGCCGTCGTCCTGGTCTGCACAGAGGCATCGGCCGTGGTTTCCGTCATGGGATATTGGAATATCAATGTGAACGGGGCAGTATGGGTTTTGATGGCTATGGTCATTATCATTGCCATCAACGTATTTGCCGTGAAGTAAGTATTGCGTTAAGCATGTCCCAACCTCCCTCAGACCTACTAGAGCTGACATTGCTGCAGATACTACGGAGAAGCCGAGTTCGTCTTCTCCATTTTGAAAGTATTGCTCGTTATCGGGCTGGCTCTCCTCACTTTCATCACAATGGTGGGCGGCAACCCGAAACACGACGCCTATGGCTTTCGAAATTGGAAACATGGTAACGCTATGCACGAGTACTATACAACCGGAGCAACAGGGCGGTTCTTGGGTTTCTTCGTCGCCATGAGGTATGCCGCTTTTTCTCTTGGAGGCCCCGATATGATCGCATTTGCCGCCGGTGAAATTGTCAACCCGCGAAAGTCAATTCCACGAATGGCCCGACTGGTTTGGATTCGAGTAGCTGGATTCTACCTTCTGGGAGTGCTCTCGGTCGGAATTATTTGCTCAAGCAGAGATCCACATCTCCTCAAAGCCCTCTCGCAGGGATCTACCGGTTCAGCTGCTTCTCCTTTCGTGATCGGTATCCGGAATTTGGGCATCAAAGGCCTGGACAGTCTGGTCAATTTCGTGATTCTCACTTCAGGGTGGAGTTGCGGGAACGCATACTTCTATACTTCGACAAGATCGTTGTATCAGCTCTCGATCGATGGTCAGGCGCCCAAGATCTTCCGCAAATGCACGAAAAAAGGAGTACCAATCTATGCGGTGATCGCGGTATCATTGTTATCCTGCTTAACCTTTATGGTTGCCAGCAACAGTTCGGCTACTGTCTTCAACTGGTTCGTGGGACTATCGACCTGTGCAACGCTTATCAACTACACGATGATGTTGACGATCTGGGTCGGATTCTACAAATCCCTTCAAGCCCAAGGTATCAGCCGGGATTCTCTTCCGTGGAAAGCGCCGTTCATGCCATACCACGCCTATATTGGTATTGGCACTGGCCTCACCCTCATCCTATTTCTAGGATTCGACTATTTCGTTCCCTGGGACACAGAAGGGTTCATAACGACCTATTTTGGAATTCCTTACGTCATGGTGCTGTATGGCTTATGGAAGATCATGAAAAGGACGAAGCACGCCAAATGGTCAGAGGTTGACATCTTCGCGGGTAAGGAACAAATCGACAGGGAGTGCGAGTATTGGGAGAACGCCACCGCAAAGGCCGACGAAGAGAAGCAGCAAAACGTCTTCCAGCGTACCTGGGGGAAACTGTGGGACTCTGCGGTAATCTGAAAGTCGTATCCCTGTTACAGAGGACGGCGACGAGAGTATTGAGCAGGCTTGGTCCAAGTTGTGGGGTGACTGCCGAGATGGAGTATAAGAATGAAGCGATGGCGGCCTTTGCAAATGATCAATCGACCTACACCAGGTAGTCATATGAGCCGTCATGTCAATACGTGACTCGACCTGGCGTACGTTAATCTTCCCATCAGTGTCTACTCGGTATCCTGTCGGCCGCCACAGCACTGTTGTATGCCTCTTCCGCGATTGGCCAGTCTCTGCCTGATTGAGTGATCTGTTTTTAATCGGTTGATTTGTCGTGGCTATGAAGGTAATCACTATCATTGGTTAGAAGAACGTCCATTAACCAACGCGAGAGTCGATGTTATTCTCTATTCAGGTCGTATGAGCATATTCTGTTGTTAATAACAGGTATGGAGTATGCGCAAGGGGCAGTCCGTCGCTGATGCTATCATATGTTATAGGCAGAATCGACTATCGTCCACAGGATAGTATTGAGCCATCCAGGACGCGGTAAATAGCAATTGCTCCGCCTGGTGAAAGTGCCTCTTACGCCACTTCTCTGTTTCCGGGCGCTGCAGCTCTTCCTGTCTCCTGTGAGAATATCGATACTTTGCCTTAGATTCGTGGGGAAAAGAGTAGTTACCCTATCAGACTTATATAGCACATTACAGACGACGCTTTGGAGCTGAGGACACAGCACCAGCACCAGCACCAGCACGATGAAGACCGTGATGGGACCACGATCTTGGTGGCCGCAAGAGTAAAGAATGCCTGGTAACGCTGGGCATATAATGGGCCACAGAACAGGCGCTGCCAGTCGACACGCCCACGCCAGATATTTACCGCATCTCGCGTCTCCATCATCTCCTCTCCATTTCTGAAAATTCAAAGCATTACTACCTGAGATTCATATATAGCAATTCAAAGCATAGAAATTGCACATATATATATACTTGTGCAAAGAGATATTCGACTATATTCATTAGGCCATGAAAGCTATTTCTTCGTGCTATCCCTGCACGAGACCAGGTCTGCACAGCGATACGAAGATAACATCCTTCCGTCTTACCCGAGTCTCTCATATCTTTGGCAGTCTGTCAGCTCCCAGTCCAAGGTCAGAATCGGAGTCCAACGTAAGGTTATCAGCCTGCGGTCGGCAATTGAGAAACTTGCGGGAAGAGAGCGAAGCGAGATGAAGTCGGACCTGTACGCCAGTCCCACTTCTATTCTCAATATTGTGATGCATCTTGATCGGTCCCGGAGTCTCCAGACTCTCAACTTTGTCAAATACCTGAAGCATTCTAGCTATAGTGTACATCGCCTCGGTACGTGCGAATTGCTCTGTAGATAGACAGTCAGAAAGGGCGACGTCGCAATCAACGAAAAAGGGAAACTTACGACCGAGGCATTGGCGAGCTCCCCCGCCAAAGGGGATAAAGTCCCAGCCAAATTTGCGGTCCTGCCATCGTTCTGGTCTAAACTCTTCCACGTCCGGGCCCCAGATATCCTCGCGGTGCTGCATCGAGTACGTGGGGATGAGCACTTGGGTTCCTTTCGGGACAAATACTGGACTCTCGCCATCTAGACCCCCACCCCGTGGCAACGTCGTGTCATGGATAGCAGCACGCTCATTCATGGGGACGATGCCAACAATACGAATGGTCTCATTCACGACATGTTGTAGATATCGGCAAGTCCAGAGGGCCGAGAATGTAATCTCGGTTGCGGGATCTCGCGACAATTGATCCAAGATCTCTTGTCGAAGGATGGTAAGCACACCAGGGTGACGTGCTAGAAAATAGAAACACCAACCCAGGAGAGCCGCCGTGGTGTCCCTTGAAGCATGGAGAACATTGAGCAGTTCACAACGAAGTTCCAGTGGATCTCTTGTTTCTTTCACCAGCTCGTCGAGTAGGACAAATTTGTTCTTTCCGTTTGCTGCCTCAAGCCCCTTCTCGCAGTCAGAGGTGCTCTTCAACTTGGCTTTGACAAAGTAATCCACGGATTTCTGCACCGCATTGCAATGATCCGGGAAAGCCTTGTCGCGTAAGAGCCAACCGTATTTCGCCAATGCGCCCCTTCTGTCGATGATATGCTTGGCCTCATCGAGGTGCTGACCAAAACTGGACAGATCGGGCATATCGGAGTCCCACGGTAGATCACTGTTCAGACGAGCGTCGGGGCTCTGGGCATGGACAGATTGGCCGAATAAAAACTCTGTTGACGTGTCCAGTGTAAAGTCAAAGAAGAGAGGTGAGAGATCGACTTTAGCCGTCCAACCGTGTTGTGAGACAGGCAGTCTGCCCAACAAAACTTCGAAGTGCTTTTGGAACAGGTCAAGGTCTGCAACGTTGTCCCGAGCAAACTGCGGCCGGATCAGACTCCTGGAGTGCTTCCACTTATCCTGGCGGTTGGTCATAACGCCCTCGCCTAGCAGGGACTTGAAGCATTTTTCGCGGTGTGGACCAATGTCAAAGTCTTGTGACTGGGTCGCAAACATGGCTTTGACATTCTCAGGATCCCTGGTAATGAACAGTTCGTAGTCCAGAATGGTGGCTCTCACTGTGTGAACGTCCTTGCCAATCGCGTTTAGCGTCTGATGCATCCATATTGGTCCTCTATCTTCTCGAGTTGCTCGAAGACTTTCCCTAAGCGTGCCGATTCCCAGAAAGCCCTTGCGAGGCGCACTTGGTGGAGGTTGGCAGCCTCGCAGTGCAGCCTCACGAGCATGTTTTCTCCTGGTCGTGATCGCTGACAAGGCCTTGTAGCACAAAAGCGTAACGAGAAAAAGACTGTACAGCGCCAAGGCCATGGCGTCGTTTGTCAGATCCGGGGCGGAGACGATGAAGATACTCCAGAAAATGTGAGATAACCTCTTCGCCGTCTTCTTGCTTGCAGGAAGAACTTCTCGGCGAGGGAGAAAAATGGAGAAAAAGTGGTTCGAAGGGGAGTAAGATTACTGCTAAGATGTGCACTGGGGAATGAGACTGTCAACTCCTTGTGCCAAAGGCCCAATTTTGCTACTAACCTTTGCTCGCAGAGAGAGAGACTGCCATCCAAGATCGTGCGAAAGATGGATGAGCCAAAAACTTGGAATCTGTCAAAGATCTGCAGGACTATTGGCGATGCCGTAATCGAACACACGCGGGTCGCGAGCGAGCATCGCCTCCAGCAATGGACGTCGGTGGTCCTCTGAGACCATTGCTGAAGTTTTGCATCACTGTTCCCATGTTGGCAGGGATGCGGATTCGCACCTCGACTGCGGGATTGTCGGCCTGCTCACCATAATCACATTGACATGGATGTGACTTCAGAACGGGTTACGGTGCTGCCACCAGAAGCATAGCGTCTTCCTGGAAGAGGTGACATGTGAAAATTGTATCGAACGAGGAGATGACAGATCCGATCAAGGTAGCTGGAACAAAAATGACGCCAGGGTAGACACAAGGGAGGTCGAACGACTCTAGCAAGCCCTTATCAGGCTGGTGCGTAGCTGAAAAAAGATTGTTGCATGAGCTGAAGTCGATTGCGTTGGGACATTGATCTTCGGTGAGCCAGTGCCGTAGCGCTGTGATAACAGGGACCATCGACCAGGATCTGACGCCACCAAAAGGACCAGCAAAGAGGGGATACTTTGCAATCTGTGGTGATCACGTCAAACAACAACCGGACTTCGAACGCCTCAGGGGTACTCTTCTTGTAACTATTGTGGGGCCCATGTCGAACAAGACCCATAAGATCGTGGACAACTTTTCCACTTGGTACCCGAACGGAGATACCCCCTGGCTAGTGTGCCTTGGTCGCTGGAGTCGCGCTTGCGGCACACGGCCCGGTAATAGCAGGACACCATCGGAACTTCAAGTGATCGACAGACAACGGTTAGACAACGGTTAGCAAGCCACCAATCGACTCTATGGCCGAGATGCTGTGACGTGGTAAGTTTCGGCTCTCCAATGGTCCGACCATATCACAGCAGAACCCGTCTCGACGCGAGATTGCTAGTCTTTGCAACAACAGTGTCGGTAGAAGCAAGTACTGGGTTGTCCCAAGATGCCTACGGAGTAGTATGCAGCAGCAGACAACCACAGCTCGATAGAAGAGGGCAAAGGAAGCAAAACACATGCTAGTAGACATGATGTGTCTCTCCCTGTAGTTGGCTACTAAGATAAGGCTGCTCAGATTTGGCATTAACGTCACCTGATATGGCATGACCTGTGAGTCCGCGACTACCTGCGTGCAACAAGTATCATACGGCTGAACCACTTTCTTTCCATAATCCAAAAATCCCTTCCACCTTGACAGCTCCATGAATTCGCTTTCATGAGACTACGCTTTGAGTGGAGAGATTTTCAAGCTGACCCCGTCTCTTGGTCTCAGAACCAACCTCCACATCTTCAACTGCTCCGGATCTTGCACCGACAGATCTTGGTCGAAATAAAACTTGCTCAGCAGCGAGCAGAGGATGGTCTTCATCTCAACCTCGGCAAACTTGCGGCCGACACAGCCACGTGGTCCTAGATTCGATGTCAGTCTGGGGACAACGAGTAGAGCTGGGAACAAGTCCTTACCCTGCAAAAAGGTCATGAATGCGTTGGTCGTGTATGTGGGAGGCAAATTGCGCCAGCGAGATGGATCAAACTTGTTGGCAGTGTCTCCCCAGTACATTGGTAGATGGTTGATCGCATTAGCCATGAGGTAGATAGTAGTCCCCGCAGGGATGTGATAGCCCGCCAAAGTGTCGTCGGCGATAGTCTTGCGAACCGTCATAGGGACTGAGGGGATGTAGCGCAATGACTCCTTGCAGACGTCTTCAAGGTAAGGGAGCAGGTCTACGTCTGCCTTCTCGATGTTGGCCTCGCTCTCGCGGGCTTCGGCATTGAACAGGAAGGGCAAGTGGGACCGAATCTCCTGTCGCAGTTTCGTCTGCACGTCTGCATGCTTGGCTAACATCAAAAGAGTCCACGCCACCGAGGTCGCGGTCGTATCGTGTCTGGCCTTGGTCAGTTTTGATGATTGCGAGTGGGACAAAATGGACGGCTTACCCTGCCCCGAGAAAGGTCATGACCTGTTGTCGCATCGTCTCCACCGTGAGTGTGTCTTCCTTGCTCGCAGCCATGTTGTCCTTGACAATAAGTCCAATAATGTCTTTATGGCGGGTTTCTTGTTTTCTGTCGGCCTCTGATTGCTTTTCCTGGATGATCTGTGCCGCTTTGCTAAGGATGATATTTCGGGCCGTGAGGATGTCACGGTTGGCACGAGCCGGCAGAAATCGGACCAGCGAGGTAAATGCCGCCAGTCCATTGATGATGCGTGCCTGCAAGTCAAAGTCGAAGCATCGTCGATATGCGTCCCGGAGTGGTGTTTCCGGGTCATCCAGCGAGTCAATGTCGGTGCCGAGACCAGCGCGACCGATAATGTCTAGAGTCGTCCTGTTGAGCCATTCCAAGACCTCGAAGCACTTGCTATCAGTATTTGCTTCCTTGATTCCTTGCTCTAAGAGCTTGGCCAAGTGCAGAGACTTTGCCCAGAAGATGGGCATCAAAGACCGGATGGAAGTAATAGAAAATGCCGGCGTCAGGGCTTTCCTCTGGACCATGTGAGCATGGCCTTCAGCGAGCAGAACTCCTGTACACGGTTAGCAAAATCAGACGCATAAGGAGCAGGTCTGCTTCTTTGACGTGCCTTCTCCAAGGACCGGCCTCATCCACTTCCTCGCTCGGTCAGGTTTGGGATAGTTGTACGGATTCCGGACCGTCATCTGCTTGATGGCGTCGTCCTCGGCCACAGAAAGGCGCTCACTGCCAAAGGGAAAGAAGTATCGCACAATAGGACCATACTTCTGGTGCCATTCTCTCTGTGCGACACCAACCTCGGTGGTAATGATAGTGAGGAATTGACCCCAGAGCGGGAAGCCGGGGACAGTGGGGATGTGCCTCAATGGCGAAACATACAAAGGGTAGATCCAACTGTAATATAGAGTGTACAAGACAGTGGCCAGTGGTAGAAGAACCTTGAGAGCGGTGCTGACGCCAACAGAAGGCGAGTGTCTTCCCAGGACGACAGCAATGAGGACGATGAAGCCCATGAAGGGGAAGAATCCCACTTGAGCGGTCATGTTGTATGTTTCTCGCCGGTCAGTGATATGAAAGCAAGGTGGACAGATGAAAGCTGGGTAGACGAGTCTGGGGGAAGGATGGCTTTTGGGTCATGGACTTGTCTCTGTAGACCGTGTTGCTGGGAAGGAGAAGATGGTCTTCTCAAACGGGGTCGGACTTGTGAGGAACGAGCTGAGAGCCAAAAGTCGTTTTCCTTGTCTCTGCCAGCATATAGCCGTATCGTCATGGTGGTAAACTAGCTTGAGGAGGCTTCTGTGACCTAGAAACCTTGCATGTGCTTTGTCGATCTTGTCCTCAGAACTTCGACACTGCTCTGAGCGGACTGAAAAAGGACCCACTTCGGGGACTTCCTGATTCGGACACCCTGAAGCTGACAGCGGGTTTGTTGACAATGTTGGACCAATGTGAGATACATTGTGGCTACCTGAGTGACCACTTTCTCCAGGGGGTGATGGAGATAGTCGCCGTAGACATTTGGACAGTAGTATCGATCTCATAGACTTCGCGCCATCCACCTATGGCGTCTTAGCTAGCTGGGTGGAGACTCCACTACTGGCTTGTTCAGCCTGGTCCACCCCCAGCATGCCTCATTGACGAGACCTCCATGTCGAGGCGAACTTTCCTGGCTTGCAGGAGTGCAGTTACTGTCTCCTGCCATACTAGCATGTTGCACCTTTCCACTCGGTGAGCGTCGCAGCCCACTGCACGCCCGCCAGGACTGAAACCACTTTGATCGGCGTCAACCTTCATGCGCAGATAGGGACAGTGGCCATGGATCGTCGGTCTTGACAGGCCGTCTATTGGTCATACGGCATCAAAACGGAGGTTTGGTATGGGTTGGAAGAATAGTTGTGATGATGAAGGGAGAGATCATTGCTTGAGAACTGGCCTACGTCAAGCACCGGCCTACGGACTTCGGAATCAGCCATATGGTCAGTTGATGAGACAAAATCGAGAGATCATTGATCCACTGCCTCAAACTGGGGCATGTGGGCAGTTGTCAACCGTCCAAAGGTGCTTCCTCTTGATCTACTCCCTGCAGATCTGTGTTGAGATTCCTGGGGACTAAAGACAGCGTCCTTTCGCAGACCCGTTGAAGTTTTCTCTTCCTGACTCGCAACCTCTTCCATCAATCTTTGTGTGAGCAAGAGACCAGTACCATCTCCTTGTCGATATTTTCAGGTCCTTCATCCTGACCATGGAGTTCTTCAACTCGACGTACAAGGCGGCTGCCAGCCTACTGCCATACGCAACTCCCGTACCCGAGAGACATCACCTCTCAATGGTGTCTCCTAAGGTGTTTAATATGGACCCTTGGTCGGTGTTTGAACGAAGCTTCACAGCAGTCATGGGCTATACGCCGAAGGACTTTCGCTTCGTCCAAGGCAAGACCCCTCTGTCAACTTTCAAAGAGGCGGCCATCTTCATCACCACGTACTACGTGGTAATCTTTGGCGGCCGGGAGTTGATGCGCAACCGAGCGCCGGTAAAACTGAACGGCCTCTTCAAGGTACACAACTTCTATCTAACGGCCATCTCGGGAGGTTTGCTCCTCCTGTTCGCTCAGCAGCTTGTCCCTGCCCTGTGGAAGAATGGATTGTATGATGGAGTCTGTGGAGCCACGGGCTGGTCACAAGAATTGTTGGTGCTGTACTACATCACCTATCTCACCAAGTACCTCGAATTGCTCGACACAGTCTTCCTGGTCTTGAGAAAGAAACCTCTGACATTCCTGCACACCTACCACCACGGGGCTACTGCGCTTCTCTGCTATACACAGTTGGTTGGCCAAACTTCGGTGTCCTGGGTCCCCATCACCCTCAACTTGGGAGTTCATGTGGTCATGTACTGGTAAGTGTCCAGTTCTTTCGAGGGCTTTCAGGACAGTGATTGACTTCGACAAAGGTATTACTACCAAACTGCCCGAGGCGTCAAATGCTGGTGGAAGCAATACATTACAATGTTTCAAATCACCCAGTTCATTCTGGATCTTGGTAAGCTATCCGTTACATCTCGTTGTGACATGCAGATTGGCTGACAAATTAATCCTCAGGATTCATCTACTTCGCTTGCTACACCTACTATGCCAGTACTTATGCTCCATGGCTGCCGCACCGTGGTACTTGCGGTGACAAGCGCCAGGAGCTTGCGGCCTTCACGGGATGCGTGATCCTGTCCTCATACCTGGTCCTCTTTGTCATGTTCTACCTCTCAACTTACAAGAAACCCTCGACGAGGAGGGCTTTGCAGAAAACTGCAAAGACGGAAGTGCCTACCATCACTGAGACAACTGAGATGGCCGCAGATGTCCTCAAATCTGCTACTAATGTCATTGTGGAAGGAATGAGTGATGAGAAGTGTATCCGCGGTTGAGCTGCAGCGACTGGGGAAGGCAGCCGTACACACTGGGAACGGCAGAATCAACTGCCATGTAAGGGCAATGGGCAGCAAAGATCATAACCGAAGAGAGCAGGACCAGGGTTGCCTCTGAATGGATCCTTGGCGCCAGATCAGTACTGATATACAGCAACGACAAGGGCCAATTCTTGGTACAAGCAGGAGTTTACCAGTTTTCTCGTATGGGGTGGGATGATATCATTTTTGCTCCTCCGGCGTACAGGGAGAACGGGTGAGCTTCGACTTAATGCGCATAGTGAATAATTCCAGGACATCTTCCCTTTGTTGGTATGTCTCCATGTCCATCAGGTCTAGAAGCCTACTGCTGCGCGAATGTAGTGATATTGGAGGACCTCGATAGTGTTGATGGAGGTAAAATGTCACTTGTGAAACATGAATTCACCCTTTGTGGACACAGTGATATGCCTTCTATCGGAGGGCCAGAAATATGGTGATCAGAATTCGCCGGATTGGGGTCATGACAGAGTTCATAGTCAGGGGTATTTGCCGTTCCTGGACCCATTGCACGGCCCAGGTTTGCGCTGGCCAAGAGATCAATGCCAGACCAGAGGGGTCCCCGGGGTTTGGTTTGGGTTGTTTTCGCTAGTGTCAAAATGTCAAAATTGTCGACGGTGCGAGCACCCGGGGCCAGCTTTCGGCAGTTGTCAGCTGAGTCCCATCATATCTCGAAATTGGACTAGGGAGGCCTTCTAGCCTCGGGTCATCCGTCGCTACCAATTGGGCTAGTCCACTGGCACAAAAGTATCTCGACGAGATAACCTCAAAGTTAGGACCTTTCCGCTTTCACCTCACGCCCCGTCTTTGGCTTATGGCTGGCTGACTTCTGTCAAGATTGTCGTCACTCAACTGACCGGACTGAATCCAGCTGCATCGCACCATCTTACACCCAAGCAACACCGCACCATGATCAACAAGCACCAGTGAGCTGGGGCTGCATATACCTGACTATCGCGCTCCTGATCGGCACTGTGCAGATCCAGCATTACACAGGAAGTGTCAAAGAAGCATCCACATGCTCAATCCGCTAGCACCATGGACCCGATGCAGCACTGTGTCATAATGGCTTACCGGAAGGCTCACTGTTGATATCAAACGCTCGATTACGGAGCAATCGTGCCATACGGATGTTTGGCCGTATTGGGGAGACTCGACATGCCGATCATCACGATTGTTGAGACACCTTTAGTGCGGCATGAAGCACTGGCGCAAGAAGACAAGCTCGGCCGTGTCCCGACGTTTTAATGGCATGTGGAGATACTTGACCCAAGACCCGCGGATTGCATTTCGTTGCGATCCAGCATTTGGGACTGCATCATACCACCAAGCTCTGGCTTGTCTAGCAACATTGAGAAGCGCAGTTTTCACAATTTGGGGTCTAATCTGCAACCGCCTCAGGCTTTACTGGCTCTCGCCGCCCGGCACTAGGAGAAGTATACAAATTTGCTGTTCCATAACCACATCCTTTGCTGTGTCGGCGATAATCAAGTCATCATGTTCAACTCTACCTTCCTCCCAGCCCAGAAGTCGGCGTCCATCACGTTATTTTCCATTTTCCCCGGAGCACCTCGCCGTCTCGACCTATCTGACCACTTGATGACGGCCTGGGAGCTTTTATATCAAATGCTGAGCTTGGAAAACGGCTGCAAGCTACTGGCGTTGTCATTGGTTCTGCTCAACTTGAAGGTCTTTCCTTTCATCTACCATCTACGAATTCTCAATGCCGTCAGATTCGTGCTTCGTTCGCAGCGACCGAAACAAGATGTGACACCGGAACAACTCTTCCAGCCTCTGATCACGTCTTCTAAAGCGTGTCTGATGGAGATCGACGTGTTTGGCCACAAATCAAACAGTACATACTTCACGGACATAGACGTCGCTCGTGCGCACTTGGTAACGACGATGTTCGGAAAGGGGATCGAGAAGATTCGTGGTGGCACAACCATGAACGGGCTGAACGGGAAACGAAGCAACTTCACGGTGGCCTTGGGTGGCGTCAGCTGTACATTCAGGAAAGAACTTCTGCCCTACGAGACCTACGACATGTGGACTAGAATTCTATCGTGGGACGAGAAATGGATGTACTTGGTCACGCACTTTGTGAAACGAAGCCACAACATTCAACCAAGGGTGTCTTCACTGTATCCACAGCAGAACAGCAGCAGCCAAGACGGAGTTCCGTTTACAGATGACCGCCGTGATTCCGCCTTTTCCATCAAAACAACGATTACGGACAGCACATGTGGGCCAGCGAGTGCGCCCATCACAGCTTCTGCGCTCAGCAAAATCGTCTTCAAGAACGGCCGCGTTACAATCCCTGCACGGGAGATGCTGGAAGCTTCCAACCTGCTGCCCGCGGTCAAAAAGGGTGGTGCCAACGCGAACGACAAGTACGAGAGAGCCACAGCAGAGGACGATAACGACGATGCATACAATGTGAAGCTCAGCCAGGCAATTGAAGAAGAACGCCAACAGGGCCTTCGACTAGCCGCCCTTCTAGCCAATCAAACGGCGCTGCACGATGCATTCAACAGCGACATTGCGTTGGGAAGGCACTTCGACGGAATGGGCTTAGAGGGTGTAGTTGCTACTCTGGCCCAACTGGGCAAAGTTTCTCCTTATCAGCTAATATGACGACTGAGGCACTCCCCAAAGATATGGGAAACCTAAAGCTTTCTCGGTCACATGTGATAATGGCTAGACAATCCCGGACAACTTCCAAATGCAGAATTCAAGCCCTCAAGAACAAAGCGATGTCCGAGTGGCGTATTCCGTATGCAAATGCTATCCCGTATTCACCTAGAAAGAATTGGTGATCTTCACATGGAGCCTTGTTAGCCTGGTGGACCTTGGCCCGCCATCGCTTATCTTGTTCAGTGGCCCCATTAGTTGGGCGGGCCTCATCCGCAAAGCTAGGGGCCGCAGCGGATCCAGGGGCTCTTGTCGGAGGAACCTGAACGCAAGTTATACACGTAAAGCAGGGAAAATGACACACCATGATATCAACGCGCACGGTAAGAACACTGATCGTCCCGACACCGTCTCTTTGTGGACAAAGGTATGGCCTTGGGAGGTCAGTTGCAAGGAACCTATTTTCTGTTGCAAGTTTGTCCTGATCCTCACCTGCAAACTTGTTGGATCCCCAGATGTTCCCCGCCCGGCAGTGGAAGTGTCAGCTGCAGTCCGAACATGACGACGTAAGATGCCTTGTGTTGCTGTTCCCCATGGTGACCCAACAGACCGTGGCAAGTCACACGTGGGTGAGCTGAGTGGCACGAAGTTGAGTGCCATTATTTGGTTGCTGCTGTGGTCTGCAACATGTTCAGCTGGTCAAATCTTTGCTGTATATCCTGCTAGCAGACTGTGTTTTTGTTTCCGTCCTGGTTCCTGACTGCCTTTTGAATTTCTGGCTTGACACGAAGGTAATTCTAATTCGTGTGTGGTCCGAGCACTAAACCCCTGGATACAACTTGCACTTGACGTGAGTTTCTGGAGGAGACTTGTCTAGATTTCTCATACCATGCCGGGCTCCAGGCACGATACTTGGCTGAACGAAATACTTCAAGACATCATAGCTTCACGTCGTGGCGTCTCTCCGAGTTCAAGTGGAAGCCGCCATACAAAAAACAGTGGTAGCCTCATGTCCGCCTCACTGAGTGAAGACAGGAATGAGTGGCCACTGGGCATTCAGAGCGAAGACAACCTCCAGCGTGGACGGCAACCAGATCTGCCGTATCCTCTTAGGAGAACCAAGTCATCAAACTTGCCTGATGCAGCATTGCCTGGTTCGCAGACAGAGGGAATGCCTCCAGCCACCCTACCAGCTTATGATCAAGTAACGCATCCTCAGATGGGCAGTGTGTCTCCTACTCGGCGGCACCCATGGGACAAAGATTCAACCAACTCGATAGTCTCTTCCCGCGCTGCAGTTGAGCTTCCCGAAGCTTCCTGCGACCCATCTCGCTCGCGCTCAGAAGTGTCGCAAACTGAGCAGCATGGGCGGCCGCGGGACCCAGGAGACTCGAGATCTAAAGCAGTCCGTTTCAACACTCACGAGACCATGGCTGAGCCCACAAGAAGATCTTCCACAGTGTCAGAATTTTCTGGCTTCGAGTCACATCCCGCCGTCCGCCCACTCGAGATGAGCCGCGGCCTGATTAATGCTGCAGGTCTGGCAGTAGCAGACGATCCGAGCCAGTATCCAAAGCCCCTTGCCCTGGCTTCCATTGTGCTGGGGATATGCCTTTCGGTGTTCATAATATCCTTGGACAGGAATATCATTACCACTGTATGGCATCTGTTCTCGTCGCGCTGTGGTATTTGTGACTGACCAAAGTCCAGGCAATTCCAGACATAACCGCCAGATTCCATTCTTATGATGACATTGGTTGGTATGGAAGTGCATATCTCCTCACCGCGTCTGCATTCCAGCCACTTTACGGCAGGATTTACATGTCGTTCGAGACTAAGTCCTCCTTTTTGGCCGCACTGGCAGTATTCGAAGCTGGCAGCCTCGTCGCAGCTCTGTGCCCTTCTTCCGAGATCTTGATTCTCGGCCGTGCCATCCAAGGCTTTGGTAGTGCGGGATTACTGACAGGGGCTTTCATGGTTGGGACTCATTCCGTAATGCTGCAATATCGACCCCTTCTGTTTGCTGCCGTAGGCATCTTGTACGGTGTTGGCGCACTGTGTGGCCCGTTGTTGGGAGGGGCCTTCACTGACACGATAGGATGGCGGTGGTGTTGTAAGCTCCAAAAGTTCCCCCTTGTTGACCGAATTCGTTTCACTAACGAGATCAACAGTCTGGATCAATCTTCCTATTGGGGCGGTGACTTTTGTGGCAGTTTTCCTATGCTTCAAGAGCCGAAGTCCAACAAGCACGTCCTCCCGCCCTTCACTTGGACAGCGTCTGCTTCGGCTTGATATTATCGGCAATACTATCTTGCTAGGGGCAACCACTATGCTGTTCTTGGCTTTGCAATTCTCAGAGCAGCAGTATTCATGGTCAAGCGCACGTTGCATTGGACTGTTGTGCGGATTTGGAGTGACAATCCTCATCTTTATCGCATGGATGCTCTACCGCGGCGACGAAGCATTAATTCCTCCGCGCATCGCACGCCAGAGGACCGTCGCTGCCAGCTGCGGCACGGCTTTTATGATCTATGGTGCTCTGCTCGTTCATTCCTATTACCTGCCTATGTGGTTTCAAGCGATCAAAGGGACGTCAGCTATCCATTCAGGAGTGAACATGATCCCTTATATGGTTGCAAACGCGGTTTTCGCCCTCCTGGCGGGGATATTCGTCTCGAAGAACGGCCTATTTGCTCCACCGGCCATCCTGGGCTGTGCAATTGGCACGATCGGGTCCGGTCTTTTGGCCACCCTGGACGAATCGACGCCTGCTTCTCGCTGGATAGGGTTTGAATTTCTTATATCCGCCGGGCTCGGTATGGCCATCCAGCAGGGATTTAGCGCTGTCCAGGCTATTCTACCTATCGAAGAGGTTCCCATTGGTACTGCGGCGGTGGTGGCATCTCAGTCACTCGGCGGTGCCATTTTTGTCTCGGTGGGCAACACATTGCTGCAGAATCACCTTTTCAGCGAGAACGATGCCGGCAGACTCCCAGGGGTCAACATCCGTGCTGTTATTGAACTAGGAGCAACCCGATTCAGGGACGTCGTTCCCGCTCAGGACCTCCCGGCCTTGATCAAGCTGTACAACAACTCTCTTCAGGCAGTATTCATTGCGGCGGTGCCACTATGTGGTGTAGCATTCCTTTGCAGTTTGTGCATGGAATGGAAAAGCTTGAGGCCGAGGTCATCACAACAAGGAGGGCAAGAAAGTGGTGAAAAGGTCTAGAGCTTAATACATCTTGCTCTTGTATATTCTTGACCCACCAGCTCGCCAGGCTTCCGAGCTGTCCATCATCTCATCAATACAGTATTCTGTCCTGTGGTCTTCAGTGATCATCAGTCCATGCATATTCAAAAGGAAATGAGCTGATTTTTCCCTATTCAAGCAAAAGCTCACCAATGCGTGCTTGAAAAGAATTTTCAAATATCAACACTCGACAGTTCGGGGAAGTCTTGTTCAACGGGGCTTTCGCTTGGGAGTTGGCGTCTATGAATCAAGGGATCGGCCTCATGGCTATCGACTGGCAGTGAGACATGATCACCACGCGATGGCCAAAGCATCGTTGTATGTGGTGTTGCTCTAAGATCAATTCCCTGATATTCGCTACTAGATTGGGCGCCCTCCTCAAAGTACCCTCATATATTGCCTAGAGAAGATGACGCTGCAACTTGTGCAACTATGTCGTCGATTTAAGCTTGATCGTCTCCCAATTACACCCGGTTTTCACCTTTCTCTCAGGTCCGTCGAGCCTGCTGACTTTGCACTAAGGCAGGAGGGATCAAGCACTCGGACATTGGGTCCGCAGCCAGTGGAAACTTGAGGAGCCCTGCAACCATTGTGCTGAGCACCTCGATGACGCCAACGACTGCCTCGACTTGTATCGTTTGCGGGGAAGCATCAAATCTCAAAGCTGCCATTCGCCTGTGTTACATCCATGGAAATCCCCGAAGCCGCACTGCGTCCATGTTAGTCGAGCTTCACATTGCACCTGTCTCTGCACTGAACCGAGGTATTATCCCTTCGAAACTTTCCGTCTCGTTGCATCAGAGGTGCTAACTCTGCGCAGAGGCCGCTTCCTCGCCGGCAAATACCGAAATATGCGGATAATGGAGCTCTCTACCTCACGTCAATCTGCCCGATTCCAATCCTCGGGGACACCGATCAGTCAGTCAAGCTCAACATTCCTCCAACCACCTGACTCTACCCATCTCTTCGGTCGCCATTGCAAGTTGCGCCCGAGAAGAAAAGAAATACAAGAGATGGGACAACGTATATAAGCAGAGACACGAGCCTTGCGAAAAGACCATACATCTGCGTTTGACACACTTGACGGTCGTGATGCCTTTACGCACCACTCGTTCCGTGCTTCCCAAGGCTACAACTGATTGCAAGATATCTTTGCGCCGCTCTGGAAGAAGTATCTGCCAGGAAACGCTGCCCATATCGTCAAAGTTCCTGCAATTTGCTGCATTCTGGACAAGATTCATGCAAGGCCATTGTTGTGAGGTTATCCCCAGAGTATCATTGAGATGGTCTCCCATGTCTTGGGCTGCGCAGTCCAGATACCAGGCGTCGTTGTTGTTTCTTTATCGCCGTTGAGAAAGCTGGGAAGTCAAGGACGGGGCCAATTTTAGAATCTACAGCATGCCAACGACCGAAAATTGCGGTCGCTTGCATGCCTCTCAGTAGGCCTTGAATCTCCCGGGTGTGTATCGTCCCCTGCAGAGTTTTCCTGTCGAGGAGAGTTTCACCTTGTCGACACTCGTTCTAAGGCATACTTCTGAGATTTCGAAGGGAAGACGTCAAGCCGTCAAAAGCAATGTCGGGACAGTAACCTGATTTCGATCTCCGTGGCTGGTGTTCGGCTCCCAACATGACGAGTCTTTCCACTTAACCACAAGTTTTTGGCCATTTTCGGATGCAGGTGTATTTTCCATCGAACCCTTCGAAATCGTTCATACCCTCATGTTGCAAACTGCTACCCACCAGACTATCTAAATCTTCAATCTGAAACGAAAATTACAATCTCATCCACGCGCCATCAATTTTGTGATCGCTGCCCTAAGGTTCTCCGCATTCTCCACTTGTTATTCCCCAGGAATTGCGGTGCCAAGTGAACAAAAATGGAGTGTTTTGATTGGAGTATTCAATCCCTTCTCTTGTCGTGCAGTGCAGTCCAACGCCGAAAAATCAGAAGCATGTGTTCCTAATGTTGACACCATATCTTGAGGGGATGTCACTTTTTGAGACCCGCATCTAAGGTGATAAGTGACTTCCCAGTTGTCCATACACGACTAAAACATTACAGGCATTAATAGGCTTGTACCAGAGCTCACCGCACTGCCAATTCAGGCTCAAGATTCCCAGATCCGGGTCTCCTCATTTCAATGCGATGGATGAACGTGAGGCACTTGTAAGGGTAGGCAGAAGTGAGACAACGCATAGTAAGGACGAAGGCACACAGAGTCCGCTCCCGAGTCGTGTCTTGGGCGTTTGAGAACTGTGAAGATGACGAGGGCAAGTGCTGCTTGGGTCAACATTACGATGATACGCAATGGAGGCAATTTGGCGAATTTTCTACCTTGGCATATGTCCGAGTGCAAAAGAAATACTCATGGCTGAATAAATGTGCCTGTCCTCTCTTGTCCATCCCCCTGGTCGCAATGTCTCCAACAACGCTGTACGACCAGGGTTTTGCTGTGCGGCCACTCACTGCTGAGGTGTGAGCACCAGAGATGTTTTCGTCTCGACCAGGAATACGGTCATCGACCTCCATGTCACACGTACGCCGTGTCCAGCGAATGTAGATGGTGTCTGTTGTAGATATGTTGCTGGTCCTGCGAAGTGAGGTGTACCGAAGCGTCAACAATTTTCTTGGCCAATCAAGTCTGTCATGAAACCACTGCTGTCAACGAATGACTCGGCTTCGATAAGTCCCATGATAAGCCAAGACGTCCAAGAAAATCGATGTTGATAAGGAGGACATCACCATGCAAAACGCGAACTGGCAACCTACCAGAAGCATTGAGAAGGCTTTGGAGGTCTCTTGGAAGTTCTTGGGACGTTGCAACCGTGGATGGCCAAGCTCGTTGCCAATCCGTCTTATCAGGCCAAGCATGCTCATGAGACGTTGAATCCAGGCTGCGTGTTGCCTGAGTGATTGTTGCTCGAGTCGAGAGATCTCGATCAAGCCTTCGCATCCAGTCAAATCACCCAGCGATGTCTCATGACAGACGGTGCACACCAAGAATACTACGTCGTGAGCACTCTAGCAGCCTTGTCACTCGGTAAGAGTATACCTAGGTATCAAAATGTTGTCTCGATGAACATGGGGTCTATTCCCTCGAGACGTTATCCACCTGTGCTCGTCTATTTAAGCAGGCTCGGTGGTGACCTAGCTGGTTCTTTTCTCGCTCGTTTCTCCATCTTTCCTTGAAGTTTGCAACATGGATCCAAAGACCGCTGAGGAGTACAACCACGAGACGAAATACTTTGATGCCGACCAATCACCAGATGGCCGCCACTCCAGTACAGGAGATGCACTCGCAACCGACCATGGAGCTGATACCGACCTCCGTCGAAGCCTAAGCACTCGCCATCTTACCATGATTGCGTTAGGTTCCAGTATTGGAATGGGCTTATGGCTTGGTTCGGGGACATCGCTAATAAACGGTGGCCCGGCTGGCATCTTTCTCGGTTATCTTCTATCTGGCGCAATGATCTGGTCTGTGGCCCACTCCATTGGTGAAATGGCAGTCATGTATCCTCTTCCATCTGCATTCGTCCAGTGGACAGGGAAATTTGTTGACCCTGCTGCCGCTTTTGCTCTTGGCTGGGCTTACTGGTTCTCATTTTGCATCACCATCGCGAATGAACTTGCCGCTGCAAACACGATTCTGAGCTTCTGGACCGACGTTGTGCCAATTGCGGCCTGGATTACCATCTTCTGGGTGGTCATCATCCTGGTGAATGTCGGTGCTGTGACAGTTTTCGGCGAGGTCGAAGTGGTGTGCAGTACGATTAAGTTCAGCTGGATATTCGTTGTTATCATTTCCCTCATCGGTGAGTCGCTTTACACCCAAAGGCTTTCGTCCTAATTGACACACCTCAGTCGTCTCTGCCGGAGGAGGACCACACCAAGATGCGGTGGGTTTCCGCTACTGGAATGCCACCCCATTTACGCATGGATTTAAAGGCTTTTTGACTGTCATGCCTACTTGCATTTTTGCAATGGCAGGTTCCGAGAATTCTGGTCTTGTGGCCGCGGAGACCGCCAACCCACGCAAGTCAGTGCCTCGTGCAGTTGGTTCAATCTGGATTCGACTCTCCTTATTCTATCTACTTGGGTCTCTCATGGTCACCATAACGGTCTCTCCTTTCGACGAAGACCTCTTTGGTGGGGAAGGTACGAATGCTTCTCCGTTCGTCGTCGCCTATCGGAATGCTGGTATACCCGTCCTGGCACACATGATGAACGCCGTGATCCTTCTGTCGGTTATATCTTGCGGGTCGATTTCAGGATACGCAGGGGCACGCACCACCATGGGTTTAGCCTTCTTGGGTATGGCACCCAAACAACTCAAGACGGCCGATAAAACTGGACGACCATGGTATGGCCTGGTTCCTACTCTGGTACTGGGTGGTGGCCTTGCCTATCTCAATGTTGACCACTCCGGTGCCGAAGTCTTTGGATGGTTCTCCAACCTCACCTCCCTGTTTACTCTGTTTGGTTGGGGAATGATTTGTCTATGTCATCTTCGATTTCGTCGAGCTTGGGCATTACAAGGTCGCGACAAGGCTGATCTCCCATGGCGAAGCTGGACATACCCGTACACAGCATGGTTCGGATTGATAATGTGTATCGTCTTGATCATCGTCCAATTTTACCTGGCCATATGGCCTCTGGGAGGCCCATACGGAGATCCCGAGACCTTTTTTGCTAATTACGTCTCGGTCATTCTGATTTTGGTGTTGTATATCGGCGCCAAATGTTATTATCGTGGCCGACGCTGGGTCGATCTGAGCACAGTTGATCTGGACAATGGTCGGAGGTTCTACGTCGACGAAGCCGACAAAGAAAAGGGCGCGAAAAAGGGGTTCAAGGGGGTCGCACAAAAGGCCGTCGGAGCAATCTTCAATTAACTCAAGATTCAGAGGACTGTATTCAGGTGCCAAAAGGACACTGAAAGTCATTTCTGCCGAGGTCCAAGGACACTGACATTATAGGCGCTGTCAGATGACAACTTGACAAGGCTGACAGGCGCAGCCCCGTGCGCTCACCCCGTACAATAGTTACGCCCGATGGGATATCCGTTCGGTCAGGACGCTGTAATAGATAGTATGGAGGTTACAACATTCGCAAACGTTTGTGTTTTGATTCACTCCTCAGTCTTGGTGTTTTGCCCTTCAATGCATGGCTGGCAGAGCCGTCTGAAAAGAGGTGTTTCGTCGTTATAGCCGAAACGATAATCTCAGCGGCCTTAGTTTGACGTTTTCATTGATGGTCCATGCATCTTAGGGGCACTTTATCTCTCCGCTTTCAGCAGAAGGACAAGTTATCTGGGCCCCTGAGCCCATAGCGTCTCGACCTCCAAAATCTAGTTGATTTCAGATCCTCGATTTGATGGCCTTTGTTGGACTCGTCAATCTCGATGGCAATCTAGGCCAATCCCTGTCATTCCTCGCCACGCGTGGCTGCGCTGAGAAACTCCTGGACTGGGCGGACCGTCCCCCGTGCTTCGTTAAAGGATGCATATTCACGATGGTAGTTTGCATCCTAAACAAACTGACACCATTGTGAGTAGAGCACGAGCCACTATGAACACGCTCGTGCATTACTTGAATGATGCAAGATCAATCAAATCTTAGCCAACAGGTGACATTGTGATAGTAGGAAGCATGGCATTCCTGTTTTATCATGCAAAGGCTATAATATGGAGTTCTCCATTCCCATACAACGTTCTCAGACCGATCACTCCGGTTTCCACAATGTCGCCGTCTGAGAAATATTACTCACAAGCTGAGCGGGCTCATCAGCAGAAGTTATCTGGCCACGGAGACTGCGCCAACCGGCCGTGGCCAGCCCAACGATACCAATTCATCATCAACATATTCAACTACCTTGATGATTGTCTGGTCCTTTCCATCTATTGTCTCGCTAGACTTCTCCACTGCGTCGTACCGAGCTTCCTGCTCAGACATGCATCAAGCAGCTCCCGTGCTGAGAAGAGGAAGCAGACACAGAAAATCGCCTCGCTCGATGGGCTACGAGGCATTGCTTGCCTATTTGTCTTCCATGCGCACTATGCTTACTCTTTTCACAACTGGTACGAAGGAGTGGACATCGAGAATATGAAGACAAGGTTTATGTACCAGCCTTTTGTCTCACTTCTTTGGTCTGGAGTGGCTATGGTCGATATATTCTTCTTCATCTCCGGCTACGTCCTGGTTTCCAAATCAGTCAGGTTGATTAGGGAACAGAATGTGTCTCAGGCATTCTCGACGATCTCATCAGCAGTTTTTCGACGAGCCTTGCGATTATACCTACCTTCCATGGCAATCATTCTGATTTCGGCCATCTCCGCGCAGTTCGGCCTTTTCAACGCTGGGAACAAGTATTTCCTCCATGTTCATTATGATGCCGCCGGGCCATCTGAGCAACCCCCTCCGCGCCTCGGGTCGCTTGTGGCTCAACTATATGATGGCTTGAAAGACTGCTACCGTTTGACTGACAATACGATACCCTGGGGAAAGTTCAATTTCGCCTACGAGGAGGATTGGAACGCGCGACCTTCTGGCACCGTGTACGACAAGCATCTCTGGACAATACCGGTCGAATTCAAATGCAGCATGCTTATCTTCATGATCCTCATTGCCACTGCACGACTACGAGCAACGTGGAGGTTGAGCGTCCATACGCTATTCTTAGTGAACTGTCTCTTCACCGAGCGGTTTTCAGAGTTTCTCTTCATTGCCGGCATGATATTTTCCGAACTTGACGCGATCAGACAAGAGACCGAATCTATCAAGATTAGCGACACCACCATGACCCTTCTTCGGACCAATGCAGGCACTCTCCTCAAAAATGCCATCAACGTCACTCTCTTCATCTCTGGGCTGTTTTTGTTGTCGATGCCCCCATTAGGAGCGAATGAATGGCCACAGTACCATGCAGTGCTGGAATGGGTTCCAAAATATATCGTGGATAAAGACCGCTTTGCCCGAGCAATTGGCGCCATCATGGCAACTTGGCCTGCCTCGACCTCGACGCTCCTTGCACCACTCTTTACAAATTCAGTCTCACAATATCTTGGTCAGATCTCGTTTGCATTATACTTGGTTCACGGACCGGTAATCAAGTCGATATGGTATGCATTGCAACCAAAATTCGCCAGCATGATTACGCGAGCACAAATACCGGATATGCAGACCCATAATTTTACTTTGCTTTGCCTTCTGGGGTACATGGTCCTACTTCCCACGGTGATCTGCTGTGCAGATCTATTTTGGAGGACCATAGATCAGCGGTCAGTCACTTTCGCTCGGTGGGTGGAAGATAGAGCCAAAAGGCAAAGATAAGGATACGAGGAGATACCTCGCAGCTTGCCAACCACATAACATAGATTTGGACATCGCCTGCAAAAATATGCTCCAATTGTCTGTTCTCCTCAAATATTGTTGCGCTCTTAGTGTAAGCGCAGTACGACAAGCGCCATCATTGAGTCTTATTCCAGCCATCTGGACTGAGAATCTTATCAAAGTAGTTGAAACGTTTCTTTGTCTCTACCATCGGTCCTACGGAGAGTTTCAACTAATAAACAATATTGTAGGCCTTGCTATCATGTTAGGTTAAGCAGAGGTCTTTGGTTGACTTTAGGACGAGGAAACAGGCGTTAATCCTTCTAAGCTACTTGCATGAGCGTACCTGTATCGAGAAAAGACGGGGAAATGAAGACAGAGTTGGACACGGCAATGTTGTGCGGGTGGTAGGAAAGGTTGCTCACCCTAAGGTATTCGTCGAAAATTAGTACATGGTACAACCGACAAGCTGCCAAAAAGTCGACATCAATGTATCTCTTCTTGGACTGCCAAGTGATCAACTCTACGTACATCTTATGTTCGACTTTCAATAGAGCTAGATTAGCTTGACAGATGAAGATTCCACGACAAGCGCCTGACCTTTCGACAGGACTATATCATACGCCAACAATATTTTTCGAACCGTGGAGTCCTGTGGGTAACGGTAGGCAGAACTGACATTGCCCTCAAGCACTGTACGGCGTCAACATGTTCAGACACTCCCGATATAGTCGGCACCTTTGCCGCTCTGAATAGTAGTGTAGTAACAAACTTGTCGGTTCGTCGAAATAACTACCTACCTAAGCTAGGGGAATAACGGAAAAGGTTACCGAGAGTCGGAAGATGTCACGCTGTAGTTTTATTTGCCGACGATCATGCCGTTGCAGGGATACCGAGGATGATTTTTGCAAGGTACCTACATGAAGGAACCGCCCAAGGTCTTCTAGTGGAGCAAGCAAAGAGTGGTTCTGGCCGTTTGTATGTGTAATTGCGGGGTCATTATACGAACGTGCCCCATACAGGTGTAGGTTCCCCAGAGAACCTTTCTTCATTTTGCGGGGAAAGTTGAGGGGCTCATCATGCCGGTTTGGCAATATGCTCCGGCAGATATGGGAACATAGACACTCACAAGTCAGTGAACGAGGGATATAAAGGATGGATACCGCTTCAATGCTGCTAGGTCTGTCGAGTCCTCCATAGGGATTTTATCGGGCTCGAAACCATCATGAAAACTCACGCTTTCCTATCCGTCGGTGTCTTCGTTACACAACTGGTTCTTGCAGCCACGCAATGCGTCCCTCAATCCTTTAAGGACTTGAGTCTCCCTGGCGGCCAGATTTTGACAGTCGAAGCAGAAGTCCTGACCAACCTGTCCGCCAATGTTCTTATGCCCACAAATTACTACCCAAGGAATATCACGGGGCTTGATGTCTGCCAAGTTCTCGTTCAATATACCCATCCTGGACAAAATGATACCCTTAACGTCAATATCTGGTTGCCTCTGGAAAACTGGAATGGCCGATATATGGCTACTGGCGGCGGAGGCTTCGCAGCGGGCTCGGGAATCACCCAGTTGTATATTCCAGCGTCACTGGGTTACGTTACCAGCTTCACGGATGGCGGTCATAACATTTCAACTGGAGGAACTGCGCCGTGGGCTCTGGTCAGCCCTGGAAATGTTAACTGGGTCCTTCTGAATGACTTTGCCAGAATCGCCTACAACGACATGGCCACTATTTCGAAGTCTGCGGCGGCGCTTTTCTATGGCTCACCTCCCAAGTACTCCTACTGGAGCGGGTGTTCAACAGGCGGTCGGCAGGGCCACCAGATGGCCCAGAGCTATCCGACACAGTTTGACGGTATTTTAGCCACATCATCGGCATTCAACTGGGCCCACTTCCTGGTAATGGAGTACTGGCCCACGTTTGTGATGAACTCGTTGAGTAGGTTGTTTATTTTTGTTTCTTTGAAAATTTGCTAAAGTCATGCAGATATCCATCCAACACCCTGCGAACTGGCCACTCTGGTCGAACTGGCGACTACCGCCTGCGACGGACTCGATGGTGTGATCGATGGAATCATCGCGAATCCTGGGTTGTGTTTCTTCGACGCTCAGACCGTGGTCAATCAAACATTCAATTGTTCAGATACTGGAGAGGAAATGCAGATCTCGCAAGGCGCTGCAACAGTCATAGAGGCTCTCTGGACTGGTCCAAGGACTGTTGACGGCAAATTTCAGTGGTTTGGCTTAAACAAGGACGCCAGCTATGCAGGTATTTCTAACGTCACCTGTAATGACAACGGCACCTGCGAAGCGAGTCCCTTTACCATCGCCATGGATTGGATTCAGCGGTTCGTCCTTAAGAACACCACAATCAATCTTCTCGACCTCTCACATAGCGACTGGGACACCATTTTTCGAGCCTCGGTCGATCAGTACGAATCCGTCATTAGTGCTAACAACCCCGATCTTACCGACTTTCGCAACCATGGTGGGAAGATGATTACCTATCATGGTCTTGCCGACCAATTGATTCCACCAAATGGCACCTATAACTACTACGAGCGTGTTTTGCAGCAAGACCCAAATGCGGCAGACTTTTATCGTTTCTTCCCAGTCCCGGGTCTTGCTCACTGTGGTGGAGGACCGGGGTGGTATCCTGGTGATGCAATGGAGGCTCTAGTAGCCTGGACGGAGAAGGGCATTGTCCCGGATACTCTTCTGGCCAGAACCACCCCTACTGCTGAGACTCCGGCACGCACTATCCAGCTTTGCGCTTATCCCAAAGTTTTGAGGTATGTGGGTGGAGATATCAACATTGTATCATCGTTCACGTGTGAGTAAGTGGATAGGAATATGGGAACGCCAGGGGCAGCTCCATTTCTATGAGATAATCAAACAGAGATCCTATGGAAGTTATATCACAATTACAATTACACCTGCAAATAGAACTAATCCTATTATGGGTTAAAGTAGAACTGATCAACCAGTGCCCCAGGCATTGCACAAGTTGGCACTAAAACAGTGGCTTCACAATGGATACAAGACGTGTGGGTACTGGGCCCGACTTGAAAGCGGAGGTCAACTCGTGCTTTTCTGGACACGGCAGTTTGAAGGGCCTGAAGCATCTCAACCACAACTTCGAGCCAATGGTGGCGGGTTATGGGTATTTTGATCGATTAACCACTGATATACCCCGGATACTTATCCCTAGATTTGCGAGACTACCTTCGCGCTCCACCTTTGCCGCCCATATGGTCGACCACTCCTGGACGGCCGCTAATGTTCATAACACTAGTCTTCTTGTGGTGTTCTCAGCCTGGCAAACGTGCTTCCCTCCGACTGAATGGTTTCCTCTGGAGTGAACTATAAGATGGTGGCAAGAGTGTGTGAACATCTTCTCAAGCTTGGAATCCCCTGCATCCATGATATGTTAATTTTATATTATATCAATGCGCACTCTAGACACAAGTTGTTCAGTCATAATGTATACTACTCTTGTCTTCTCTCCACTTTCTTTGGATTCTTGCAGAGTTACATAGTAGTGATGGTGGAGGATTGAATGACACAACTTGGTATATAACTGGCACCGAAGGCGGTGATGGTTCAGACCATCAGAGCATGATATATCGACACAAAGCATACTGTCGTTCATCCATGGGTGGAGTACATATTCTCATACATTCGCTGCTCAACCACAATCAGCCGAATTGCTGTACAGATGCTACCGAGTCGGGATGTCTCACTAAATACACAACCATACAATCACACCCATTTAAGCACTGCCTTGATGGTCTTCCCAGCTTTAACATCTTCAAATGCTTTTTCGTAATCTTTGATGTCGTAGGTAGTGATCATCTCCTCGAGGGGAAATCTACCCTGGTCATGCTGCTCGATTAGGTATGGGAGCATCTGGTGAGCTCATTAGTAATGGCCAGCCTCCACTAGCATTCTCGCGACACTTACCTCCTTTGCAACGCTGTCTCCTTCGCAGCTTCCAACATAGGCTCGCCCCATGATCAAATGCTGGAAGACATCGACACCTGCTCGCCTTCCCGGTGTTGGAGCGCCAACAGTGGCAGCCTTTCCTCGCGTACCGAGGCTGTCAATCATGCTTTCGATAACCTTGGGTACACCAGAGGCATCAAGTGCAAACTTCGCGCCGTTAGGAGGACATAGCTCTCGAATCTTCTCAACAGCGTTTTCCTTCGTGCTATTGATAGCATGTGTTGCACCAAGCTTCAGAGCCAGGTGTAAATGTGTATCCTGCACATCTACCGCGATAATGGGGTTCGCGCCCCTGATCTTCCCTGCCATGATGCCACTGAGACCGACGGCACCTACGCCAAAGACAACAAGGCTGGATCCTGAAGTCACATCAAGACTGTTGAAGACAGCACCAGCTCCCGTCTGCAATCCACATCCCAAAGGTGCAAAGAGTTCCAAGGGTGTGCTTTGCGGAACCTTGACCACACTCCGACTGCTCACCACGGCCTGTCTAGCAAAAGAGCTTTGGCCAAAGAAATTTGAGTGTACGTGCTCGCCCGTTTTCAGAGATACAGGAGTGCTGTTGTCCAGACGTTTGCCACCAAAGTTCAGGGGAACCATGAGATGGCAATAAGCCGGATGTCCGGAATTGCACTCGACGCATTTCCCGCAAGTGTTGTAGCTCAGTAGGACTTTATCACCTGCAGCGAGTCCTTGGACATTTTCACCTACTTCTTTCACGATCCCACCACCTGAGAAGACAGTTAGTCTTATTAAGCTCATATAGTGGGTGGGCGCTTGAGAGAATTTTGATGCCACACACTTACCCTCATGTCCTAAGACGTTTGGCGCTGCAGCAGGCAATGTGCCATCCATGCAAGAAATGTCGGTATGACAGATACCCGTAGCATGGATCTCAACCAATACCTCGTCGCTTCTTATGGCATCGAGCTGTACAGACTCAAGGACCAAAGGCCCATTGATCTCATGCTGGACTAGTGCCTCTGTTGTTCTTGTCGTAGTCATATTTCGGAGGCCTGCGGCTTGTGTATGAAAGCTGGATGATTGTTTGTTTGCTGGCGGTCCGATTATGTTGAACGATGGGCGGATTTTCTTTGCAGCGCTGTGACTAGGCCATGCCCAACTTTGTAGAGCTCTACCTTGGAGTCTCCTATTGCAGGCGTATATAGTGTTGAAGATAGAAAACGCCCGAAGCCCGAGTCGGGGGCGGATCAACGGAAACTGATGCACATGCATAGAGGGAGCATGAAGAGGTAAATCGCACTGTTGCTGTACGTTGTGCACAGGCGTCTGGCCATCACTCCATCATTATATATTATCTCTGCTGTGGATACGCTTTTGAAGTGGCCTGACCTTGAAATTGCTCCGCCAACTATCGCAGAATTGTCTTACCACTCACTATCTACGGTCTAGGCCCGCCACTGCGTCACCGAGATAGACAGGCTCGGACCAGACCAAAAATACCTTCCCCGGGCCGTTCCAATTATCAACATCTCCGTGACCTCGCGTGGATAACTTGGACAACTCTTTTGCTCTGTCCTGTCTCACGACTCCCCGCCGCTTGAATGCTCAACCCTGCTAAACTCATTGGGCGTGTTTGTCCCGTGGGAAACAAACGGTTGACAATTTAAGCGAGCGACCAATCAAATCGTCTGCATACGAATTACATTTGCTGTCCCAGGCGAAACAAGGCTTTTCCCCTCCATGTCGTTAGTTTCGACCCTCGCAACCGCAGGCGCCGGTGGATGCGAGCCTCACGGTCGAAGATGATATTGCGAGGCTCTCACGCCGGTGCCTGCATGCGATGTCGTAAGAACCGGCGTAGGTGCGACGCCACTCTGCCGCGCTGCCGCAATTGTGAGAAGGCCAATGCCGTCAACTGCCTATACTACGATCACATCCTGACCCCAGAGGCCTCGCGAAGGTGCGTACAATGTCGATACAACATGCTGGACCCGCTGACAGCGTAACAGCCACCTCGTCTCACTGGTTTCCAAACTGCGCTCGTGGAGGTCTCGCAGAGAACAAACCTCTCCCGTTCAGATCTCGCGCCGTCGAAAGCCCGCACCGGCACCATCTCAAATCGTCGCCTACAACATCCTATACTCTTCGGACCCTATGCGCCGATTGCTGCAAACATAGCAGTGTCTGTTCTCCAGCACCATGGTCGCGCAGGCGCGAGCAGTGATCATCTTCTGCGAGAGACGCTCCTCCCATCGCCTGTGACCTCTACAATGCATGACTTTCTCATTCGGACCTATCTGTCAACACTCTATACCATCTTGAGGGAAGACAATATATCGAACTTTGAAGAGTGGACGAACGGTTCAATGGGGACAACGAGTGAAGCCTTCACACGGAACATTATATTTTCCATAGCCTGCTACTGCGTGCCTGGACCTCACGAAGCAAACACCTACCTTCCATTGGCCGAGGCCTGTCACCACGCTGCGTCGAGGGAAACCGAGCATGCAACGGCAGAACCCAACATGGCCGCCCTACGGAACATTGCGCTCCTAGCGCTGCATAGTCTGTTTGCGCCACACCTCGGAATTGTACAAAGCTGGTTGGCATTGCGGCCAGGATGTGCATTGACTTAGGCCTGTCAACCCGTGGCTGAAGGAACAGACTGTCCGTTCTTTCGGTTGTTAGTTAAGATTAGATTGCCGGCATTTTTTGCACACGGTCCAATCTTTTGGTTTTGACCGTCCGTTCTTTTGTTGAGGACCACTTAGTTCAACACGCCACTCTCTACAATTTATCGAACGACCGAGGCGCTTCGTTTGCACCCACTCCCAATGTCATCCGAGTCGTGGGCATGATGTTTTCGCCCGATGAAGTCGCCGCCGAAATTTTGGAGGTGGTGTCACGTGACCAAAAAATCTCCGCACGCCGATTTGGAGATGAGATGTTTGAGGATCCCAGGGATCCCGGATGAGTCATCAGGCCCGGCTCCGAAAGTCATTTCGAGTCGCGACCATTTCAGCTCGCGTACCGCGTCGCGCGATAGAATGCCCATTTCCCGTTCGTTTTCCATTCATTGCAGTTCATTGTAGTTCAATTCCAGTTCATTACAGTTTAATTGCAGTCCATTGCAGTCCATTGCAGTCCATTGCAGTTGTATTCCAGTCCATTATAGTTCAGGGCAGTGTAGTGTATTACAGTTTCGTCCACCATGCCCCATTTCGAGTGCCATTTCGAGCATTGGCCCGAATACCGAGTGATATTTTGCAAGACATGTCGGTTTTGTCCCGTGCCCAGTCAAATCACCCGTCATTTACGAGATCATCACGGCCATGTCAGTGCCGCCATTCAACGGCAAATTGTCGAGGCCGTCCAACAGATTCCCGATTTGGCCCAGCAGCCCGGCCAGGTTCGATACCCGGACCCGGATACACCACCCATCCCCGAGTTAGGAGTCATCGAAAACGCGTTCCGATGTACAGCGCCCCGAAATAATGCCACCGAGGGTGGGTGTGGGTATATGTGTTTGAACATTAAGAGCATGCAGCGTCATTGTAAAGAACAACACGGTTGGATTAACGTTCAGAAAAGAGGTCGTATGGGTCGAGGCGGTCGCGATACGCGACAGCCGCAGACGCCCAATCGCATTTGGGTGGACGGGTGTTTTGGACAACAGTTTTTTCGGGTCGACAAATGGAAGAAGATTTTCCCCGTGGCGGCGCCCGAGTCCGCCCGCGTGACGGTGGATGAGATTGTGCAACGGGCGGAACGACAATTGGCGGCGCAACAAAAAGCCATTGAAGAATTTCGACAACATGAAGTGATGGGTCATCAGGAAAATCGATATGAAGTGAATGGATGGTTGGAACGAGCCGGTTGGGCATCCCATTTAGCCCGATACACCCGGGATGAGTTGGAGCATTTTGTCGCCATTCCACGAAGGAAGGAGGAGGTGACCGAAGAGGTGACCGAAGAGAGTGAGAATGAGGATGACACCCAGGTCGACCGGTCATCATCATCATCAACAAAATCATCAGCATTCCCCCGCGTGGAGGTCGAATTATGGCGAGCATGTCAAAGCACGATCCGGGTCATTCAGGCCGCGCAAAAATCCAGTCATCCCGACGTGGTGGGATTGGCCGCGTTACAATACGTCAATCGTCGCGAGACGGGTCAAAAGAACAGCGAGAAGCCATTTTACGGTCGCCAGATGGGCAAGACCATCCGCAAGTACAGCCAACATTGGGTTCGCATATTGTGTTACGTGTGGCGGACCCACGACGACGTCGAACCCCCACCGCCGTACAAATTGACCGACCGACAGCGACGATGTTTCCAGGCATTGCAGGAGAGTGTGCAGTCACCCGTCCCGACGACCGATCGACGCACCCCGGCGGACCTCCAGACATTATAACATGGCGAATCGCGTGGTGTTTCGGCCGGCCGCCCTCCGTTAGAATCTGGAGAAACGCGTGTTGTTTCCACGGATTAATGGTTCTTCCGCTCACACGTGACATTTCCTCCCATCAAAACATACATGTGTTTCATTGGTCCGAATTCGAGCTATGGGGATTAGATCTACGCCGCCGTAGGAAGGTCCGTCCTTCACCGTAGTGGCGGTAGTATATCGAGGTGGAGGCACGTCGAGGTGGAAGCATGTCGAAGTGACGAAGGTCGAAGTGACGAAGGTTAAGGTGACGAAGGTCGAGGTAACGAAGGTCGAAGTAATAAAGTCTATATTTTAGTATACTATTATGCCGAAATAATATTGAGGATAAACGTCTGTTAGGATTCATGCAGGAGCAGGCCGGGCATGACATCCAACCAGGAGCAGTAGCCAGAAAGGGCAGGATTGCCGAATGGGCACGTGAAAGCCTTGCAAGGTAAGGCTGGGTCACGTGACAACTTTGCTCTGTGCTCTGTGTTGCTCTGCTGAGCAGAGCAACAGAGCACAGCAGAGCACTACGAGTCTCATATGTCTATATAGTCTTCCATCTTTCCATAGCAGTTCATAGTCTCTCGTAGTCAACTTCGTTCACAAACTAGACGTTACCATCGCGTTAATAGTTTTCGTTCTGACTTACCCTTGTGCCCTGGAATACCGTCCTCCTGCCTTCCCACTTATCAGGAAATCCTGATCGATATCGTGACCCTGAGGAACGATTCGTGACACTTTGACTACCTCTGATTGGAAGATAGGAACAGGGAAGTATGTCCAGCTCTCGCCCCAAGTCGCCAGCCGGATCGGTTCGATCCACCAACCCTAACACAGGAATGTCTCCAACAGGACAAGGCAAAGAGGAAGTCAAGGTTGATTACTTCTATGGGGACAAGGCTAAGCTCAAGATGTTTCTGGTGCAACTCAAGGCCATCTTCAAGCTTTACCCAGCCAAGTATCCAAACCCCTCAAGCCAAGTCTTGTTTGCGGCATTGAACCTGAAAGGTGCAGCGTTCGCATGGTTCGAACCAACCATGACGGACTATCTGGAAGCCAATGAGTCATCTAGTTTGGACCAGGAGACTCGAATGATCTTCCACAGCTTTGCCAATTTTGAAATCAAGATCAAACAAGTCTTTGGGGTCGCCGATGAAGAGGCAACGGCAGAAAGAATGCTCCACGATGTTAAGCAACGAGGATCTACCGCTCAATACTACGCCCTCTTCAAGCAACTTGCCAAAAGAGTCTCATGGAACGAGGATGCGCTGGCCGCAGCCTATTACAGAGGACTTAGCGACCAGGTTAAAGACAGAATGGATGAGGTTCCAGACACCTATAAAGATATGGTTGACAAGTCTATTGAGATCGACAACCGACTGTACGAGCGACGAATGGAAAAGAAGGGATGGTTCGGGAAACCCTATATGGGGGGAAGCGGAAGAGGCCGCACGAACTATTCATATGGGGATCCCATGGATCTGGATGCCATGGAACGAGGTCGGTCCTCACGGCCAAAAGGACAACGTTTCGGGGGATTCAGATCTAACGGGAACAAAGAGAGAGAAAAGCGCAAGAAGGAAAACCTGTGCTATAATTGTGGTAAATCCGGCCACAGGGCAAAGGAATGTCACGCCAAGGCCCAACAACTGCATATGATGGATGATTCAGCCGGTATAGAAGCGAAAAAGGCCGACACTTCTATGAAAGAGAAAGACAGAGCAACGAAAGCGGAACCAACGTACGGCAACATGCGTGAAAAACTCGCAAAACTAGGAATATCAGTTCCAGAAGAAAATGCTAGCACCGCTATGCTCACAGCACAGAAGGATCAACCCAAGGCCCACCAGGCCAAGGAAGAAGATCAAAAAAACCCACGTGACAGGGATGACGACGCTACAGACAAGGCTGTAGGTGATATTCGTCAGGAAGCCATCGAGCACGCTAAACTCTCTTGGACGGCATGCCATGATGATCAATGCTCCACTCACTGTTCCGATAAGGAAATTAGTGGATGGTTCCCTCAACGGAGAAAAAGCAAATCAAAGAAGTCATGGAAGCCGATCTGGGAAGAGGAGACAGAGTCACTTTCAGTATTAGAAGATGAATGGGTTCAGGTGGAAGAGATTGGACCTATTTGGTGCCCAACGCAAGATGTGTCTGACGAGAAGATGAAGATCACCGAAGAGAAAGACGAATGGGTAAGGATCGAAACACGTTACCATCAATTCACGGCATGCAACCCTCGATACCATGATGGCGAAGGAAATTGCGGAATGAGTCATCGGGTGTACGCTCCGGAAGACCCACCAAAGCCGTACGCGATGCCACTGGTATTGGAGAAATGCACAAACAGCGAGTGTCGGTACAGGGGGATAAAACATACCCACGACGTTAACAGAGACGAACCTTGCACATACCCATTCGGGAGGAGATCGAGAATCTCAGAAGAGACGCGGCACTGGGACCGGAAAGACACAATTGAACACGAGAAAATTGTAACGGAAACGCCAACTTCGATTATATTTGAAACGGAAAATTGGGTTGAAGAATGGACACCATCAGGGGAACATATGATACCTCACTACCGATACGCCCCGATGGAGCCAGACAAGGAAACGAATCTGGTCACTGCGAGTATGTGTGAAAAGGAGGAATGCCCTGACGCGGGGGAACCTCACTCTCACGATGTTCGAGGAAGAAACAAGATACTCCACCCATTCCGGGAATTCTACGAAAAAGAAGAATGGCAGTACGTGGAACAGCTTGATGTGATGGAGGATGGTGAACCTGAAGAACGAAAATTCATTGTCATCCGAACAACAAGAGCAGAACTCGTGATCGTCACGAATTATTGGCAAACGGTTTGGTGCAAGCGACCAGAATGCCCCTGCGAAGCGCAACACCAAATCAAAACCTTGGACGCAGAACAACCACCGAGAAATTCGATTGAGGTAATCAATATGCCGATATGCCGAGATCAGAACTGCAGGTATCGAGAAAAGATACACATCCACAAAGACAACCCAGAAAGAACATTACTGGATATGGAGATACCACCCGGAGTTCTCAGGAACGTATGGGGAGTAACTCTCAACATGATGATTGACGACAAAATCCAGGTAAGCCTTATTGTGGATGGAAGAGCAAAGGATGATTATGCTTTTGGGGAGTTTGAATGCACAGATGTATGTTGTACGGCATACTGGCAAGAACATTTACACTACTACAACATAGACCCAGAATACCCCACATGGTCTATTCGGGCAGAAGAATACCAACGGATGATCGACAAAGGGTGGAAATGCACGGACCAGGAATGCGGATTCAAGGAAACCAACCACGTACATTTTCCAAAAAAACGACGAGGAGGAGGTTGTATGAGGCGCGACTATCCTCCCGAAGAGCCTCAGGATCTATCAGTACTCGGGACTTCTCGTGGAGCCCACATGGCCCTCACGGCTTGGCTCGACGAAAATGAAGTTAGGGTAATGATAGATAGCGGAGCAAATAGGAGTTATGTGTCACTCCAAGCGGCTGAAAGAATCAAAGAAAAACAAAAAGACAAAGACAGGCCTTACCCACTGAACATGGCAGATGGGTCTCCCGTGGAGCACGACGGGGGGTGGATTCGAAGAGAAATACGACAGGCAACGATGAGAATCGCGGACCACGAGGAAAGAGTCACGCTCGACATAGCTCCAATCAAGTATGATGTGATACTTGGGATGGACTGGCTTCAAAAAAGAAACCCAGTAATAGACTGGAGGACAAGGACACTCGTATTTCCAAAATGCAGTGGAAATCAAGAGGGAGAACGATCAACTCCAAAGGTACACCAAATGGCGAGGGCCATCTGGGTGCGACCGCAAGGAAGAATGCTAGCAGGCACGGACCAAACTCTTCCTTCGGAATATCAAGATTACGAGGACCTTATGAAAGAAAGGGAAGGCGAAGCAGCTTTGCCCCAACACAAACCATGGGATCATGAGATAGTATTCGAGGAAGGTAAGAAACCCACACACTACGGAGGGCTAATACCGTTGTCCAAGCGAGAAGAGGACTTCCTCAAGGAATACATCGAAAAGCATATGGAAAAGAAGTTTATACGACCATCAAAGTCACCAATCGCACATGGAGTACTTTTTGCGCCAAAAAAGGATGGAAGCCTACGACCATGTATCGATTACCGAAAACTCAACGATATCACCATCAAAAATCGATATCCGTTGCCAAGGATTGATGAACTTCAGGACCGGTTGTTAGGAGCCGTATGGTTCACAGCAATCGATGTTAGGGACGCCTACTATCGAGTGCGAATGAAGGAAGGTGAAGAATGGAAGACCGCCTTTCGAACCAGATGGGGGCTATATGAGTACTTGGTCATGCCCTTCGGACTAACAAATGCACCAGCAACGTTTCAGGAACTCATCAACAACACGTTGCGAGAATACCTAGACGACTTTGTTGTCGCCTACTTGGATGATGTGCTCATCTTCTCGAAGACGTACGAAGAACACGTACAACACGTCAGGAAAGTACTTCAGAAATTGAAGGAAGCAGACTTACCGATCAAACTGAGCAAATGTGAATTTCACAAACACTCAATTAAGTTCCTAGGACATATTGTGTCCACGGAAGGGGTACAGCCAGATCCAGACAAAGTCAAATCAATACTGGAATGGCCAGAACCCAAGACAGTCAAGGAGGTCCAGGCCTTCTTAGGGCTGATCAACTATTATCGGAAATGCATTGGAGGATTTTCGGGCCTCGCAACGCCGCTTACAAACCTGACGAAGAAAGACACACCCTTCGCATTCACCAGGGAATGCAAGGAAGCCTTCAGGAAATTGAAGGAAAAGATGGTCTCAGCGCCTGTAAGAGCCATCTGGGATCCAGAAAAAGAAGGTATTCTGGAAACCGACGCCTCAGATTTCGCCATCGGAGCAACATTGAACCAAAAAGGGAACGATGGGAAGACACGAGTCATTGCGTTCTATTCAAGAAAAATGACTGGACCAGAGCTCAACTACGACATTCACGATAAGGAACTACTAGCAATAGTAGAAGCCTTAAAAGAATGGAGGGTGTATTTGGAAGGCACGAAGTACCCGGTACAAATATACACCGACCACAAGAACTTGATCTACTGGACTACGACAAAGGAATTGAACCGACGGCAAGTCAGGTGGGCAGAAACACTCGCTTCTTACAATTTTCGAATTACCCATGTTAGAGGAAACGAAAATGGAAGAGCGGATGCTCTCAGCAGAAGAACCGACTATGCTGAAGGAACAAAACCAGAACCAGCTGCACTTTTAAGACAAGAAGACGGATATCTTACATATCATGCCCCGCGAAAACAAAACCTTTCGGCTATGGATATGGAGCTATCAACAGAACAAAGACAGCAGGTGATCAAGGAAAGACACGATGATCGAACAGCAGGCCACCCAGGGATTAACAAGACTATTGAGCTAATTACACGGGATTTCACTTGGCCGGGGTTACGAAAAGAAGTCACGAGCTACATACAGAAGTGTGATACCTGTATAAAAACAAAACACGCTAGGCACAAACCATATGGGATGCTACAGGCATTACCATCGCCAGGGGAATCATGGTCAACTATTACCATGGACTGGATCACCAAGCTTCCGAAATCAAAGGAGCCCCTCACGGGCATATCCTATGATAGCATATTGGTAATACAGGACAAGCTCACAAAGTACGCCTATTTGGTACCATACCTGGAATCATCGAATGCAGAAGACCTAGCATACACAATCAACAAAACAATATTTGCACAGCATGGAACACCAGAACAAATTATATCGGACAGAGACAAGCTCTTCAAATCACAGTTCTGGCAATCACTCATTGACCAACTCGGAATCAAATATAAATTATCAACAGCATATCACCCACAAACCGATGGACAAACAGAAAGAACAAACCAAACAGTGGAACAATACTTACGATGTTACTTGAACTACGAACAAAACAACTGGGTCACTCTTTTGCCTATGGCTCAGTTCGCTTTCAACAACAACGCGTCGGTCACAGGGATATCACCGTTCTACGCAAATTACGGGAAACACCCAAGAATTGATAGAGAACCAAAGGGAATCAAACCTATTGCAGAAAAAGCACAAATCTCAGTTTCAAAACTACAGGAGCTACACCAAATCCTTAGCAAAGAACTGGATTTTATATCAGAAAGAATGACACAATTTGCAAATAGGAAAAGATCTGAGGGACCAGATCTCGAGGAGGGAGAGATGGTCTACCTTCACAGAAAAAATATCAAAACAAAAAGACCAAGCGACAAACTGGATTACACCAAGCTTGGGCCCTACAGAATTAAGAAAAAACTGGGACCAGTGACGTTTGAACTGGAATTACCCAAAGGAATGAGGATACACCCAGTGTTTCATATTTCATTATTGGAACCATCACACACAAACGCCAGACCAGGACCTGTGGAAATCGATGAGGAAACACAAGAACCCAGATACGAGGTTGAGCAGATCCTTGACTGTCAACCTATCGACGGAAGACCGCACTACCTAGTCAAATGGTTAGGATATGATGATACAGAAAACACATGGGAACCAAGGGAACATCTTACCCAGAGGATGATTGACCGGTATCACCAAAACCATCCACCAGGGCGGAGAGAGATGGGTCATCCCAAGAAAAGAGATCGTTGTTCATCACGGCGAATTCAGGCAAAGGACCGGCTGAATCTGATGGCAGATCACTTAGCTCTCCGAGCAGGCGAGCCTCCTGATCCACCATGCGACTTTGTCGCTCGGTCACCTTTTCGAGCTGGTTTTCAATGGACACTTGGCGCTGCTGGGCAGCAATGATCTGACGAGCAAGATCTGCAAGGCGCTCACGCTCCTCACGGTGTTTGCGTTGCAGTTCGCTCTTGCGTGCCTCAAGTTGCTCGAACTCGGCATCGGAGAATGTGCCACCACAGGAGATGTTTTTTCGCATACAGCACGAACAGCGGGCGTAGCCTTTACGCACCACGCAGAGTGAGTTGGAGGCTTCGCACTGGGGGCAGGGAGCCATGGCGGGAATACCAATTCGCTGAATGCGGTCGGCAAGACGTTTGCGCTGCTCAGCCTTGGACAATGGAGGTGACGATTTGGAGACACGGCCTGAAGACATGGTTAGCCATGAAAAATAAAGAAGACAAGGAAATCGACGGGGCAGACTTACTTATGTACGTCGAGGTCGCCGTGTGGCCTAAGAGGGGGGAAAGTGTTAGGATTCATGCAGGAGCAGGCCGGGCATGACATCCAACCAGGAGCAGTAGCCAGAAAGGGCAGGATTGCCGA